AGTTAAATGTTAAGAAAACTTAACTATCTTGTTACAAACTATAACTAAGAAATAGATTAATTTTATTATAATTGACAATCGAAATCTTCAACTGTACATTTGAAAATATTGTTAAAATTCTTGTAAGGTTTTTGGTAGCAAATCAAAAATAAGAAAGATCTCAATTTGCGGCGTCTGTCTTTTTCATGTCAGCTACAATATTTACACATGACTTTTTTCCCTCATTTCGTGAACACCTTTACTGAGTATGAGTCTTAAGCTGTACAAAATCTTAAAACCTTGGATATTTTCTCGAACGAAAGAATCGAACGATCTTATTATGAAAAAAGTTTCTTATTATGAAAGATCGAATCCGGAACGAGGTGATCCGATAGAGAACCTAAGTTATAGACATAGCACAGCGAATTAGTAATCTGAAGTGGCAATGGGCTGGCCATTTTAGCCGGATAACCGATAACCGTTGGGGTAAACGCGTTCTTGAATGGAGACCGCGAATTCAAAAACGCAGTGCAGGATGGCCTCAGGCTCGGTGGAGTGATGATCTGTTTTTTTATTTTTTTTTATTGCCCTTGTAGGCAGACGAGAATACGGCCCATCTGATGGTGAGTGTTTACCGTCGCCCATGGACTTCAGCAATGCCAGGGGCAGAGCCAAGCCGCTGCCTACCGAAAAGGGTAGCTGGCAGGAACTGGATGAGAGAAGCTGAGAATCGTGTGCTGTGGCGAGCAATTGGAGAGGCCTATGACCAGCAGTGTACTGCTATAAGTTAATGATGATAAGACAAAAATAACCGGGAGAATTTAACAAATTTCGTCCCCTCCATTGGAAAAGCAAGCATCAACCATCATCAAAGTGATAACTAGGTAAGTTGTTCATTAAAAGGTAAGCTTTAACCATAACACACCCAGGTAAAACGTATCTATCAAACAAATCATTAACCTAATCTTTCAAAGTGGCAGTCGAATAGTATGTTGCTTATACGAGTAAATTCTCACAGTCACCCTTAACCGTAGGTATATGCGTAATTTGTTTGCCTACATATTACTATATTTTGTAATTGGACTTACGCAACGCAAGTTCCAAGTTTCGGGGGAAATACTCACACGTTTCAATAACGCGTTAATACATATACGGGTATGTACGTTTTGGCATAATGATAAATTACGATCTATCAAGTGACTAAGCAAGTCAACCGCGGCTTCCAGCTTCAAGAGAAATTAATTTACCTTCTAATTCTAAAAATCAATGTGTCGGCGTTTAAACTTCATAATGAAAGGATTTTGCCATAACAAGTAGCCAAGATTTGTGTCAGAATATTTGTAATGTTTAACTAAGTAATAGTATAGTAAGTAATTTGAAAATAAACAACACGGTACACCAATGCGCAAAAAGAGTTTCTAAAACCTAATATAACGCAATATTTACATGCATATACAGTGGTGGTCATATATTTAAGAAAGCTTATTTAAAGGGCAGATAGATATTTTTCAAGCTACGAGTATAACTAATTCCATATATTTTTTGGAAATCTTTCGATGTTCCAAAGCTTTTCCATTCCGTCCAACATACTAGCGGTACATTCGTTGATACACTAAAAATAAATAAGTAAACTTCATATATTTTATCTGAACTTAGTATTACTAGTAGTACTGGTTGCGCTCATAATTAATAACGCTGAAGAGTTTATTTTTTTAATGAAATTAATGAAAATAATTAAATTATGAATTAAATAGAGAACAATTATGTGACTCTTTATTTGTAAATCACACACTATTCGTATAATTTTGACGCCATTTAGTGTTCTAAAAGTCATGATGGTGATTGTTTCAAATGAAAACAATCGGCAAAAATACAAGTTGTGGTAAATCTATAAAGGAAGTAATGATAAAAGTACGCAAAAAGAATTGGTCGTATAAAAGATAACCGACCATCAAGCTGGCATTGAGCAGGCTCAAAAACGATAGTTTTTCACGCTGCGAAGCATTTTGCCACTTATAAAACTAGATACTTCAAATGTTCCGCGTGTACCTAAGCAGAAAAAACCATATTCTCGAGATAATTGAAATATCGTTCGTTTGGCAAAACAAAATCCTATAGAGGGTCAAATGAGCTGAGGTAAGAATATTTTAGTTGAAACAACCTTCAGCAATCTCGGCACTATTCGAAGACGTTTGGTGGAAGATAAGTTGCACAGAAAGTTTCCCATATTGAAACAGTGCCGTAGGGTAAGCCCAGCTAGCATTTGCAAGACGATATGGCAGTTACACGGTGGAAAGATGTTCTTTTTTTCTGACGAGACAAAATTAACAGGGTATGTTCTGATGAAAATCGAAATGTACGACGTCCTCCAAACAAAGAATTCGACCCTAAGTACACAGAAGGGACATTAAAGCATGATGGAGGTAATTTGAATATTGGGGGGGGCGGGGGTTTGGGATATGGTTTTAGATCTATTAAGCTTAAAAAGAAATCATGGATCAATTACAATATAAAAATAAAATGTAGGAAGCAATGTTAGCTTATGCTGAAGACATACTTCAGGTTTTTTTATTGCCTATGTAGGCAGACGAACACGCGGCCCATCTGATGGTAAGTGGTTACCGTTGCTCATGAACGTCAGCAATTCCAGGGGGACAGCCATGTCGCTGCCTACCATGTTATTTATACATTCCAGCACGACAAGCATACTTAGGGAACATACGCATTGTTAGGGAATTACTCACACCATAATCAATTTCAGCCTTAGATTGACCAGCTAACAGTCTAGATCTAAACCAATTAGACCATCTTTGGTGCGGAGTCAAGAAAACAATCCATTTCATATAATTTTATAATTTAGTCAAATAATGTAACTAGACCCACTGGGAACTAGATTTAAAGATAGCGTAAACGATTTTGATAAAGCTCAAGCTACGTTGTGATGGATCAAACCGTCCTTCCTTGTGACTATATTAGTGTGAAAACTCACCACACAAAATAAAAAAACACGTGTGGCACTCGGGAACTGCCGCGGTAAAGCTATTGCATAGCATTTTTTATGAACTTATGCATTTGTGATTAGACAATAACAATTTAATATCAAAACATTAAAAAAATAAGCCAACGCTATATTTTTAAACATTAACATAAACATTAACTGTCCCCTTTACACTCATAAGCTAGTAGACCACGCAAGAGAGAGATACGCATACAGTGCAACGTCACGCCGCGCGCTTATTCACAAACACTACACAAGCGCAACGTGTGAATGTGTTGAACGCGAGCTACACGGTAGGCGGAGTGTTAGGCTTTATTTTCGTTACGGAATTTCTTATTTCGGTCGCCGCGCTCAAAGCCCGCGATAAAAGCTATGCAATAGCTTAAAAATATTATTATTTCATCTATTTATATATAAACCAATATACATCATATTAATAAAAACATAAACATTTTACAGTTAGAAAATTAAAGGAGTAAAATTATTATTGCAGTATCATAAATTTTCACAGTAACGATTACTCGATTTTACGAATACATTGGCACCGACCAATTTATTTATTCCACCCTGCTTAGTTTGTTCTGTTTCTAGAACAGATAAAAATATAAAATCGTCGAAATGAAGTTTATAAATTATTTCTCGTATTTTTAATCCAAATTATTTATGTAACTTATTTTCGATTTCCTACGGATATTTTTTCGCACAGTGTAACCTACTAGTACCTAGTAGTTCATTTTCCAACTGGAAAGGCGAAGATCTGCACCATACAGCCTAATCTATTGTATATTCTGTGTTATGAAAAATGCTATGGAGCGAAATGAAATAAAGTTGATTAACTTGAAATAATCAATTGAAACGAAATTACCCCATATCATGAAATTCCATAACGAAATTATCCCATATCCCATATCATGTCTAGTCTCTGTAAAATTTACTAAGACTTTTTAGTGGACTTTTGGAAAGCTCCCGAGAACCTACTTCCAGGAGTTTCTGTTTAAGAGAAAATTTTAAGCCCACCACTTTTTCTTCTTTTTTTTCTAGTAGCCCTCATCAAGCATTATGTATCATGTACATATCATCAATCATTAATTAATATGTAAGGCGCACAGAGGATCACTACCTCCTCAGTCAACATCCTGACAAGTGTGGAAATAAATGGACGGCCACTCATGGTGTGGACTGCCAAGTTTTAGAAACAGTGTTTACTTTAAACTTGTTAACAAATATGTCATAAGCAGTTCATTATTAACAAATGTTGCTAAATGACTACCCGCCCTAATTGAGATAATTGCTTTTTTTGGTCCTTAACAAATCCTTATCCAGTCCTTATCCCAGTCCAGCCATTTTAGGCCAAATTAGGTGCATATCTCGGAAAATCGACATACCCAGTATATTACCACGTAAAAACTTGTATTTTGGCATCCTAAAACAGTTCTCAAATTTCACATATAATTGGATGGTCGTAAATTTTAAAGTCAGGGGTCAAAAGTCACAAAAATCGATATGTTTTTTACATTTTTTCAAATATCTCGTTTTCGATGGGTTTTACGCTATTTGCATTTATTATCAATATTGTAGAGAATTAAATTCTCGACAACTTTTTAATTTAACATTTTTTTATACCTTTAACTGTTCTCGAGATAGAGAGCGTAGAGCGCGCGGTCAGAAAATTATCTGAGGTCAACTGCTAATCTCGATCAAAAACTCGTAATATTAAGGTTATAATTTATTGTCAAACATATAATTATAATTTTTGATATCAAAACGAAATATTTGCAAAAAAAAATTAAAAAATTAAATTTTGGGGCTTTTGACCCCCTTTTTGGAAATTATTTCTGGTAGCCTCCAACATATACGAATATTTTCTACTAATTAATAATTGAACTTAACTTACACATTAATTTTCGTAAAAAATAAATATTAAGCTTTTGTAACAACATTTTTGGCTTTATGGGCTTTGTTCCTTTTATCTATCCAATTCGACAATGACAAAAAATTACTAGAAATAATACGTTGACGTGAACGTATTGCGGTGGTCGATGATGGTGATTGCAGTTGACACGATACGTTTTGCCGGCATAATTTCGAAAACAAGTACACATGAAAAGTGTAAAATACAGAAATACAATGTATTAAACAGTGACGTCAGACGTTTTTAACATACAATCACTAGGTTTAAAGCTAGTAAATTGTATAATAACAGATTGAACAATATGTCGCGACTTATCCGCATTTTTATTTCTTTACTATGTGTCATTAAAACTGCTACGGGATTAGGNTTTGCCGGCTTAATTTCGAAAACAAGTACACATGAAAAGTGTAAAATACAGAAATACAATGTATTAAACAGTGACGTCAGACGTTTTTAACATACAATCACTAGGTTTAAAGCTAGTAAATTGTATAATAACAGATTGAACAATATGTCGCGACTTATCCGCATTTTTATTTCTTTACTATGTGTCATTAAAACTGCTACGGGATTAGGTGAAATCATCTACGCCATAAATGCCGGAGGTCCTGCTCATACAGACATCTACGGTATTCATTATGAAAAAGATCCATTACAGGGACGAATTGGCACTGCATCAGATTATGGTAAACAATTGGTTATGATCGGCAGAGTTAATCCTAAAGATGAAATACTTTATCAAACTGAAAGGTATCACCACAGCACGTTCGGCTACGACATTCCGGCAAACAAAGACGGCGACTATGTTTTAGTTTTAAAGTTCAGTGAAGTGTATTTCAGTTCCCCAAACATGAAAGTATTTGATGTCGTCTTGAATGGAGACCATACTATAGTAGCCGATTTGGATATTTTTGATAAAGTAGGAAGAGGTGTTGCTCATGATGAATATATACCTTACACCATAAAGAACGGGAAACTCTACTATAATGAAGAAGAATCTGATATTCGGGGAGGAAAAATTAAAGTTGAATTTATCAAAGGATATCGGGATAACCCAAAGATAAATGCCCTATATGTTATGACAGGCACAATAGATGAAGTTCCCAAATTACCACCTTTGGTTTGGCCAGAAAATGAAACTGAAGAAGCAAGAGATGAAATTGAAGAAAAGAACACCAAAGCGAGACGTGCTAGTGGGCCAAAACAACCAGACCCATATGTTATGGATGAAAGCTCAGTTTTGATTCCAGTTTTCATAACAATTGGAGCATTTATACCTTTGTTATTCTGTCTTTGTAAATTATAAAAAGAAAACAACTAAATAGCAGTTTATGTTTGTGTGTCTGTGTGTTGTGCTTGCCATGTAGAATGCTAAGTTATTTAAAAAAGAGCAAATATTGAAAGGATTTTTTGAAGACTTAAAAGTTTTGAGTTCAAATTTATTAGAAATTGTGTTGCGTTCTCGAATTCAAAAAATACATTACAATATCAATTTATGACTTACGTTTTAAACTTGCACTGATCTCAAAACTTGTACTTTATAATCATGGACTTACTGTATTTTTTTAAAACTTGAGATGTTGTGTGATAATAAGTTGAATTAACATTTATGAATGAAGTAATGAATTTCAAACCTATTATTAAACTGTAATTCAAAATTATACCTAGTAGTAAAATAGCTAGAACAATATGATGTTGGTACCCGTCCCACATAGAGCATTGTGTAGAATTACACTTAACTTATATATGTTTTGTGATGTTTGCAAATAAAGTTGTATTTAAAGTATGTAGTGCCATATTTATTCTCGATGAAATTTGTAGTAAATCAAATGTTCTTTTTTAACATACTAATAGTTGCTTAGTGTGATATTTCTGGACCAATTTATTATTATTCACATGAATACAATGAATTGACATTCACTAACGCTAATGTAGTTTAACCATGGAAGATTCACTTTCTTTATTGTGCCCATTTCTGTTATAATACTGTTATACTGAAATAACATAATCAGACCTGATCTGATTGTAATGATCTGATGTGTAAAAGTGGAATTATTTATTGCCACAAAAAGCAAAAGCACCATTAATAGATCGGAAGGATCTGTAATGACGTGTTTAGGGCGACGTCGGCTGTTTACCATTCGGTCCACAGGTTTTTTTTTTTTGGTCAGGAGGAAATCGCCGGACTTCCGCCCTTCTCTGGGGATGGCGGGCGGGGTATGTCAGAGTCGAACTGACTAAAACCTCCTGTCGCTCAACAACCAACGTCCAAACCTCGCATGAGACAGAGCTCATGAAAAGGCAAAGGGGGGAAAGTGGAGCGTTTAGTGCGGAGCACATCTCTCCCATCACCCTCCCCCTCGGGACGCCGGACTGGCGGTCGTCGGCGCCACGACCACCAGCCCTCTCGGTCGGCAAACTGTCCGAAGCCCGCCTAGATGGCGCCGGTTAGAGTGGGTTACCCTACGGAATACCCCGCTGGGCCAGAACCAGCGTGAGTCGAGGATAGCCGGCCTTCCATCACCCGGATGCTCTTGCGTAAAACGCTTGCAGAGCAGCTTGCACGTCGTCTTCTTAGGCCCCCTCGCCGGTCCCCAGACCGACATGTGAGGGGGACCCGAAACACTTAGAGGGCCAGGGCTTGGGCGAGATCCGCCTCCCTGGCCCCCGCTCAACGGCGGCGGGATTGTGCGTCTCTCACGCGTCCTTCTGCGAGATGGTGCACTCGCAGAAGTCGAGCATCGCCTTCCACGACTCATCGTCGCCAAGCATCGATACCACAACACTCGGCAACGACAAGTTGGTTCCTATTTTTGCGACGAGGACACGGCGCCACCCCTCCCATGCGGGGCAGGCGACGAGCGTATGCTCTGCCGTGTCCAAGTCGCAACCACAATGGTGGCACTCTGTCGTCGGCTCGGCTGTGATCCGGTGCAGGAACTCACCGAAACAACCATGCCCAGTGAGCACCTGCGTGAGCCGGAAAGTGAGGCGTCCTCTGTCACGATTCACCCAATCCACAAGAACCGAGCGAATCGCCTCGACGGTCCTACGACCAGCCGAAGGCTCAGCCAGCCATCTGGACCATGACTCCAGCACGGACCGCCGAGATTGGGCCCTCCGCGCTCTGACCACACTGGGGCTGGGACGCGCCACGCCTCGGGCACGAAGGTCAGTCCGCCACTTATAGTCAGCGACGAGCGCCTCTGCTTCCAGAACCCAAGGCGGCGTCCCAGCCAGTACACATCATCATCATCATCATCAGTCTGTATCTCTCCACTGCTGGATGTAGGCCTCTCCCATAGTCCGCCACAATAAACGATCCTCCTCCTTCCGCATCCAATCTTTTCCAGCATATTGCCGCAAGTCATCGGTCTAACGGGCAAGGGGACGCCCAACGCTGCGCTTACCGGTACGCGGTCTCCAGTCCAGAACACGTCTGCTCCATCGGCCATCGGTTCTGCGACACGTATGTCCGGCCCATTGCCACTTCAGCTTGCTAATCTTTAGGGCTATGTCGGTTACTTTGATATTTTGACGAATTTCATCATTTCTGACTCGATCCATCAAAGAAACTCCGAGCATACACCTTTCCATATCACGCTGAGCGATTTTGAACTTACGGACCAAACCTACGGTCAATGTCCACGTTTCAGCGCCATATGTCATGACCGGCAGCACACAAGCGTTGAAAACTTTTGTCTTTAAGCATTGCGGGATTGCTGAGTTCAAGATGTGACGGAGTTTTCCATACGCAGCCCAGCCCAACTGTATGCGCCTATCAGCTTCCTTCTTAAAGTTGGCCCTGCCCAGCCAGTACACACGCCGCCTCAAAGGAGATGATACGATAACCACGGATGACCCTGACCGCGATGGTGCGTTGCGGCCGTTGCAACAGCTTCGCCACCCCCACGGCCAGGGACTGACCCCACACGGGCGCCCCGTATAGGGCCATTGATCGCACCACCCCCGTATAGAGACGGCGCGTCACCTGGTCAGGCCCCCCGACGTTCGGCAAAAGCCGGCTTAACGCGCAGGCCACCCCCAACAAACGAGGACCAGGTTCTGAAAGTGAGCACGGAAGGTTCAACGACTGTCCAGAATGAGACCGAGGTACTTCAACTGCACCCCGACCCCGACACGGACGCCTCCAACCACGATATGGGCATTGACAGGTGGCACTCTCCGGGGCCTGTGGAACCACATGGCCTCGGATTCACTGAGCGCCACGTCGAGGCCCAATCTCCTGATCTTGCCGACGACATGCGCCACCCCGGCCGGACGGACAAGCAAGACGGACAGACTCAGCAAAACTCCCCCCCGGGCCACGACCAACGTGTCGTCTACGTAACAGATTACGCTCAGGCCCGGAAGGAGGGCACCTCTCAGCACCCAGTCATACCCGATATTCCACAAAAGGAGGCCGAGCACCGACCCCTGTGGAACACCGCGCACGACCGGGAACCGGTGCAGGATCCGCCGGGCGCCTCTCCTTTCCAACAGCATGAGTCTGCCCGTCCTCCACGATGAAGGAAACCGTCCCGACTCGAGGCAGGAGTTGTAAAGTCTCAAGAGTCGGTCCCCTAGGGCACCAAGAGCCAAGGCCCAAACCCGGCCATGGACGCCGTCCGGGCCGGCTGCAGTGTCCTTCGCACACATTTTGCGCACGGCCACACTGAGCTCCGCCCGTTATATGGGGCACCTCAGCAGGGGCTTCGCCGTCGTAGTCCGGCGGCGCGTATAGCGGAAGCGACAAATCCCTCCCGCTCCTGCGGGAACAGCGCCGAGACGATGTCCCGCAGCTGCTCAGGCTAAGGACGCTCCGCGATCGGGGGGGGGCATGGGCGCATTTTATTGCGCACCATATGATAGGGCCGCCCCCACAGATCCTCATCCAGCGTCTCCAAGAGACCCTCCATGTGTTGGTTCTTGGCTCTTCTGATGGCCAGCTGCAATACCCTCTGCGCGACGCGAAATGCGCCGTGCAGCCGGGCCTCTGCCGCCGCGAACGCAACCGGATCGTTGCGCCGCGGCAGGCGGCGGCGGCGATGCCTGGCACACTCGCGCCTCGCCCGAACGCACTCCACGCGTAGTTGCGCAATTTCGGGCGACCACCAGTACGCCTGGCGATTAGGAAGTCGAGGGCCAATCCGGGGCATCGACGCACCACAGATGCGACGCATTGTGTCCCGGAACCACCCTGCCTCGCACTCGACCTCGACCGGGACAGGATAGGGTATGTTAAGAGTCTGATAAGCTTTAAAGCTGCACCTCCTTTCCATTACCTGCGGGGTGTTGTGTTGATTGATCAGCCAAGCATTCTTATGGGATGCTGCAATACTTCATCTGTGAACCCTGGAGCTAACCAATGACTTAGAGGTCGAGTCAGTCTATTGAAGACAGCTTAGATAACCTCTAAACATGCCAAGCCTATTGTAGGACTGCAGAAGGTAAGTATCATCCTGTCCTTTTCTGCCACGAAGCAGCGATACGTTCGAGTTTTCTCGATGGGACAGGTATTATACTAACCAATTTAAACTTCGCTTCAAGTGGGTGGTGGAATTCACAATGTCCATGGGGTCCGGTAACCTCATTAACAGGTAGACCGTGAGCATGTTCACCCGTCTATGCAATAAAATACCAACCTTTTATTTATTTTTATGTTAAGACATTTTATGTACTCTTATTAATAAGATCCATTAATACTATTATAATTAAATCAATTTATATAGGAATAGGACGGATTGCCTGGGTGGCCTGGGATATCCAGAAAAATGCCAAGCTAAGTGCGACCCTGAAATTCGGTAAGTATAATTAAACTAGCGACCCGCCCTCGCTTCGCTTCGGAAACATTAAAACACACATGAAATCAAAAAAATTAAAAAAAAAAAATTTAAGTTAGTAGCCTATGTTCATCAGGGACAATGTCGGCTTCTAATGGAAAAAGAATTTTTCAAATCGGTCCAGTAGTTTCGGAGCCTATTCGAAACAAACAAACAAACAAATCTTTCCTCTTTATAATATTAGTATAGATGTACGCACGTTATATAAGTAAGTCAAAGGCAAAAAATCAAAATGCATGACATAGTGTTCAAGTTAACTCTTTATTACCTTAAACAATATAACAGTAGCTGTGCACTTGGCACAACACGTCATTTAAACAGATGTGTAAAGACAATTCCGGATCTTATTGTTATTCTGTTAACAATTATTACACTAAAAAATAGTTACATAGTTGATAATGTTAAATTAACGAATATTAAATTATATAAAGCAACGGATTGTTCGCCTGCGAGTCTTAGGACAATAATATCAGTGTAAATCATTACATTATAAATCCGCCTCATAGTTTTAATAAATCTAGCATTGGTGTAAGCCTACAGTGGTATTTGGGGATTACGGGATCCCATTCCATGACCGCATGGTGAATACCACCACCACCTTGAGAAATGTCGTCGAAATAATAATATTATTATGATAACGTTGAATCTGACATCGAAATTCAACCATAAACTGACATCTCAAAATTTCGATTAATTTTACATGCATAATACTATTATATATTCAATTATTCGTTCTGTTTTTATTTTATTTTAAAAAGACGATAAATTTCTAAATTGTTTGTAGATTTTCGAAAGATCGTCAATGGCTACTACCTAATTAAATTAAATAAAACAAAGTCTATTAACAACTAGAGAAAACAATCGTACTTACTGTTTTATTTTTGCAATTCTATACGGAATCTTAAACAATTAAATCGACCACACCATTTAAGCTGCTGACTATTAAAAAAATCTGCGTACCTGGACAAAATAGGCGCTAGAAAAACACTAAGTGGGTACCTGCCTAGATATTCCAATTCTACAGTAATCTGGCAAAGAAATATGAAGGAATAATTTCCAACAATGTAATATATATTTTTTCTACATTTAACNTGCAATTCTATACGGAATCTTAAACAATTAAATCGACCACACCATTTAAGCTGCTGACTATTAAAAAAATCTGCGTACCTGGACAAAATAGGCGCTAGAAAAACACTAAGTGGGTACCTGCCTAGATATTCCAATTCTACAGTAATCTGGCAAAGAAATATGAAGGAATAATTTCCAACAATGTAATATATATTTTTTCTACATTTAACTATTATAGATACTTTTTTAACAAATGTTATAATTATATGCTAAAGCTAAAGTTGCTTAGCCTTTATTTTAGGCACAAATTTTATATTTTATTTTATTATTAGGTAAATCACGTGCACTGCTTGTTCTTTTCAAATTTGTGTTAACACCGAAGGCGAGTGTCTTATTATGGTCCTCCCAATCTGAATTCCACGTGATAAAACTTAGTTTTCCCTCCTCTTTAACTTTTGAGATAATCTTACCATTTGCATTAACCTAAAAAAGAATTTTACGAATCAACATCGACCATTTGGTCTAACTAAAACTAAATACTAAAGGTATACTATACCTATACATATACATATAGGTATAACGCTTCACTAAAGGCTTTTGTTAAAAGCTTAGAAGATGGGCTCTGAACTCCTTAATGAATATACATCAGCGCTCAAAAACACACAGATGTTCAAATCTCTGTTGTTTTAGAATAAAGTTTACCTAGGTCCATCAAGAGAGAGAGAGAGAGAGAGGCAGTCCCAAAACAACTTGGCGTCGTTCAGTAGAGCAGGAATTGGGCATCTTGGACATAACAGGGGAGAAAGTAGAACAGACTGCCCAAGACTGCCCCAGCTGAGGGTAATAGGAAAGAAAGAAAAAGAAGAGGTCCATCAAGTCGAAACACTTGATTGTTCCGCAGCGTATGATAACAGTAGTAATAACCCAGTGGTAGAAAACCAGTAAGTACAAAAGACAAATATGTTGACTAACAGGGGAGAAAACAACAATATCATAACAAAAAAATCCATTTTCTTATTAATTACAGTATAACTCCTCAACAGCTAGGTACCTACTAACCAAAATAAAAAGAAGAAAGTTGACTAGCACAGCAGAAAATGATACCTTAATGTTCTGTCTTTTGTCTATTAACTTAGACATTTTCAAAATTTTGTTATTTTGCGTTCCGATTGGAAAATACCATTTATTAGAAAGACCCATTACATTAACTCTATTGTCGTTTCGATCAAGACTCCAGGCTACTAGCGGCATTAAAGATTTGATGTCTATGGGCTCAGGTATTAGTTTAACAAATGACTGCGAATCAACTACCTAGTTAAGTTAATGAACTAATGAAAACATTACATTTCCAAATACATTACCAAAATGGACTGTTATAGACATTTGATTTTACGATATCCGATATTACAACACATGAAATACTTACGCATTAGACGCATTTTCATATTTAAATTCACATAAACCTTTATCATTCTTAACAAATCCTTGTCTACAAATACTCGGCGTTGTCGTGGGCGAGGTCATATTTTGTTTGTTTACTGTTTCCGTAATTGGAGAGCTGTCGGAGACAGTATCCACAGTAATAGTTGAAACCAAGCCTTCAGTTGTAGAACCTTTTGACGGTTCATGTAGGGAAGAAATTGTTGTCACATTATCGTTTACAACTAAAGCAAGTGTACTTGTTTTGTTCAACGGTTTTCGTGTCGTGCCTCCTGATGGTTTGATAGTCATTTCCGAATAATCGTAGGCGTAATCATAATCCTGCAATTAATAAGAGAAACCAATCTGTATTTTATGTTATAATTTCTGTAGCAGAAGTGTATCCATCAGTATACTAAACATATTTATAGCAAACTAAGTTGCTTGATGTTTGCTTGCTTGATGTTTAGGCGTACCTGGAATTTGTATATATTTTTTTCTGTTTGTTTATTTATTCAAACGTCACACACATTGATACAAAGCGGTTCACGCTTTTGATGCAACTTTGAGTATATTGAAATTCGTCGAAACGACATTTCGTCGTGGCCTAGAGAGACGTCCGGTGCATTCGTATCTAGCGATGCAACGATGTTCAGATCCCACAGGCAGGTACCAATTGTTATAATGAAATACGTACTTAACAGATGTTTCATGATTGGCTTCGACGGTGAACAAATACCACCGTGCAATAAAAATCAAACCCGCAAAATTATAATTCGCGTAATTACTGGTGGTAGGACCTCTTGTGAGTCCGCACGGGTAAGTACCACCACCCTGCCCATTTCTGCGGTGAAGCAGTAATGCGTTTCGGTTTGAAGGGTGGGTCAGCCGTTGTAACTATACCGCAGACCTTAGAACTTATATCTCAAGGTGGGTGGCACATTTACGTTGTATAAGTCTATGGGCTTCAGTAACCACTTAACACTAGGTGGGTTGTGAGCTCATCCACCCATCTAAGCAATAAAAAATAAAAATAACCCTCTTTGGGTTGTATCTCCATCCATCTTAATTACACTTTAATGTTTTTACTACATATTAGTCATAATATAAGATACGACCGATACGGGATCTATTATTTGTGACTTAACTTAGAATACAGAGGAATGTATCCGTCTCCATAGCTACAAATCAAGGGTTTTTTTTTTGGATTGAAGGATTACTGGTGGCCCGGAGGCCTTTCCAGTTTCACCAGGACAGGTGGGCGAGCAAAGGCTTAGCCAGGAGGGGTGGGGTTTGCTAACAGCTACCCGAGCGCCTCCGAAGGAGCCCTAACAACTCAAGAGCAGCTGCTTCGCGAATGAATCTACTACTGGATCGGAATCGCTACAAGTCAAGGGTGCGGAGCGCCTGAACAAGTCTGCATGGACGTAGCCACTGGTAACACCTACCACCTCGTTGCATAAAGATTGGTTGGTTGGTACCTTTGTGAATCCGGGATACAAAACCTAATCTGCCCTAGTATTTCACCGTTCTCTTGATCTCAGAACCATAATACGAAACACTCTCCAGGACTTAGTCAGGATGGTAGCTAGTAAGATTAAAAGCCGTGTCAAATACAGTATGAATACGTGTTGCTAAGCCACCAAACGGGCAGAAGAAATACACTTAATACGTGTTGTAAGATACGGTAACGGTGTACACTTAGCCGCGACTGAGCCTCCACACCCATGAACGGCGGTAATCAATTTATATCAGTTAGAAAAAATCATACCTTCAATGGTCATGTCAATTCTGGTTGGTGGGTAATTACCGATTTTTTTAAATAAAAATAGCTCAAAATCGTAACTGCTTGCCACAAAAATACAATTTCAAAGATGTTTTACTATTTGTGATCATATATCCTAATCCATTACTAATGCCACTAAGTAAGTAATTATTTAGAATGATCACACTCACCACATAATCATCTTTGCCTTTCATTAAAGCAAAAATCTGAACATCGTTCAGTTCGAGTTGCACATTTAGTTCACCTGTTTGTCTCTGATTGTATGAAGCTGACTGAACGCATTGACAAAAGAAAACACAGAATGCCACAACTAGTAATTTCGTCATTATATTTAGTTAAATTTGAGTTAAGACAATACTACCTATGTGTGATAGTTCTAAGGCAAAGAACAGACGCGACTGGTTCGTTAAACAAGGCGCCCTGTGCGCCGTTTGCTTCAACTTAGTTATTTCCAACAACTTAACAGTTATTTCAAGTAACCGCGGGAAGGTCGATAGCCTTTGCTTGTGCACCAAGTCCTCCGATTATGTGGCTCTGCGCATATTTTTCTTGCCGTTTCAAAATGAAGTGATCTATCTACGAATTGTAGTTTTCATTGGTTTTTAAAGTTTATTTTAACTTATTACTATATTTTTCTACATCTAAAACATTAGCTACTTATTTACTTTTTGAAGTATTGTATCAAAGTTACAAATTGTGGTGGATTTCTATAATATTATAGAATTTATGAGGACTTGTATTTACTACCAACTAGCCGTACCAACAAATTCGCTCAAGTGGATACTCATTGTTGATATGATTCATGTACTTACTTAATTTAATTAAATAATAAACCTAACATATGGTAATTGAAAATATAATAAAGTCTAATATTATAAAGCTGAAGAGTTTGTTTGATTGAACGCGCTAATCTCAGGAACTATTGGTCCGATATAACATCACGCTAAAACCAATACAAGCGGACCGGAGCACCAATAAAGAATGTCTCAAAATCGGGGTTATTTCTACCTTTGAGAGCTTCCGCTGCGTGCGCTGCAGAAACGGTTAAAGTTTCGCTAAAATAATGTATGACAGAATTGTTTCCCTTTAAAAGATCTAAAAAATAGTCCGCGACAGCATATGTCTATATGTTAAGGTGGGCTCACTATAACGTTTTTTAAGCTAACCATATTTTGTTCTAAAATAAAGCATTATTTGTGAATTATTATTCCACGCGGACGAAGTCGCGGGCAAAAGCTATTTAAGAATAAAGGATTAAAGCAATATTAAGAAATATTAATAATTGTCTAAAGAAGAAATATTTAAACAAGAAATCTGAAATACCCTGATTTCAAACTACGTTTTGTTTATTTATTTAGTGATTATAGATGGGTGAGCGAGCTTTAAAATGTCTAAATAAGTTGTAAGTAAGTAAATAACTAAATAAATAAATCTAAAATGTTTATTTAGTTTCATTTAAACCTTTTTCCTTAGGCTTGATAAGGATGGTTTATGTGTAACAAAATCTTTGAACGTCATTTTCATTGACTTCAAGACGTGCGATTAATTTAAAATTTTGCACAGTCGTCGACATCCAACGACAATACAATAATTTTACTTTAATATCTTCTGGACTAGACTTCACTCTAACTTCCTGACCAGTATCTACAGAATAAAAAAATTGAAAATAGTTGTTAGTTCACTTTGCTTTTAAGCTTGTATTTTTAACTTTTGTACCTACTAAATTTATTATTGTTTATTTCATAGGCGGGTGAACGAGCTCACGGCCCGCTTTGTGAAAAATGGTTATCGGATACAATAGGCAAAACACAAAGGGGATAACGGCAACCCACCTTGAGGCATGAGGTCGATGTCTCGATTATATTATATATAGGGTTTATTTCTTTATATTATACATGCAACGAGTAAATCAGAAAAATTAAAAGAAACGTCACTAGAGAGAGATTTGTTTTAGAGAATAAACTTACTTGAGCTTATAATAGTTTGGGGGAAAAGTTCCTTCGCATTTTTTAAACTAACAAAATAATTCGTGGGGTGGTATTTGATTTAAACGACATCATGACCTTCGCTAGAAGTAATAGTGTTCTGTGATCATGACACGGTGTGATGTCGCCTTTCAGTGGTCGCCTTAACCATTTGTCCGTTACCCAAATACGATAGGGGTTTCGCATAAGCTCTTTCAGCTCAATCTATTTTCCATACAGGGTGCTACTTAAACTAAGACATAGTCGTTTTGTTTCCGATAATTCGCTTAATCGTTAAAACATTTTGATCCTATTATTTTTTAAATGCATTTTGCTTAATAAAAACGATTAAATGAAAGGATGAAACTTGAAACATTTTTACTAGTATTTTTATTAATGCTTATAATATAGTCAAAAATACCAGTCGATCTTTCAATCGTTAAATTTTAATATGATACATTTGATTCTTGTCATGCGTTAAAAATCGTAATCATTTAACCAGTGTGCTTAGTGCGAGTTTTGGAACGTTCTCGATAGCGTAAAAGTTAACTCATATTTGTATGGAATGGGATCGTTTGCGTACGTTTGCCGTCAGAGGCGCTGTTCCAATTGCATACAATATTGGCGTAACTTTTACGTTATCGAGAACGTTAAGAAACTAGCACTAAGCACACAGAAGCGCCGCTTCAGTCGCACTCCAAAGTACAGTGTTCACGTAAAACGCTCTTCTAAATCGTAGGTATCGGAAGTACTTTAATTTCATTATTTAAACTTATTTGTTTTAAGCTATTGCATAGCTTCTATCGCGGGCCATAAGCGCGGCGACTGAATCAAGAAATTATATATTTAAAACGGCAGTCACCCAAGAAAACGTTGATGCTGTGCGTAAGCTGATTGAGGAAGATCGACATGTGACATACCGCGAAATTCAGGCAACTTTAGACATTGGCATGAGTCAAATACAAATAATTTTGCATGAACAATTAGGTGTAAAAAAGTTGTTTTCCCGATGGATACCGCATTCGCTCTGTGAAGAGCAAAAAGCGGCTCGCGTTACTTGGTGCGTCAGAACTCTCGAAAGATTCCACGCAGGATCCTCAAATGCTGTATACAACATTGTATCAGGTGACGAATCCTGGATATACGCGTACGAACCCGAAACAAAAAACCAGTCACGAGTTTGGGTGTTCGAAAATGAGTTAAAGCCAACAAAAATTGTTCGTTCACGGAGTGTTGCAAAAAAAATGCTGGCCACGTTTGTCTCCAAAACCGGCCATGTTACGACTATTCCTCTTGAGGGACAAAGAACGGTTAATGCAGAATGGTATGCTAGCATTTGTTTGCCACAGGTCGTTTCTGAACTCCGTAAAAAGAACTGCAACCGCCGCATCATCCTCCATCACGACAATGCGAGTTCTCACACCGCGCATAGAACAAAAGTCCTCCCGATCCACTAACGGTGCTTCTAGGTACTTCAAGCACCGGTCACCGTTCTCGTCGAACCCGTCGCTTGCGACGAAGGGCTCGACGAGTAAATTAACTCCCAGACACAGCCCACTGAGTTTCTCGCCGGATCTTCTCAGTGGGTCGCGTTTCCGATCCGGTGGTAGATTCTGCGAAGCACGGCTCTTGGTAGGGTTCGTGTTAGCAACGTCATCAGGTTTGAGCCCCGTGAGCTCACCTACAAAAGTTNACTCCGTAAAGAGAACTGCAACCGCCGCATCATCCTCCATCACGACAATGCGAGTTCTCACACCGCGCACAGAACAAAAGAGTTTTTAGAGCAAGAAAACATAGAATTATTAGACCATCCGCCGTACAGCCCCGACCTAAGCCCTAATGATTTCTATACTTTCCCTAAAATAAAGAATAAATTGCGTGGACAGAGATTTTTATCACCTGAAGAAGCTGTGGACACCTACAAAACGGCCATTTTGGAGACCCCAACTTCCGAATGGAATGGTTGCTTCAATGATTGGTTCCACCGTATGGAAAAATGTGTCAAATTTCGCGGAGAATACTTCGAAAAGCAATAAATACATTTTTAAATAGTAATGTTGTGTCACTTCGTTAATTCCCGAAATTTTCAGTGCCGCCTATGTATTCTATTGAGTAAGTAGATAAACTACTATTTAACGCTAACTATTGGAAATAATGTGACAACTCCACTTTAAAAGGTTCATCCTATGTATTACCCTTAAAATTACTATATTTACTATTTCCGATAAATATCAAGAAGAAAGACAGAAATTCTACAAACACAAGATCAAACGAATTAGTATTTCGGACAAGCATGATAAATCTTCCGTAATTGATCAAAGCGACACCACCAAATCTACAATAACAATATCAGATCATATCTATTAAGATGAACAAGTCAACGATTTATGTATTATGATGATTTCGAACAACATAGACCGTGATGTAACTAATAACGAAGTGACTATTGGAGTCGAAAGACGCCTAAAACGTAATAAAAAATATTCTACATGTTTTTATAATTTATATGCTACATTGCTGTAAAATGTTATCAAAATCATATCAATAATTTTCACCTAAAAGAGCAACAAACATCCATTTATAAATTTACCCTTTTTGTCCACATGCGAAAATCGCCGGATCCCCATCCGCGCAGCGGGTGGGATATGTGTGAGTTGAACCTCACTAAAAACTCCTGCCGCTAACAGCCGGCGCCCTACCCCGGGCCGGGCCGGAGCCCAGTCGGCGTTATTGACACGGCGGGACAGGGCTTGCGCAGAGAATATTACATTCATCCCGCCGTCCCCCAGACGCCGGACCGGCGGCCGCCGGTGACACGACCACTGGTTCCCACGGTCGACGGGCCGGGAGCTGACCTTGATGGCGTCATGCTGCACCTTCCCCCGGGGCGTTCGGGGGAACGCGATCCCGGCTTCCTACTACGGGCGTGCTGTAAAGCACCCCGCCCCACGGCTGGGTCCCTCCCTGCATAAAACGGGTGGAGCCCGAAGCTTTTAGGTGGCCGGGTCACGGATGGGACCCCGGTCCCGACTCGCTGCTCGGCGGCGGCGGATTTCTGCGTAGTGAGGAGAACTTTACCTCACCCGCCCCGCCGCTTCCTTCTGCGAAATGGTGCACTCGCAGAAGTCGCTTTCCAGGACTCGTCGCCGCCAAGTATCGACGCCGCGACGCCAGGCAGTAACAAGTCCGGCCCTATCTTTGCGACCAGGACACGGCGCTGTACCTCCCAAGCGGGGCAGACAGCGAGCGTATGCTCCGCCTTATCCAGGTCGTGTCCACAATAGTGGCAAATCGTCGTCGGCTCAGCTCAGCTATCCGGTGCAGGTACTTCCCGAAGCATCCGTGCCTGGTCAGCACCTGCACCAGACTAAAGATGAAGCGTCCTGCGCAACGATTCACCCAGTCATCAAAGACCGGGTAAACCGCCTCGACATCCATTTACGCTAAAAAAAAATCGCGTTTACAATAGTACTCAACCGTACTCTTGGCAGAGTTCGACGACCATCTAATCTTAAACATCAGCCCGCTGAGATTCTCGCTGGTTCTTGTCAGCGGGTTGCGATTCCGGTCTGGTCTAGAAATCACTTTAGAAAAAAGGAGTGCCTTATTTAATTTTCGGAATTACATAAGGAAAGAACAGAGAAATGGATAATATCCCATAATATGCTATGATGATAATGCCTTTTAAACAATCCATAAAAAAAAGAGATCCAAAGACTCTAATTACATGATTATCACATTATTATGATAAATAGGGTCAGGGACTAGATTCTTTAAAATTCCTCATGAATATTCTTGATACTTAAACATACTTTTATTAAACCTACATACATAGGTCTTTGTTATTTGTAATAATAACACACTATGAGACTATGATGTCTCGAAATAAAAGATTTTATTTTTATTTTATTTTTTATTTATAATAATCGATTTTTCAAAATCGATTTCTAGTTGATAACAAAACTAAACGAAAACCATAGATGACCACAATCTGAAACCATAGTCTGAAACACATAATTGTTTTTATTTCGCTAAAAATTGTTTACAAAGTTAATGTTGTTGAAATACTGTAAGATTATTACACCTATGAAGTATTGTGAATAACATGGGTGATTATTCACGACAAAATTAAGATTTCTCTAGCAAGGGTCGCCCGCATTGCTTTAACAAAATGATAAAGTTTTGGAAAAGTGCAGGTAAGCCCACAATAATTTAAATTTTCTGATAAAAAGATTCTTCGCTACTAATAATAATGGCTCATTCATATTATTTTGAATTATTTGTTTTAGCAAAGGGCAAAAGCGGGTGCCCTGTACGACCTCCTGAGAAGACTTCTGAAACTACTGTTGATTTCAATAACATACTAAATAGTACGCAATTTCTTCATGACATTAAAGGTCGGTTCTCTGTGTCCATAGTCAAAACTGAGTTAATTGTTTAATATGAAAAGTTGTATTTCAGAACATAAACAATATTTAACTTTAACCAATAGTTGCAGACAAATGGCCAGTCTATTTTGAAAGTGAACACAGCTTACCTTCTACCAAGAATAAGCACTCGTAGATGCAGTTATTGCGTTACGTAGCATACATTCAGAACTGTTCTATCTTATTTGTATGTAACAAGTTATCTCTCATGTAACAAAGTATGCATGCTGAGAGCATGCAGCAACATTATTTCTTATCATTGGCAGACTAGCTCCATAATCTGCTGCTGTTAGCATTACCTGAGCCCTTCACAACATCATAACATTAGTGTTTCCCCATACTTTGAGACATTTGTTTAGTCGTGGCCTAACGGATAAGACGTCCGGTTAATTCGTGTTGAGCGATGCGATGTACTGGTGTTCGAATCTCAGGCGGGTACCAATTTTTCTAATGAAATACGTACTCAACAAATGTTCACGATTGATTTCCACAGTGAAGGAATAACATCGTGTAATAAAAATGAAACCCGCAAAATTATAATTTGCGTAATTACTGGTGGTAGGACCTCTTGTGAGTCCGCACGGGTAGGTACCACCACCCTGCCTATTTCTGCCATGAAGCAGTAATGCGTTTCGGTTTGAAAGGTGGGGCAGCCGTTGTAACTATACCTGAGACCTTAGAACTTATATCTCAAGGTGGGTGGCGCATTTACGTTGTGGATGTCTATGGGCTCCAGTAACCACTTAACACCAGGTGGGCTGTGAGCTCGTCCACCCATCTAAGCAATATAAAAAAAAAAAAAAAANGAAGCAGTAATGCGTTTCGGTTTGAAAGGTGGGGCAGCCGTTGTAACTATACCTGAGACCTTAGAACTTATATCTCAAGGTGGGTGGCGCATTTACGTTGTGGATGTCTATGGGCTCCAGTAACCACTTAACACCAGGTGGGCTGTGAGCTCGTCCACCCATCTAAGCAATATAAAAAAAAAAAAAAAAAAAAAAGTTTCATTCAAGAAAATTGTCATCTTTTCTTGTGGGTCTCGTAAATACTACCAAGAAATTCAAAAAAGAATGGCAACATCATTATCTGGAGAGCTATATTAGCATACTACAATCTTTCCATTTATTGACTGCAACACCCAGTGTGTCCCTGCACATATTATTATAGGTACCAACATCCTGCCTATTTCTGCCCTGGAGCATTTATCCTTTCTGCTTTGAGGGTTGAAATAGTCATTATAAAATACAATTGAACTTAAATTTGTATCTTAACAGGTGTGGCTGCAATCATAAAATGTCTATAGATAGGCTATGGTAACCATTAAACAACATGTGAACTGTTCATTCTCACATCTAAAATAAGATGTGTGAACAATAATTTCTAAGATAGAAATGCTTAAAGCTTTTGATGGAGGTAACGAGAGGATGCCCCATCCCTTTCCTGCAAACCATTTAGTATAGAATTTACAGTGTTAATTTTATATCTACCTGACTTGCTTAGTTTTGAACAGGTTGAATTTTTGGAGATTTTGATTTAGACAAAAATATCGGCTTACATGAAAATTCCATTAATACAACAGCTACCTTTAACTCCCAGAATAAATCTATACTAAAATAATACTAATATATAAATCTACAGTGTTTTTTACCAATGTTCTGCTATAACTACTGAACCATGCATCTGATTGACTTGAAACTTGGTATCCATGTAGAAAATACATGTACTTAATGGATAGGCTAATATTTATATGAGTGTTGGACTCCCTACACCAGTTGTGGGGGTGTTAATGATGAGAATCTTTGTGGGGGTGAGAAATAATAATGTTAATTTTAAATGCCCAGTGAAGCAAACGGTGCAGCTAGTTCTTTATAAACAGATTGGGAACTTGGGTTCGAAACAAATTTGGTAATAATAACAATTAATTTGCAATGTTGCCTTGCGAACATCTGCTATTTAAATAGGGATTATGGAGTTAGGTAGGAAAAGATGGCAAAATTGCAAAACATGGGCACATAAAAGGAAACATCTGTTGTTTATGTCTATTCAACACTGGGGCACAAGAGCTTGAAATACTGTAATTGCTGAGAAATTGACCATGATTGGTGCTGAGATGCATTTGAACAGCCGCCGGTTTTTTTGGGTGCTTTTGATATGAACTGAAGTCCTGAGCGTCTACTTAAATTAGATTTTTTGAAAAACAACACCAGGAGATCTTTAAGTAAAAGCTGTACTGAAAAGATTTGATGACCATTTGAGAATTGCTCAGTGTAGGTCTCAATAAACTGACAATTTTTATGTTGGATTTAGTCCTGGACAATGATGTGGAACACTAGGAAGTCACAAATGCTCCAAGTAGGTCAGAGTGGTCTATTGGTTTATAGCCCTCACCCTTTGGGAGCAATAATAATAAATAATTATTTTTTGCTTGTTCATAACTGTAAAGTAATACTCTTTAATTCCAGATTCTGAAGATATTTTTGAAAAGAAATCCAAGTTGTCCTTGTCATTAAATGACACTCTCCTTAAAAGAAAAGCAACTACGTATTTTATGCAATACATGGAAACCATCGGACAACATTTACTTGTTAAATGTTGGCTAGATTTGGAAGATTTCAAATCACACTTTAGAAATACAGACAATGTTAGAAAAAATAATTTTGTATTCTGTAAAACTCAGAGCTGTGATCTATATTGTGATCACAGTCATTTACAGTCCAAAATTGAGCGCAAGGAAAAAATCTCACAAAAAGCCAACTGTCACAACACTGTAATAAACACAAATAATACAAATATAACAGTGTTATCTTCTACTAGTTCATGTGGAAGTTTATTTGACCAGGTAGTGCTAAATATGTACGGGAATAATAAAAAATCTCAAAATTCCACTGAAGAAGCTGTAAATTTATTCAAAAAGTATATAGCTTTAGAAGCACCATATCAGATAGGTATACCTGATAATGTAAGAAAATCAGTGATAACAAATATTTGTCATGTGGATGGACCGACTGAAGACTGTTTTAAGTCAGTGCAAGATATGTTATTTACTCGAATCGAAGAAAATCATTTTGGTGACTTCCTCAATACTCCACTTTATATCAAAGCACAAATAGATATACTCACAAATGGCTCTCTCCAATTGAAAGATATTTTATACAATGACACACTCTTATTTTACTTCACTGAATATTTGGAACAAGAATCTTGTAGGATATTGCTTGAATTTTTAATGGCCATTATACATTTCAGAGATAACTTAATCAATAATAATAATGATAATACTGATCAAGCTCAAGCTGACGCCATTGTAATATACGAAAAATACTTTTCCTTACAAGCAACTAACCCACTTGGTTTCCCAACAGATATTAGACTTAAAATCGAGAGTGAAATATGTAGAGAAAACGGACCTCAGTATGATTGTTTTGATCTGCCTTATCGAATAGTTTATATGACAGTTACCCATTATGTGAAAACATTTCTAGAATCCAACATGTACTATAAATATCTTTCAGAAATGATCCACTCTGTGGATTATAATATGTCATCGCTAAATCATAAGTCTTATTCTGACTGTAGCAGTGAATATAGTGTCAGTACACAAAATACATTGCTGGCAATGGGGGATCCAGTCTTCCGAAGAAAAAAACGTAACCACTCTGTACCTGATATGACGATAGACTCTAATCAGCTTTACAATGCAGATTCACTATGGAAAAGAACTAGACATGAAGGCCTTACTTTAGGAAGAATAAATAGTTTAGGTAGGTTTGAATCCAAGTTTGAACCAGATCCAGACAAAAAGGAATCTGTTTTAAAAAAAATGGTAAATCGCTTTGTGCCAATAAGTACGTCTAAAGTAGAAGAAGAAATGGCTTGGCAAATAGCCCACATGATTGTAAAAGATGTAACAGATCTGACTATGGCACCACCAGATAATGAAGAAGAAGAAATGTAAAGAAATGTGATAATTGTCATAAAAATTGTAATTAATATATTTTGTACATTAGAAATTAAAGACTTACCAAGTAAATGTTGATTGAAAATAAATATTAATTTTTAGATACCTGTACATTTCATTTGAAAAAATAAATGTTGCTGGTTTTTTAACAGAATCTGCAAGGGTTTCAAAAATGATTTCTGTTTATTCCTATTCTATTTTATTCAATTGAAGTATTATAATAAAATCCTGAATCAGTTAAAGTAATTTTAATTCATCTAGAATAAATATGTATCTGGTGTTAAATGTTTATCAAAACTCATAAATATCAAACGTGTCTCAAAGTGGGTGTCGAGATTCTCGCCACCCAACCTGAGAGACATGCAATCGAAGTCTCAGTAATAATATATAACTTCAAACTGGAACACAAAATGCTTCATCATCATCAACATCATTCTCCGCTCTTCTACCAGACACCTGGGCTCGGCGCAACATGTTTTCTCCTTCCAGACTCCTCTATCATATACCATTTCTTCGCTTATTCCCCTCTTACACGTATCGTCTTTCACGCAATCCATCCATTTCTTCTTAGGTCTACCTCTTCCTCTATATCCTTCGACATTCATAGTTAATACTCTCTTACCAACCTCATTTTCATTTCGTCTCATCACAATACGTCCATACCATCCCACACGCGCACTTCTCAACTTCTATGTCACAGGTGCCACTTTCAGACTTCGTCTAACATATTCATTCAGTATTCAATCCATTCTTGTTACTCCACACATCCATCGCAACATTCGCATCTCTGCTGCATGCAATCGCCTTTCATCCTTTGCGGCAGAAATTTATTTATTTCATTTTTTACACAATTCTGTTTCTTTAATCTGGAAGTTGTTCAAAGCATCTGTTTCATTACAAAAAAAATGCCCGCAGGATTTGAACTCAGGCACAGTCGAATCGCTCAATAAAATTACATCTGGTGTCTTAACCTGTCTAGACCCTTAGTAACAGAAATATTTCAGTGCGCCACTTAGGACACCGATGACCTACAAGGGAGTTAACGTGTTAAAAAATTATTAGTTTCACTTTATGAGTTTCACTTTAAATATTATTTTAGTTAGTAGTTTCAGTTGTTTCTGAAATGGAATGGTTGGGGAAGGTTTCTTGGCTATTCCTGTAGTTCTGATACATTAATTGATCAATTCAAAATAATATCTAGGCACTCTTTATTTAAAACCAGTAGAATCCTGCGATGATTAAAGTTAACCTACTTAGTTAGAAATCGAATGCGACGTGTAAGGGAACTTTCTTAGACATTACGATTAAATTTTTGTTCCACGTAAGCGGGTATTGGAACAATCATTGTTAATCGCTTTGTTTATAAATCAATATTTCCCACTGCATGGAAAAGTGCAATTGTGAAGTTGAAGTGCAAATTGTAAATGGCAAACGTAAATGATAAGAAAATTGCGCAAGACTAGGTTTCTCTAAATTCTGCCCGTGCGTTCCGCCTTTTTTATTGCTTAAATGTGTGAAGGAGCTCACGGTCCACCTAGTCTTAAGTGGTTATCGGAACCCATAATCATTAACAACGTACCTAAATGCCGTCACCCACCTTTTCACATAAATTCTAAATCTCAGTTTTTTTAGTAAAAAGGCTGTCCCATCTTTCGAACCGAAACACAATACTGCTTCACGGCAGTTTACCTACCCTGAGGTTAGTGGCGGCATTTATGCTGTAGATGCCTATGAGCTCCGGTAACCTCTTAACACCAGGTGGGCTGTGAATTCCACCCAACTACGCAATAAAAACAAACCCGTGGGGCTCACAAGAGCTACAGTTAGTACCTAAATACGCAAATTATAATATTTGTGGGTGTCATTTTTATTAGTCGTAGTTATTTCTTCACCGCGAGTCATTCATGAACACGCCTAGAATAGCACCACTCCATCTCTTCAAGTTGGCGTCATAAAAGACGATGGGGCTATTTGAAGTCGTCGTGGCCTAAAGGATAAGACGTCCGGTGCATTCGTATGTAGCGATGCACCGGTGTTCGAATCCCGCAGGCGGGTACCAATTTTTCTAATGAAATACGTACTTAACAAATGTTCACGATTGACTTCCACGGTGAAGGAATAACATCGTGTAATAAAAATCAAAACCCGCAAAATTATAATTTGCGTAATCACTGCTGGTTAAGACCTCTTTTAAGTCCGCACGGTACCACCACCCCGCCTATTTCTGCCGTAAAGCAGTAATGCGTTTCGGTTTGAAGGGTGGGGTAGCCTTTGTAACTATACTGAGACCTTAGAGCTTATATCTCAAGGTGGGTGGCGCATTTACATTGTAGATGTATATGGGCTCCAGTAACCACTTAACACCAGGTGGGCTGTGAGCTCCACCACCCATCTAAGAAATAAAATAATAAATAAATAAATACTAACTGCGCGCGGGCTGGTAGGTGAACTCAACGGGCTCAATCTGAAAGAATTGCTAACACTGGTCCTAGCAAGAGCAGGGCTTCGCTGAATCTACCACCGCATTGGAATCGCGACCCATTGAAAAGTTCCGGCGGGAAAATCGGTGGGTTGTGTCTGTGGGCTAGTTCACACGTTGAACTCTTCGTCGTAATCGACGAGTTCGACGAGGACGGTGAACGGTTCTTGAAGAGCCTAAAGCACCGTGAGCGGCTCCGAAGGATACGACAAGACATGTTTTAAGCCACAGCGACTTTGCTTTACTCTATCGCTTGTGTCAAGTGTGTAATTAGCGGTGGCCACGATAAGAGGGTTATCGTGTGAGACGGCTATCCTGCGGAAAACAGATTTGATGACCTGGAGATAGTTAATGTGTGTACGGGCCGCGTGAGCGAACACTACACTTGCATATGCCATGAGGGAACGTATGCAAGTTTTGTAGAATGTCACCAAGTTACGAAGGGACAATTTATATATCTTCGTACGTTTGTACGAGACTTTCGAGTACGTTTATGTTGTACAGTTTGTAAATTGAACCGTTGTGCCAGACCTTGTCGAAAGCCATCACGATATCAAAGAAGAGGGCTCCCGTGGGGACGGATCTAGGTCTATTTAGTCCTACTGTGATGTGCTCCGTGAGGCAGTGCACTTATTGGATGCCCGAATGTTTGGCGCGGAAACCAAACTGTTCGCGGAAGCCTTCGAGGTGATAAAGTCTCAGAAGCGTTTACGAATCGTTCGTTCATACAGTTTGCCTATCTCTGGGAGGGAGGGCAACCGGGCGGTAGTTTACGGGTTCGTTTTTGGGTTTAGATTTTGGTATGCCGTTAACGTCCGCTTGTTTCCCCACAGCGGAAAAGATGCACTATGTCATAGCGGCATTTAAAATAGAGGCGAACATGATTATTTGTTGGGCGGGTAAAAATTTTAATACACGGTTGTGGATGGTGTCATAGCCGGAGGTTTTCCGTAGTTGTAGGTTTTTGTCTGCTTCTTTAACTTTGGTAGCAGCAATGGGGGTTTCGTTCTGTGAGAAATGAAACGTAAAATCGTCCGTGATACCATGAAAACTGAAAAGTACTCGAAATATCGAATAATACAATGGAAGTAGTTTTCATTATAACTGATTTACTTGCTTAATAGAAGATAAAGGATCAGAAAACAATTTGAGACAAGGTAAAGTTTGAAAAAGAACGACAGCTGATAAAAACGGAATAGCATAGACGACGTGATGACGATGAGCACCTAATTAATCATCATGATTACGTTTATAGAACAACAACAAAAAACGAATAAAAATATAACAATATAATGGATTAACAACATACGGGAGTCGCATTAAAACATAATAAGTATTTAGCAACTAACTAAACTATGTAGATACATCACAGAGTTGCATAATTATTTATACTAGGCGGAGCAGCGGACATGTGATGTCTTGGTGGCTCCGAGCCCAGCAATGGTGATTGTTCATCGTAATACATAACATCTCGGCGAAACATTTTCGAATTTCTCTGAGAAAAACGCCATTTACTTAAATTCCATCTCCGATATACTAAAGCATTCAGTAAGGCTTGCATCGGGTTGAGAAGAGCCTGAAAATATAATGAATTTACTTACAGTCATTATGTTACAAAGAAGTTTGAAACTGCATTTATATTCAGTTTATAGACGAGAAGGCTAAAAATAGTTGTATTACTAAAGAATCTGCTTTTTTATATAGCTTAGATGGTTGGACGAACTCACGGCCAACCAAGTGTAAAGTGGTAACCGGAGCCAATAGACATCCACAACGTAAATGCCACCACCTACCTACGAGACATGAGTTGTAAGGTCTTCATTTTAACAGTACAAAGGTACAACGGCTGCCCTACCCTTCAAAGCGAAACGCATTACTGCTTCACGGCAGAAATAGGCAGGGTGGTGGTACCTACCCGTGCGGACTCACAAGACGTGCTACCACCAATAATTACGCAAATTATAATTTTGCGAGTTTGATATTGTATTACACGATGTTGTTCTTCGCAATGGAAGTCAATCGTGAACATTTGATAAGTACGTATTTCATTAGAAAAAGTGGTACTTGCCTGTGGGATTCGAACACCGTTGTATCGCTAGATACGAATGCACCAGACGTCTTATCCTTTAGGCCACGACGACTTACGTTGATGTTGCTGAGTTTAAATATAATAATATTATATTTTATATCATATTTTCGTAATACATACCATAATATACCAAATGACAACTACTGCGTTTATCGGTACACTAAACCACATCGTCCACAAAAGTATACCATTCAACAGGTTTGGGAGCCAACATATGTAAAACACAATGTTGATAAAGAAGAACTTCAAACGTAAAGCATCTACAACTCTTCTTTCTTTGCTTGTAAACTGAAAATAATTATTTGTTCTTTGAATAACTAAAAATCTCTTGTAATACAATTCTTACAGTAAAATTATATTAGTTAATCAAATTCAAAACATACCTGCGCTAGGGGTAATGATATGGCTGTTTCAACATTCTTGCTTGAAAACATGTATATTATAGGATTGGCTATCATGACAATTGCAATTGGAACATATGATGCAAAGTAATTTGGTAAAATTTTATATAAAGCACTAGTTACTGATGGTAAATTATGACACCTAAAAATAAAAGTTATTAATCTTTGCTAAAGCTTACAATTAGTAAATATAAATATTTCAATAACATACTAACATTGCATTAGGAATATATAAGATTGACAGTCCGATGCTAGTAGTGGCTATAGGAAGTCCCCAAGCAAAAGAATGATACAAAATTGTATGCGAATCACGCCTCTTGATAGTATTCCATGTATCTATGGCATAAAAAAGAGTCCAAAACCAAGTTGCTGTATAGAAATATTGTATCCAGGCCTAAGGAAATAGAAAAATGTAATATACTATATGTTATACTATACTTAATTTATGAAAGTATAATTATAAATGTAAAGAAAAACCTCTTTAGTTTTCAAAAGATTTTTCTTAGACAACCCATCACTCAATGAAGAGAATAATTCAATCTTACAGAATATAATAATATTGTTTAAAATATTAATTTATATAGAGATATTATGGGCTTTAAATGTTTTTTTNTAGAAAAATGTAATATACTATATGTTATACTATACTTAATTTATGAAAGTATAATTATAAATGTAAAGAAAAACCTCTTTAGTTTTCAAAAGATTTTTCTTAGACAACCCATCACTCAATGAAGAGAATAATTCAATCTTACAGAATATAATAATATTGTTTAAAATATTAATTTATATAGAGATATTATGGGCTTTAAATGTTTTTTTTTCGTATTTATATTACAGATGTGTGAATATTTTATTAGATGAATGCATTTAATTGTTTTCATTTTGTATTATCAATATATTCATATTTATATTACAGAAAAAGCAGTTAAGTTTTTAATTGTTTGATGTATTTGATATCATTATATAAATACCCAAAGCTAGTATAGGAGTAAAAAAAAACAAAAGCAAGGCAAGGAAACTGAAAAACTTGAAAAACTAACCAGTGTTACCAATAAAACAAACAAAAATCTGAAGAATATTCCTCTGAATTCAATTAATTACTAATAAAAACTAAAACAAATTTGAAAAACCCTGATATTATAGCACATAGGTTTAAGGTCAAACTTTGACTGATATCTGTACTCACAGAAATAATACTACAGAATAATACACTGACATCATCACCAGGCATGGGCATTATGTTTTTATATTTAAGCCAGAGAGAAGACCGAACTAGAACACCTGAAAACAAATAAACAAAATTATTATAAAGTCACATTCAACTTTTCACCATAATGAAATATATTTTTGAGTTCATTGCCATTTCTTATCAGTACTGTATTAAAGAAATTTTAACATAGGCCAATAAAATTTTAGTGGCACATAGTAACAAGTGCTGAAACTGATTTCACTTTACTACTAATGAAGGACATATTATTTTATTTTGTCCCAGATTGTTTATTGTTATTTATTAAACACTACTTTCATCTACTGAAATGTTTATACCCGAAGATGCCAGCAGGTCTGCAATTGCTAGCCAGATGATAATTCTTCGCCCTTGAGATAGATTCTTTCTTGGTCTTGTAATTGATAAAATATCTGGGAAGATCTAAAACATGTTTTTTCTACATCTCAATTCTAAATAAACATTATTAAAAGCCTTGGAATATTTTAATAAAATTAAAGTTAATTATCATTTATAAAAATTCTATAAACATGTTATCGTTTTCTGAGATAAATAATTATATGTACATATAGTATAAACAAACTTAAAAACACCCATGAAAATAATATTTCACACACTTTGCCATCGTCGCCTATAAAATAAACCAATTTTATTATTTTAAAATAAGTTCAATTATCTTAATTACTACATTAATTGATTTAACTATAAATATTTTATTGTCATTATTACCTGATAAATAGCACCTAAGATTCCAATGGAAGAAGAAACCAAACATACTATATTATACGAATCAGTGTTAAATTCATCCATAATTCGTACGGCCATGTCCTCTTTACTTCCTGTATGATGGCAACAAAATGTCTGAATCGTTGGATCAGCCATTTTAAAAAATATATTAAGTAGATTTTAATTTTTTTATTATCTTTGGAAACTTAAACGTTAAACGTTACAAGAATTCAGACACTGAATTTTACACATGCTTCTATTTGAGTGTTTATTTTTCAAACAGCTGATTAACGAAAGAATGTCATGTAATTGTCACTTGTCACTATTCAAGAAATAAGGCAAAGGAATAAAACGCCACATGGTCATTTTCTTCCTATTCTGTTATTGTGGACGCTTAATGTTTAGTATTATTTTATATTTAATATTTCTCTAGATGTTAAATTATTTAATAGCACCTAACTAGCTCTAGTACAGCTAACTTTAGCTTAATATTTTTTATAATGCTAAACTTTTTCACCTCTAATAATATCTGAATTTATCCTCTAATAATTATAAATAAGACTTAGATGCGAGTAATAGTAAGTGGTACTATTAACTTGTTATCTGGTTTAAAAATTACATACAATTCTTCTATATTATCTTCAGTACGAAAAAATATTTTTATATTCTGTGCTAGCTGACCCGGCAGACTTCGTAGTGCCTGAATCGATAAATAAAAGACCTAAACTTTTGCATAAAATAAACATAAAACAAACAAAAGGAATCCGTCCCACGGGGGCACATCAAAGGAAAAACAAAATTGTTATTATTATTTAATTCCGAGCATTTTCATATTTATCTACATTTTCAACCTTCTCTGGACTTCCACAAATAAATCAAGACCAAAATTAGCCAAATCAAACCAGCCGTCGTCGAGTTTTAGCGGGACTAACGAACAGCAATTCATTTTTATATAAATAGATTATTTCTAAAATTCTTTTACCAGACAATAAAGACCCGTCGCATTTGCAAGTAAATAACGTATGAAATTTTATACATACGATACATGGAAATGTCTCCGGAATGAAACGTTAAATTAGGGCTAAAATAAAATTTGAATATTTTCCTGCAAACCAGTGAAAGTTCCATCAGTATCTGAAAAAGTTCGGACATCTGAAGTGGATGAAAACGCTTCAGGTGCCCAAACGGATAAATATACAGAAATATAAGAAATGCGCGTTTTTAATTTATTTTAAGTACCTAAATCATATCGTATCATCAATCATAAATTCAGTTTCCACTTAATACTAAGTACCTATATAATTGTACAAAAATCTAGAATGCTGGCCTACTTCACATCATGTTATAAGAATCGGATCCGTAAAATGGGTAAATAGTCCTATCACATCAACTTAATATGCGGTGAACTAATAAAGTTCGAATCAACTAATTCAACTATACACCTACCTACTATTTTTATAATGGATCAATTGAATTGAAGTCGTCGTGGCCTAAAGGATAAGACGTCCGGTGCATTCGTGTGCATCGGTGTTCGAATGCCAGGTGGGTACCAATTTTTCTAATGTAATACGTACTCAACAAATGTTCACGATTGACTTCCACGGTGATGGAATAACATCGTGTAATAGAAATCAAATCCGCAAAATTACTTATAATTGGCGTAATTACTGGTGGTAGGACCTCTTGTGAGTCCACACGGGTAGATGCCACCACCACCCTGCCTATTTCTGCCGTGAAGCAGTAATCCGTTTCGGTTTGAAGGGTGGGGCAACCGTTGTAACTATACTTGAGACCTCACGTCCTTACGGATCCATCAGATCCAATAACTCTTGCATTAGATACCTTCAGCTCTAACACTAGGAGCAGGCTGAGGAACTCCGGTAACTGTACTCGTCGAATTGTACAAAGAGGTCGACGTGCAACCTAACCCATGCATAGCCCGCTGAGTTTCTCGCCGGATCTTCTCAGTGGGTCGCGATTCCGATCCGGTAGTAGATTCAATCGCAAGCAATTGCTCTTGAATTGTTAGGTCTCCTTCGAAAGCGCTCGGGCAGTTGTTAGCAAATCCCAGCTCTCCTGGCTGAGCCTTTGCTCGCCCACTTGTCCCAGTGAAGCTGGAAAGGCCTCCGGGCCACCAGTAATCTTTCAATCATAAAAAAAAAAACTGGAGACCTTAGAACTTATATCTCAAGGTAGGTGGGGCATTTACGTTGTAGATGTCTATGGGCTCCAATAACCATTTAACCACCAGGTGGGCTGTGAGCTCGTCCACCCATCAAAGTAATAAAAAAAATAGCAATCAATAACATTTTCAGTTACCGGAGCTCATGAGGGATTACAACTTAAACGCGGCTGTCCACATTGAGACATTAAGGTCAGAGGCCTATTTACAGTGCACCAATTGAAACCAACTATAAATTAGAAAAATTGAGTGAATGAGTGAAAAAATAAGTCCAATGGTAGTAATGGATCAGGCCACAATATACTTACCCTACCACCAATGCTTGATATAGCAATTATAAACAAGAAGTATAGGAAGTTAGGTAGGATATTAAGGTGAGATATCTGGTATCGATGTGAAAGGATTACTATTTAAATGAAACATTATTTATTGCGAATAATAATAAAATTAAATTGTTAGAACAGAGACAATCGACAAAGTATTCCATTTGTAACAAATTTTACTTGACTACATCGGTGGCCAAGGTAGTAGAAATTGGAATAACTGTGAGATTCTGATTAACAGCAAAACACGGATTGATTGGATCTCGAATAGAACCGTGCTCTAGTGTACAGTTAAGGTTATTCTGGCTGATACCTCCATAGTTTCCTTCAGTAGTTAGTTTTAGAGCTACAGCTTGGTTTGGGTCATCTGAAAAAGGGCTTGTGGTGCTGTTTATAGTATCAATCTCGACTTTCTCGTTTTCGACTATAGGTGGCTCAGTAACATTATTTTCTGCTGCCGTATTTAACAATACGGAACATGGGATAGTCGTCATATACTCCTTTGCTGTCTTTGTTATAACAGTTACGATACATTTCGTACCGTCTTGTCCATTGTTGTTCGAATTTATATCTTTGGTATTAGCATCAGGAGAAAATGATGTTGCAATTGCACACGGAATTGCAAGTACTTCTGTAGCTTTTTCGCCGCTAATAGTTAAAGTACAATTAACTAAATCAGATAAAAATGAGTCATTCGCTGGGGAAGAATCATTTGCAGGCGCAACTGCAACCGGTTGTCCTCTGTTATCATAAATAACGGTGTGATGGCGATTTCCAGTAGATCGAGCCAAGTTCCAGAGTGCTAATCCAGTAAGAAGAGTTCCTACCCCAGCTCCTGCAATCCCAACACCTGTAAGCGCACTTCCTGTGCGACTAACCCCACCAAACCCTTTACCATTATTCGCAAGGTTTCCAAAGAATCCAGGCATTTGTGACGCGTATCCTGGATTATAATTTCCATATCCTCCGAAATTGTTCCCAGCACTATATGGCGGTGGAGGTCCTTGTGGATGGTAGTATTGGTTTCCGTTATTAGTATATTGGGATTGTCCTTGATGATAAGGTACTCCGACTCCTGAACCTGATAAACCGTTATTTGGTTGAGGATAGCTTCCGCCTTGTTGTTGTGGATAGTTACTTTTTGCCTGTTGTGTCATTCCACTTCCTGTTTGCGGTGAGTTACCAGTACCAGAACTACCGGAAAGACCGGAATTGGACGATGGGTACGAATGACTCTGCTGATTATTTGTTCTTGTTTGTTGGGAGTTCGAATACTGAGGAGCATTATTTCTTTGAACAGTTTCTTGATACTTGGGTGGTTGTTTTGGCTGGCTGTTCCCTGACAGTCCTGTTTGACTAGAAGGATAGGAATGACCTTGACTTTGACCAGATGATTTGGATTGCCACGAAGAAAAGCTTTGAGTATTTGTAGCTGGTTTTTCCTGCCATCCAGACAATGACGGCTTATGCGCTGCCGACTGAGGATAACTAAAAGATGTTGGGGCTGGTTGAGGCTTGTAGCTAGTTCTCTTACTTGATCCTCGACTCGAACTTCGACCGCTTGAAATCTTTTTACACTCAATACAAATGAATATGCACATTGTAAATACAAATATTAATAGTTTTTTATCCATCTTGCGAAACACTTTATTTTCTCCGATCCGTCCAAACAGTTTTATACGATACAGATGCGATCGCCAAGGAGCGTTTATTAATACTAACTCAGTGTTCGCTTCTAGTACATTCTGTCTCGTATATTGAGTTAAGTGAGTAAGTGTGTGGTCGATTGTTGTTCGCCCACCCTACTGCGCAATACGCCGTTGTAACTATGTAGAGCTAAAATATTCTTGGAACATGCTAACAACTCGACCCCTACCAATGGGCTTCGACGAATCAATACTTTTACAGAGAAACACGTACAGGTCGATAACGGTCATTCACACTGATTTTTGTTTAAGAAGCGATCAGTAACACTGAACGAAAATTTCACTAAATTCAATCTATTATAGAATAATAATACCTCAATAGAGTCACAAAACAAATTTTATCTTATTTGATCGTGTTAACGTGATTTGTCCATAATATAATGACGAGGTCCCGTCGACTGTAAACACCCAAACGGTACATCCAACTCGCAAATTTGGTTCGTACCACCCCTACTATTATAGATCCAACTATAGAAATGAATCACCTACCAAACCAACCCACTCTAGTTCAGAACATGCTCAATAGTCGAAATAGGAAATAATGAGAGAGACCCAAAAAAATATCTGAAAACAAGGTGAGTTTACTAACCTAACAGACCCAAGGGGGAAAATGGCTACTCGATCCCTAACTCGCGGTAGGCAGCAACTTGGCTATGCCGCTGAGATTATTTGCATCCATGAGCTACGACTTCCACCTGATGATGGATGATGATCCTTCTATGTGATGATGAGTTTATCTCGAACTCGACTGCCCACAGTCGCAATAAAAAAGGGTTTATTGTTATTATTATTATTTCTTTCATTTATTGACGCATAAAACAAATTACAACCATAGAAATTATAAGCTTAAATATTTAATATAACAATCTAGATTGCCATTCAAAACAGGTGCATACAGAAAAATTATAACAATTGAACTGATGCCTAAATACCTTTTGTGTATATATACATGTATATACATACACACATACGCTCACACACGTATGTTAGTTACTATCTAATTAAATTAAATCTAATGTACATATATAATAATAATAAATGATTATTATTATTAATACTAATTTACATATCGACAATATTATAATATTTCATAGATATCGGATATATGACCATGAATATCTACGGTTACAGTAAAAAACACGGTATTGAATTTAATTTCAATTGAGGGTAGGGCAGCCGTTGTAACTATACTGAGATTTTAGAACTTATATCTCAAGGTGGGTGGCGCATTTAGGTACGTTGTAGATGTCTATGGGCTCCAGTAACCACTTAACACCAGGTGGGCTGTGAGCTCGTCCACCGACATAAGCAATAAAAAAAAAACGCGTGAGCAATCTCGCAGGAGATTCGGCTACTGATGAAAAATATGACTTACCGCTTATAAGAGACACACTAGCATCATCAATAAGTGCTATGCATAAAATCCAACATTTTTTCAGAAATCTTAATCTACACGAGCTGCTGAAAAAGAAGGTTATTAAATTCAAAGTAGAAGATTAATCATAGTCTAGACTTAATCCGCTTTGCTTTACAGTTTGTTTTCCGCTTTAGCTTANTTCGGCTACCGATGAAAAATATGACTTACCGCTTATAAGAGACACACTAGCATCATCAATAAGTGCTATGCATAAAATCCAACATTTTTTCAGAAATCTTAATCTACACGAGCTGCTGAAAAAGAAGGTTATTAAATTCAAAGTAGAAGATTAATCATAGTCTAGACTTAATCCGCTTTGCTTTACAGTTTGTTTTCCGCTTTAGCTTATGCTTTACGGACTATTTTAGAGATTTTAGTCCCTAAAACATGTCATAAGATTGGCAGTGTTCCAGTCCCCATAAAGAAAGTACGTGTAAACGTTCAAAATATTGTATTTAAGCCCTATTGATACCGCTTTATATTTGTAAAATACTGTTACGCGCTGGGGTACGAGATAAATAAAAATTCTACCGAAGTCTAAGTTAAAACTGTAAACTTAGAACACTTAAAACACTTCACAAACACTTTAAAATTCTCAATTCGCTTCTTCCGCTTCGCTTCAGGTGATCCGTTCGCTGTTTCGCTCTGAGTATCTCCGATTACTAACTGACTCGTGACATCTCTGCAATGCTTTTGTAGTCTATACGACATTCCTAGAATTATCGAGAATATTCCACACAAGTCGATTATTGTGTGTTTTCGCTATCTGAAGATAGATGGTGTTGTACTTGTCGGTCTTTCTCGACGTTACGAGTTCCTTTGATATTCGTTTTGGCTATTCGGCGATAGATGGCGTTACTCCCACCGGCGTAACAATACTATGGAATGGACCATAATTTTATATTGCAATTATTGTGGAAATTAACGCGTACTGAAATAATAAATGTTTCACGTAATATAAACAAAACTATAATATGTTTTTTTTAAAGAATATTCATGGTAATGGAAGTCATGTTAATAATAGTATCGTATTTTTAGTAGAATTAATTTTCAGTGTTATCTTCAAAACAATTTGAGCGAAATTTAGGACATGCAGTCATCTAAGAAACAATTTATTTATCACAAACAAAAAAATACGTTTTCATTTGTCGAATAGTACCTAATATCAATCATAAATAGAGTCAAAGATAACGATAAGAATCGACTTAAGATAGGAAATAACATTCGAATAACTAAGGAGATCAGTACAACGACAAATACCAAAAACTTACAACACATTTAATATACAAATTACAAATGCCTTTAAAATCTAATCATTTACAAATTAAAGTAGTTCTGTGTTATATTCCTCTGCTAGTGCTTGTACACTAACTTGTGAATTTTCATCGAAATTTGTTTCAAATTGAAATGTTATTACGATCTAACATGTAGGATAAAACAAAAATAACGACTTCTGGAAAAAATATGTACCTGCGAATAAATTATTTAAAAAAGATAATGTATCAACACGTCACGTATTTATCTGTTTATTAAGTACAAGAGACACGATAAAAGCAATCAGAACTCAATTAAGATCATAGTTGGTTGAAGCTACAATAACAGAAAAGGAAACATCGACAATGTTAAAAGAAATCGTTCTATTGCTTGGTGTTGTAACGCTGTCAAACGCCAGACCCGACTTATTGGATTTGGACTCCAGAAATGTTATAACAGTGCCCCCTAATTGTCCGGGAGGACAACAATGGATTAACGGACAATGTCGTGACGTATGGCGTAACGCTGCTACACCTTCTAACATGATCACGGTTCCTCCTAATTGCCTCCCCGGTCAAGTGTACATCAACGGACAATGTCGTGACGTATGGCGTAACGAAGCTTCCCCTTCTAACATGATCACGGTTCCTCCTAATTGCCCCCCCGGTCAAGTGTACATTAACGGACAATGTCGTGACGTATGGCGTAACGAAGCTTCCCCTTCTAACATGATCACGGTTCCTCCTAATTGCCCCCCCGGTCAAGTGTACATCAATGGACAATGTCGTGATATCTGGTTCAAGAGCATTTTTGGACTATCTGAAAAAAGGTAACTTTTATTGCTTTAAAATCCAAATAAACAATTTGTATTATTTATTAATATAGTATATACTCGTACATACCTACATCTTTTTTGACTAACACTTATTGTATATTTTTATTTATTAAAGTATTATCTACAGAATTCATTTTTTATTACTATGGACGGTCCGACAGGCTCATACAAATTAAGACGTAAATACCCTATTGAGACACGCGGTTAAGAGTTTTGTTTTTGCTACTTAGACAGGTACATACTCACATCCCACCCCATGTTAAGGAGAAATAGAAGTCCGTATAGTTGTGATCTATCAAATGCCGCTACCCACATTAAGACAAGAGGTATATAAGTTTTATGATATAACGCATAATTGCTTAGCAGCCGAATAGGGATTTGAAGTCGTCATGGTCTAAAGAAGAGCGATGAGACTACGCCAATGTACAAATCACGCACGAAGGACCAATTTTTTCTAATGACGTCGTACATAATAGGTACACGTTCGCGAATTACTTCCACGACGACGGAAGAACAATGTATAATAAAAATCAAAACCGCGAAAATTTTAGTATTCGTAATTACTTAATAATTGTGATGTAGACCTAATGCCTAAAGATTGGTGGAGGCATTCACGTTTTGATGTCCATGTTCTCCGGTAACCAGGTGGGTCATGACCTCAGCCACCTACGCAATTAAAATAAAAACAAATTTCTATTACTTTATTTTTTTACTGGTAGCAGGACCTCATGTGACCAGGTAGGTACCACGACCCCGCCTATTTCTGCCGTGAAGCAGTAATGCATTTCGGCTTGAAGGGTGGGGCAGCCGTTGCAACTGTACTGAGACCTTAGAACTTATATCTCAAGGTGGGTGGCGCATTTGCGTTGTAAATGTCTATGGGCTCCAGTAACCACTTAACACCAGGTGGACTGTGAGCTTGTCCACCCATCTAAGCAATAAAAAATAAAAATCTATTTTATTATATTATAGGAAATGAGTTTCCTACGAACTTTTGGACCAGTTTACCATTCATCTAAGTTTTAATTGCGACGTACGTTCATGGACACAATCGAATCTCTGCCAATCGCATCATTTTCCTATTATGTTTTATGAATATCGACGCTTGAAAGGCAAACGTGACTAAGCGACAATGCGTGAACTTTACAGTAGACTAATTTAAAGTTGAAATACCTGAAAACAAAATTTTTTTTAACGAATCTGGCTGTAGTAGAATCTAGCTAGCAGCTGTAGGATTGAAATGATTTTAATAGACCTAGAAATATATATTTTTTACGCATCGAATATGATTATTGCCTATCATTTATGTACAAAGCAGTTATTGTCGCTTAGTCACTTTTGCCTTTCAAGCGTCGATATATATAATGCACACATCAAACTAAATACACAATAAACAATTCTTATGGGCAACCAGTTTCATTCCCCCTTTTTTCCTGAAATATGTATTTAAAAATCAATTAGGAATCAATGAAGCTTAAAAATGAAAATAAAGGTGTAATGGCTTGTAAAAGGTGTAATAATAACCAAAAATTGTGTTAATTTTATAGTGATCCTAGTAAGGATATGAAATACCCCAAAATAATAAAATCATTGTGCTTAAAACGTGTACAGATTTCCGGACTAATCGGACGTATTGGAGTCGGAGAAAATTACCTTTATTCTGTAAATAGATGGTCAAGATGGTCAAGCTAATAGAACCGTGTTAAAAACATCAAGCATTACATACGCAATATTATGTATTTAGTAATTTACATACCTACCAACAATGCTTTTGTAAATTTGTATCGTGGAAAATTCAATCATTTAGATATCACGAGATAAGAAAATCAGAACTATAACGATAATAGTAATCAATGTTTTTGCGACTTAAAAACTGTATAAAACACGGGTAGGTAACACGATCATGCCTTTTTCTGTCTTGAAGCAATCTTGCCTTCCTTCCGACTTCATGTCTCAAGTTCGGTGGGGGCATTCGGATTGCGATGCCTTTGGGCTCTAGTAACTACTTAAGCTGAGATGTTTTTACTGATGGTGGACCTCTTCCGAATCCGCACGAGTAGGTACCACCACCCTGCCTGTTTCTGTCGTGAAGCAGTGATGCGTTTCGGTTTGAAGGGTGGGGCAGCCGTGGTAACTATACTTGAGACCTTAGAACTTATATCTCAAGGTGGGTGGCGCGTTTACGTTGTAGATGTGTACGGGCTCCAGTAACCACTTAACACCAGGTGGGCTGTGAGCTCGTCCACCCATCTAAGCAATAAAAAAAAAAAAAAAAACAAAAAAAAAATAAGCTCGTCCAGTCATCTAAGCAATTAATCATTAAAAATGTATTTATTAACCACTTTACCTTCCAAGCAAAATTTAGGCGTTTCTTTAATATTATTTTGCGTTCTTTGTTTATGTTCATGAGTTGGAAATAAACATAGATTTCAATGAAAGTGTTATCATTTTATACGTAGATAAAACATTCCAATGCGCCAATGTCTACTTGAAACATTGATAATTGAAGAACTACATGTACCCAATGAAACGGTAAAGTCCGCACTTAAAGTGTTTTTTTTTTTCTAAATAATCAAAAACTATGTACTGTATGTAATTTGTATAAATTTCTCAATTGAAAACTTACTACCGTGCTATGCACTTCACAGACGAAATGCTTTGATTTATGCAATACTCACTTAGAAGCCTAAACTCTACAAGGAGAGCCAAAACCTCACTTTTCTCCGGTGACCAAAGTGGCAATGCGTATTATTAGCCTGCATCGCTAGATAGGATCTTCTTCATCCTCTTGCCCTTGCCCCATATTATGTGAGATCGGGGCTGCATGATCTCTTATAATGTTACATTTGGCATGAATCTTTTATAACCGTCGTCGTTTGAAGTCTTCATGGCCTAAAGGATAAGACGTCCGGTGCATTCGTGTTGAGCGATGCATCGGTGTTCAAATCCCAGGCGGCTACCATTTTTTCTAATGAAATACGTACTTACTCAACAAATGTTCACAATTGACTTCCACGGTGAAGGAATAACATCGTGTAATAAAAATCAAACCCGCAAAATTAAAATTTGCGTAATTACTGGTGGTAGGACCTCTGGTGAGTCCGAGCGGGTAGGTACCACCACTCTGCCTATTTCTGCCGTGAAACAGTAATGCGTTTCGGTTTGAAGGGTGGGGCAGCCGTTGTAACTATACCTGAGACTTTAGAACTTATACCTCAAGGTGGGTGGCGCATTTACGTTGTATAAATCTATGGGCTTCAGTAACCACTTAACACTAGGTGGGCTGTGAGCTCATCCACCCATCTTTTTTTTATATTTATTGCTTATCCTTTAGGCTACGACGACTTCCTAAGCAATAAAAAATAAAAATAACCCTCTTTGGGTTGTATCTCCAGTAGGTAGTATACCTATCCATTGCAACGTATCATAGGGATTGACTTCTCTATTTCATCTTTTGGTGTTTTTTTTACTTCATCCGTTTTTGGTTGTATGTTTTTTATTTTGTTATTTTAAATAATAAAATAAATTAAATAATAAAGAACCTGCAGTTATTGTGGTTATACTCGTAATTTCTCTTAAAATGACATTTCATGTCCTTCACAATCAAATACGTGCATGTTAAATTATATGGTATCAGACAAAGAAGATAGTATTCAAATTCCAATAATTTTGTTTCAGGGAGCCTACCCCGTTCGCAAATTTTCCTGGAAATGATGAGCACGTATCATCTGATACGGTTGAAGCAAGAAACATTATATCTATACCGAACCAATGTCCTGCTGGTTATAGACCTGACGCTTTAGGCTATTGCCGTAAAGAATTTAACTGATAAGTAATCGAGCGTTAAGAGCTATTTTCCTCTAACCGACCAGCCGCGATCGATCAGCGTAGTTTCAACTGACAGTTTAAAAGAACGAAAATTTAATATAATATACTTCTTCTCAGCATTTCGCATATATCGCAATCTGGAACTCCGTAATTTGGAGCTGAGTTTAAAAGTAGATATAATTTACTTGTTAACCAAACGAAAATGAACACAAGTTTCGATACGACATCTTTTGTCCAATCGCCTGCGACTAGCCGCTTATTGGAAAATTGGTCTTAGAATATAACGAAGACAGAAAACTGAAAAAACGAATTAAACAAATATTGAAATCTGATAATACTGGTTATTTAATATAGATTTGAAGTAACACACGTTTTTCAAGATACCTTTTTCAACTGAACCGTTACGGGCGCCTATTTACCACGATTAAATCAAGGTGATTCGACGATCCACACGAATATCATGCATCAGCCCGCTGAGTTTCTCGCCAGATCTTCTCAACGGGTCGCGATTCCTAGCCAGTAGTAAATACATTCGCGAAGCAGCTGTTCTTGAGCTGTTAGGTCTATTTCGGAGGCGCTCGGGCAGCTGTTAGCAAATCATAGCTGAGCTTATCATATCATCACTCATAGCTGAGCCTTTGCACGACCACCTGTGCTGGTGAAACTGAAAAGGCCTCCGGGCCACCATTAATCCTTCAATCATAAAATATAAAAAAGTCACATAGTGATGACGTGTATACCGTTGCTCAATTGGATGCTCATAATTTGACTACTCCTTCCTACAATAATAATTAAACAGTCGACTTGGGACTGATCCGACCGCAACAAACATGTTTTGTTGGATCCCCCGGATTCACTCTCGATACTTTTAGGACCTCAAGAACCGGTCAAAGTCCTCGTTGAACTAACGAAGAGTTCGATTTGGGAATCGGAAATTTCTTCATCGACCGCTCTTGCCCTTAACAAAACTATTCTTGTTCTGCATTCGTATTTGTACTAAAACTCACGTATTGATTCTGCGCCTTCATCTAAGCAAAAATTCAGCACCAAAGAAAAAATTTAGCTAACACCATTTATTTCATGCAAGATTAAAGTTTATTTTTAACAAAAATCGCAAACACAGTGTGTCCTTCTTGTTTTCGTGGTGTTGAATCGCTATATTATAATCACCTCACGTATTGAGGCTGTGGAGAGGTATGTGAAAGAGAATTGAACACACTAAATATACCCACAGAAAATTAGAAAAGAAGACTAATAAACTGTTGAGAACTATTTTCTTATCAACCGATATTCCTTTTTTTATTTACGAGGCTTGTTGCTATCAATAAATACTTTTGGAAATAGATTGAAGGAACAATTTCCAAAAAGGCAAAATACTTTCTTATAAAAATAAAGTGCTCGTAATCTTAAAGATAAGACGCCCGGTGTACTCGTATCGTATGATGCTAATAAGTAGGCATCAATTTCTCTAATAAAATATGTAGGTATAATACACAATATATCATTATATTCACAAAGGATTTCTACGATGAATGAACAACAACGTGAATTAAACCCACAAACAATATATCAATAATATATAATATACTAGCGGACCCAGCAGACGTTGTCCTGCATAGATAAATACTAATAATAATACCTAGATACCGACTGCAGCGCCATCGACCGGGCTGATTTGTGAATCTAAGCCATCTAGGGTGCCACCCAAACACATACAAAAAAATCATTCAAATCGGTCAACCGTTTAGGAGGAGTTCAGTGACAAACACACGCACAGAAGAAATATATAAGTAGGAAGATCGGTACTTTTTGGTTAATTTACACTGGCACACGAGTTTTATTTTAAAAGAAGAAAATATAAATGACAGATATAAAATTGATATAACTATGTTACGAAAAGGATTTTTTGAAAGAATAAAAGATTTTGTTGTTTAACTAAATATCCACTAGATTTCGCCATACTATCCCACAAATATATCTATACATATATATATATATACATAAAGATTTTGAGCATGGTTTCGCTCGTAATATAGTCACAAATAACCTTATTTTTAACCGACTCCCGAAAGGTTATCAATTCATTCTGTTTTATATATATAATATGTTTATATAGGTATTTACAAATAGATAGATTAAGCTATATTAGAATTAGATTAGATTACATTATAATGTAATAAATAAATAGAGATTTTACGTAAGTTTGCGCTTATGTTGTTTTAATCATACTAGAACATACATGAAATAAAAAATATTTTGTTAAGCGCATCATTTTATCATAAATGACCATCCATACATCATAATAACATGTATCATGATCGAAATCATCTGCATATTCGATATCGGATAAGCGATCTTCATCATTATCGGAATTATCATCACCAACATGAATAATAAATTCTTCAGTCAACGTGTCCACCACATAATCCTTTCCTGTATTGCTCTTCTATTTTATTCACTTTTCGGCACAGCTTATTCCAATCAGTGTCAGCCATCATTTGACCACCAATTGACTTTTTACGTGATCAGGTCGGTCGCAGCTTTAAAGCTCCAACTAACGTTCTTGCTGCTAACGTATTTTTTTAAATATTTATTGCTTAGATGATTGGACGAGCTCACCTGGTGATAAGTGGTTATCGGAGCCCATAGATATCTACAACGTAAATGCTGCCACCCACCTTGAGATATAAGTTCTTAGATGTCAGTATAGTCACAACGGCTGCCTCACCCTTCAAACTAAAACGCATTACTGCTTCACGGCAGAAAGAGGCGGCGGGGTGGTGGTACCTACCCGTGCGGACTCACAAGACGTCCTACCACCAGTAATTACGCAAATTATAATTATGCTGGTTTTATTTTTTATTACACGATTTTTCCTTCACCATGGAAGTCAATCGTGAGCATTTGTAAAGTACGTATTTCATTAGAAAAATTGGTCCAATCACGTATTCAATAAGGCCGGCGCCACCCCCGTTCTTGCCTCGTTCCCCCAAACAGACCCAAAAATGAACTTCTGCGCATGTCAAGATCAGCAAGCGCAGCTCAAGACTCGTACCGATTACTTTACCTGGGTTGGTTATGTAATTAGAGGCAGCCACGATTTTGCGAAAGCTCACAATTTTCTCGCAGCTGTCATCCGAGTGTCTTCGCAAAGTCCTTGAATACTTCGGTCACGTTGCAAGGATGGGTGGAAACAACTTCAAGAAGCTCATCGTGACCGGTAAAGTCGATGGTAAAAGCCCTCGGGGGCGCAGCCCAACCGACCAGATCCGCACCACTCTTGATTCCTTATTTCACAACGCCCTCCAAGCCGCCAGAGACAGAAACAGATGGAAAAAGATCGTGAGAGAGAAAGTCATACAGAAGGGTGGTCACGACCCTCAGAATTGAGGAATACGACGCAAGGAGGAGGAGTAGTTTTTATAAAGTTTATATTGTCCAACAATGCTAACACAATTTTACAATCTGTATGGATTTTAAAAGTGTGACAATACCTAACATGTTTTATTATATTTTCACTTAATTCGATAATATTGCCGTATAATTTCGTTATCGCAGTAATTTTCTTTAACATGAAACCTTGTTTATCAAAATTTATACATAATATGTTCGTATGGAATTGATTTGCTATAGGTAACGCGTGGAATAAGCGAGTGTTGGGACACTGTTTTGAGTCTAAGCCCTTTTTTCGAGAACTAGCGTACATTATTTCGATTAGGGAAAGCGACTCATGATTCATACAAGTATGAGCCATTCAAACCACCCGATGACCTACCATATTTTTTTCCTACCTACACGTTTCTAAATATCAGCAGCACAACCCACTGAATTTCTCGCCGGATTTTCTCAGTGGGCTGCAATTCCGATGCAGAAATAAATAAATAAAATTCGTAGTAAATACTGCGAAGCACTGCTCTTGCTAGAGCCAATGTTATTAAACTCTCTCAGGTCGAGCCCTGTGACCTCACCTACCAGCTATGGCGTAGCTGGAATAGGCTACCAGCGAATAGGTAATGAAAAAAAATAAGAACCGCAAACAATCTGACTTTTGCTTTAATTTATAATTATAATTTCTAATAGATTAAGTAAAACATATAATAAATACAGACTCTTAACAAAATACTATAATAGGCATGATGACTAATTATCAAAATCTATTCTATGATATTCAGAAGTATCTATTAAATCAAAAATATATCATATTTCTGTAGAAAATAAGGGGTTTCATGCAATAAAATGAAATTTAAATTTTAAATTTCTATTTCGCGCAAAAACGCTGTTCAGTGTCATGGCGTCGATCATTACGTCACGGCTCAGTAAACTTCAGTACGTCAATAAACATTAGATGCTTGTTTATTAAATCAAGTTATTTTGCATAATAGATATGAATTCAAAAGTGTGTGGTGTGTGGTCCCTCAGTGCATTAATACATCTATAAAAACTCCGAACAAGTTAATTTGTTTACGTCCAAAATAACAATACAATGAGAAATAAATGGTTAGACTCTTGCACGGCGAGGTCCAACAGGTTGAAGTCTAAATATAACAATTTATTTCTGTGAAGATAATTTTAATGTATGTTTGTACATATTTCGTAAATTCTACAATGATGTGTGACCTTAATTGAGGTCTAAAACTTCATAAGTTCAATATTTTCTGAGATTTCAGTTTATCTCTTGAATAACCAGTAATGTTTGTTTCAATTTTTTTATTATTTTATTCATTTTCCAGTTACCACATGATATGGACAATTATTATGGACAATGGGATTGGTGTCGCAGGTTCACATGAAACCAGGCTGTATTCTCACAAAATTTGAATGCCAGATAGTTTGAAAAAAACGAACAGCTAAAATTATTACAGATAACAGAAATATTAATTTCATGTACTATTTACCATAATTTATCAATTCAGACAATAACCATTAAAAAAATTGTCTGTTAACATACATAACCTAATAGTTTACCCCCTTAACATTTATTATGGAAAAAGTAAATTGTAAAATATGTCAAATTTACTGTCAATACTTTGTCAAATTTGTTTGATTCATTGTTTGTAAAAAGAAGTGCAGACTGTATTTACCTAGTCCTGCATTTTATTTGTGTCTAATAATTTGCTATTTTTACTTTTTAGTTTTGCGTGACAACTTATAAGGAAATTTAACAGAAAACATTCCCTCGAGAACGACTGATAAGTCTATTCAAGTATTTATTACTCACAAGTTCAGAAGTAAAGCCGTTCAAACAGAAAATAAATTAATAAATCAGATGACATCACCCTTGAAACCTCATACCCATTCTGTTTCTACATCACCATTTAAAGTTACAAGAGACAATTTCACGTTCCCATGGACATCCACATTACATAAACCCAAATATATCCCCCTGAAGATCAATCTGATAGTGATACTTCTTTTACACCATCTGTAATGCACAGAGAATCATCACCATCAACGATATCTCAAAATTAAATCTATATTAGACTGCAGTGGGATGATACAAGACGATAAAAAACAGGAGGCATCTAAAATTCTGGAATGTACCTTGCTTAAAATTACAAAGAGCCCGCGATCTTACATTGGAGTTCCCAAAAGCTGTTATTTATTACTTAATTGATTTAATAGAAAAACATACTAATATTCCTGCTAACAAAATATACTCATGAGTCTAAACAAAATTAGATTAAATAACCCATTTAGAGAGATTGCTGATGGCTTTTGTGGAACTTCTGTTGTGTAAATGGTAAACTACGATTATAAATATATTTTAGCGACAGGTAAAGCGAAAAGTTGTTTTGTTAAAATTGCAGTAATCGCGCGTAAGCTCAAAGAAACAAGATGACGTTTACTAAGACGTGACGTTATTCGCTCTGATTGATGTTTAAGCTATCATGGCTGACTGTTGTATTTTGTAGATTTATTTTAACAAATAAATCATAAATCTCGTCATTAATACGAAAATAAATATATATTTCAAAATTCTGGAATCCTGTTTCATTAGATCCGTTAAATATTTTAGCGATACTTGAATACTGTCATCATGCCTGAGCTACAACTTTCATAACGTTATAGGTCTTTTTTTAATAACAAGTTTCATACTGTGTACGACATTATTTGAAATTAAGTAATATTTGTTACAGTTTAAGTACATATGACCTAAACTAATTTTAAAATTAAGTTTTATATTTGAAAAATAAATCAATTTTAGTAATTCGTAAACAGTCAACGGGCTTATAAAAGAAAGAAAAAAATTACTTTTGCTTATAGACAAGTCGACAAAAATGTTGAAATATATTGTATTTTTATTAACTGTTTTCTCTGTTTTAAATATTTTACCAGTTTCGGGATTTCTTAGTAGTGACGTTAAACAAATACGAAGAGAAGCGATAGCACCGGATAATGATTTCCAAATGTAAGTATTTTTGATAATGACAATTTCACAACTTTCTGCTACATTATGAATCATGCAATGTTGTAAGAAATAATGGAGATGACAAAATTCGTGTTTAGTAAGGTTAATTATTTTTCTAAGTATTATTCCTATGTCTGGTTCGAGATCATGTTCAATAACACATGACTTTTCATTACGTGTTTTTAATTTGATGAGATTTTCTGTTCTATTTTTTTGGTGCTGATACAGAACGCATATTCAAACCGAGTGGGCCGTGAGATCGTTCAGCGATAATACGATTAAGTAAAAAATAAAGATCGCGTAGTGTGCGGCGCAGTCTCAATTACCTCAGGTCGCCCATGACCATCACCATTCACGAATCGTAGACATAGATAGATTTCTATTGCCATTATAGACAAATCGGCATACAATAAGTACATAAGTCTATCTGAGAAGAAGTAGTCTATGTTGCTCATGAACAGCAGCTATTTCAGAGGTACAACCAGGCCGCTGCTCAGTGCTAAAACTGCTAAATCTAGAGTATATAATCTCGCATTTATTATTTTCATGTTATTATTTAAGAAGTTTCCAATACATTAATGATGTCGTAGTCACAAAGATTCAAATAAAATCAATACAATACAAGCGAGAAAATAATAAACCTTATAAGATGTTTTAATTACCTATACTTTGTCGAATGCACAATAATAGAAGAGAAACCTATAATTAAAAAAAATGATCCTTAGAGATAGAAGACAATCAAATGATAGAATCGACCCATTGGTTATCGAATCGCGGAATATTATAACTGTGCCCCCGAACTGCCCGAAAGGACAAGAATGGGTTCAAGGGCAGTGTCGTGAAGTATGGCGTAAGGCTGCTATACCCCCTAAATGCTCCGCTTATCAAAATTTCGTCAAAGGCCCATGTCGTGAAATATTTATGAAAAAACTTTTGAGAGGTTCTAGACAAAGGTAATTTTGAATTCTTTGACTTCTAAATGAACAATTTTACGTAGGTAGGTATTAAAAACGTAACGTGCTACAGCACGTAACACGTACCTACGTTACTTACAAGTAACGTAGGTAAATCAATGTGATATTTATTTAAAATATTTTAATTTATCTATTAAGCGTTAAAAATCGGACAATCTAGTGTTAAGATATTACCGGAGCCCATAAACATTAATAGCTTAAATGCCGCCACTCACATTCAGACATGAGTTATAAGTCTATGTTAGTATAGTTTAACGGCTGCTCCACACTTCAAACATTATATAGATAAATGACGCGTTGACACATAAGGTCGAAATCCCAAGCATCTTGTACAGAGGCTGCACATTAAAACTGTCATAAAATAGGCAGAATTCTGGTACGACATGACCCACTATTATTCCTCTAAGTCATAAGTAGTGATTTTTCGGTACCGTTTAAAATGATATTAATGATTATCTCGAACTCAGACAGCATACACAGTTGCTTATGCACGGGAATATACAACTAACCTAGCTAGTTATGTAGCGATACAATACTGTATTCCAACTTACAGTACGGGTAAGCCGTTATACGGTTTAAATAAAAGAGAAAAAACAAATTGTTTCTCGCAGAGGAGAGAGATAATATTCAAATATTCAAATATGAATAATTTTGTTTCAGTAATCCGGAAAAAATCAAGAATGGTCTACCAGGTGCAACTGAATCAAGACGCGGCATACTTAAAGTACCGGATCTTAAATGTCCTATAGGTTCTAGATTAGACGCTTTAGGCAACTGCCGTAAAAGATTTCCTTAGGAAGCACATAAATTGCATAATGACATGTTTATTACAAATTTTGACAAAAAATATTCAAAGGGCAAATTTCCACTAAGCGATCACACACGAGAGATCGTAAGCACAGAGGCCAGTGTCAACAGTGACTATGCACGTTATCCCCAATTTCGTAATTCTGGCTGCATACAAATACCAAGGTTCTGTCATTTGTTCGAAAAAATAAAACGAACAAAATGGTATTGAATTTGCATACAATAAATACCCTCTGTTCGATTGCCCCCTGGTGGAAATTAGTCTTTGTCTTGTCATTGAAATGTAAATATACTGGTTTTGAATAAAGGTTTCATGAAGACGCAGTTTTTAATACACCTTAATGGCGTTGATGCGCAAATAATCTTACGATCTACCTGATATTAAGCAATTTACCAATGCTCATAAACTATCCCGTTCGCGATTTATTCATGGTATTTCGAAGCTTACCAAGAAAGAATAAATCTTAAAAAGTTGGTCATCTTTCATCTACCAAAGCAAGCGCACTCCGTTACTTTTTTTTTACAATTGAAGCATTACTGGTGGCCCGGAGGCCTTTCCAGTTTCACCAGGACAGGTGGGCGAGCAAAGGCTCAGCCAAGAGGGGTGGGATTTGCTAACAACTGCCCGAGCGCCTCCGAAGGAGACCTAACAACTCAAGAGCAATTGTTTCGCGAATGAATCTACTACCGGATCGGAATCGCGACCCGCTGAGAAGATCCGGCGAGAAACTCAGCGGGCTGATGCATGGGTTAGGTTGCACGTCGACCTCTTTGTCGAGTTCGACGAGTACGGTTACCGGGGTCCCTAAGCCTGCCCCTAGTATTAGAGCTGAAGGCATCTAATGCAAAGGTTATTGGATCTGATGGATCCGTAAGGACGTGTCTAGGGCGTCGACGGTGACTGGCTCCTGCATGATCAGGATTCGGGGAGTAGTCAGCGGCGGCAACGATAAGGCGATTATCATGACGCATAGCCTTATCGAAGTATCGTTCCGACGCTGACTTCATGTATTTCCGAATTGATTCGAGGCCCAGGTCGTCGTGTAGGTCAACGTTCCTCACGAACCACGGAGCCCCGACAGCTAACCTGCAAAAGCGGGATTGTAGGGATTGGAGGGTGTCTATGTGTGTGCGGGCCGCGTGAGCGAACACCACACTCGCGTAAGTCATGACGGGCCTTATGCAAGTTTTGTAAAGTGTCACCTTGTTCCGAAGGGACATTTTACTCCGCTTACAGATCATGGGGTAGAGTCTACCGAGAATAAACGCGGCACGGTCACGGACTGATTTTATATGCGGGCGGAATGTCATCGATGCATCCAGGGTAACGCCCAGGTACTTGACCTTCCTGGCCCAGGGTATGGGTTGTCTAAAGAGAGTAATCGGGGGTGTGAGATTCCTCCTCCTAATCCGGGAGGAAATCCGTGTGGAGCTTCCCATCTGAAATAGCACCGCAGTACTTTTCGCTGGGTTGATGTTTATGCGCCATTTTCGGAACCACTGTCCTAGGGCTAGGGCTGCGCTCTGAAGCTTTTTCGCGATTAGGGACTTGTTTCTACTCGAATAGTAAACAGTCGTGTCGTCGGCGAATAAAGCTAACTGGGTCGGCGGCGACCGGGGAATATCGTTGACGAATAAGCTAAATAGGAGGGGTGAGAGGACAAAGCCTTGCGGGAATCCAGCTGTGAGAGGTCGCGGGGAGGAGCGGGTTCCCTCGACTCGATATCGAAAAGAGCGGTTCGACAAGAAGTCCCGTATGATGAGCACGAGACTGTCCGGCACGCCCATGCTGAATAGTTTGAAAATCAAACCGTTGTGCCAGACTTTGTCGAACGCTTTTGCGACGTCGAAGAAGAGAGCTCCTGTTTATAACGGTTTTGGTCGAATAACCCCCACAAGAATGTGCTCCGTGAGGCGGTGCACCTATTGAACGCATGAGTGATTTGTACGGAATCTGAATTGTTCATCGAAGAGAATGCCCTTGGATGAGACGAAGTCTCTGAGGCGTTTGTAGAGCAGACGCTCATACAATTTGCCTAGAGATATGAGGAGGCTAATCGGGCGGTAGCTCGTCGGATGATTTTTTGGTTTACCGGGTTTATGTATGCCGATAACGTCTGCTTCTTTCCACACCGCGGGAAAGATACAGTTTGCCATAGCGGCATTGAAAATAGATGCCAACATCACGATGAGTTGGACGCGTAGAAGTTTATTAACGCGGTTAGATATACCGTCGGAACCGGGAGCCTTGCGAGGACATAGGTCTTTGATCAAGTCTTTAACTTCCATCGGGGTGACGGGTGGTAACGCATCCGAGGGTGGCAAGGAGGCTCTGCGTTCTACTTCACTGTCTACTAATTCTACATGAACAGGGTCCACGGATTGAGTGCTGGGCGTGCACTGGGTTTGCAACGCGAACTAGATGAACCCAAGCCCTGAATCTAAGTAGACGGACATTTGTTTACGGCGTCTTTTTGCTGATGATTTCAGACCATAATTTGTATTTCAATTTGTGGGCTTAAAGAAAATAAAAACTTTTTTTTTTACTCAAAAAGGAATGTTTTTTTTTTAATATTACCAAAATATAATTATAATTCTCATAATTACTAGTGGTAAGACCTTTTGTGAGTCCGCGCGGATAGGCACCACCACCCTGCCTATTTCTGTCGTGAAGCAGTAATGCGTTTCGGTTTGAAAGGTGGAGCAGTCGTTGTAACTATACTTGAGACCTTAGAACTTATATCTCTAGGTGGGTGGCGTATTTACGTTGTAAATGTCTATGGACTCCAGTAACCACTTAAGACCAGATGGGCTGTGAGCTCGTCCACTCATCTAAGCAATAAAAAAAATACATTTAACTTAAAAAAAATACATTTAACTTCAGTGTTTAAAATGTATAAAACTTTGTTCATTTGTTCTTAAAAACAAATTTTCTTTTTTTCCCGTACTTAATCAGCTGCGGTGCAGCATAGTGTATTTTGATCGTAAAGAAAACTCCGGGGTTCTATAAGCCGCGCCAATAAAGAAACGAATCTAAAATGGCGGCGGCGATCATGCGCTCTCACTCTAAACTATTGCTGTCTTTAGTCGCACAAGGCCATCAACATCTACATCTAAGTAGTTGTCACAGAACCACATATTTCATCATCTCTTGACAATTATCGTCTCTAAAAAATTGTCCATGATTTCAATTTCACCCTGTACAGAATAGTTGTCACAGTTTTAAAACAAAGTGTTTATGAAATTAACATTCTCATTCATTTTTATTTGTATTTTTTTTTAAATACATTTTATTATTATAACTTCAAGAACTTAGTATAGAAAAATATTACAATCAATAGCTGTTAAAATAAAAATTCCCATTGTCAGTCACAAAGACCGCACCTGGTCGTGCCAGATCCAAACGTACCCATTACACCAGCCGCGCTGGATTTCAATGGACAGCCTCTGCACCAGGAACGACCCGGAGCGGGGGTCAAAACCTCTCTCCTTCAGTCTCGGGCTTACGTCGACCAGACGTCTCAAAAGCCAACGGCACACAAATATAGGTATTTATGGATAAGGGGCGCGTATTTTTCCCTTTTTTTTGGGGCGGCAAGCTCGGCAGCCGTTCGAGTTGTGCGACTTAGATGACTGGCAGCAAAAGAGTCTACACAAGTGGCATCCCAGATGAAACACCTCCCCCTCTGCCAGGACACCATAGTAAAGTAATGTACATTCTCATTTGTTTTTTTAATATTTTTTTACAATAAACTACTTTTTCTGTCTATCTTTCTTTTTATTTGTTGACCCTACCATCTGTCAGTGCAGGTACATAGACGCAATTTTCGATTAGTTTCTTTATTGGCGCGGCTTATACCTACGTCTCGATAACGCCTCCGCGTTGATTAAAGCCCATAGATTATAATCTATATAATATATATAATTATAATTATACACTTAAATTAAAGCCCATTGTCGTTCGAGAGCCCGCGTCCGAATGTCCGATAGGGTTGGTCGCAAGGCCTCTTTGCGAGTCTTCAAACTGGCATAAGACCCCGAAATACTTAGACAATGGTAACGAGTTTGTGTAAAGAGAGAAGAGCACTCTCTCTTACATTGCCTGCTACTACAGTATCAAGCAATCTCTGAAGTGGAACACCGCTCACCACGACTCGTCGCTGCTCATAGGTATAGCAGCCTCGACGCTCTACAGCAATGAGTCGATCACAATTCTTGCAACGAAAACATGGCGCCGCCTTCTCGATTTCACCGCGTGAATGTTCCTATCTAAAAGCCATCCGCCAATGCCAATGATGAAACTCTGCCATCCACTCAGCTCAGATCCAGGGTAAGGCATTGACTGTACGGCATGATGAATTATTCGGTTCTTGTAGACAATAGGTCTAGTCTTTTTTGCGGAGATGAGTGGATGAATTCACAGCTCACCTAGTTTAAAGTGAATACCGGAGCACATAAACATGACAACCGAAAACCGCTACCTACCTTTAGACAAAATCAAGGTATCAATTGTATGACATTTGTAGCAAATTGTAACAGTTATCGCATGCTTTAAGGCTTAAATGCCATTCGGTTTGCTTAAAGTCAAACAAACCAAATGGCATGCTTGGTTGCAGAAATAGACCATATATTGATACTGGACCGTGCGAACTAACAATACGCTCTGCCACCAGGAAACCCCGTTAGGCGCTGGCATTACGCTGGTTTAAGATATAAAAAGCTACTGCCAACCCGTATTCGCGTTTGCGACACCCATGGGATGAGTTCGGGTGGTGCCTAAAAGTACATAAACATTCCTTATTCAACAGCAGTTTTTGGGTGCCGAAAAAATGAACAAATACTTGTTAATAAAATGAACAAATACTTGTTCATTTTTATAGGGGGTACACATAAACCTAATATATTTCACTGAGACACTGACTCCGAATGAGAATCGAAATCAGACTCCGAGGTATATAGACTATTCGTGTAACTTAAGAGTTATCTCACCGACCGTTTCAGTTTGTAGGAGTAACAATCACATCCCCAATAGATAATCTATTCAGTTCGTTATCGCATTTACATACATTTTCAGTTCTATACCGAATACCGCATTGCCTTTTGATCAATAAAAAAAATACTATTATAATATTTACATACCTGTACCATAAATTCTTTTTTTAAACATAATGTCGGCCACAGACATTCGCGCAAATATTCTTACATTGTACGAATGTTTGCGCGCATGTGAAGGGCCGTCAAAAATTCATTCGCAAACCTAGCGGCTGTGCAAATAGGTTCGGTACTCAATTTGTGAACCCGTTTGCGCTTCCTCCTACACTTGTTTACGAATGTCTCACGAATTTCTCCTCCTTTTTAATTCGTCAATAGAACATTGAAGAGAAAAAGAGTTTTGAATTCTTAAACGAACTATGAAAATGGCGATACATCCATTACCTTCGCAATCGTCGGCGCAACTGGGCAAGCGAATGTGTGGGAGACTACGCGAAGGTTCGAGGTTCGCGCGCTTTGATGTCTGTTAAAAAACCGACACAGCTTGGAAAACCACGAATGCAGCGAAAACTTTGCATAATCATTTGCAAATGTCGTCCTACACTTGCGGGTTTGCGTATTCGTGCGCATGTGAGTGACCGGTGTAAAAGTTGGCTTCATAAGATACCATTCATAGCCAATGTCGAGATTATAAAAATCTTCAATTATAAAATACATAAAAAAAAAATGAAAAATGGTATGAAGCGAATTGAGTTGAATTTGATTTATGTGAGACTATAATCGATTGGGATGAACTGAAATGAAACGAGATGTGATGAGATGAAATAAAGTCTCAATAAAATGGTGGTTGTTTACTGTGTAGGGACACAGTTTGTTATGTAAACAAAATTGTTCGTAGTCATAACATGCAGCTGCGCCCGCAAGCTCCGTTGCTTTTTACTTTTTAAGTTCAGTCGCGAATAAACTCTCCAAATAACCAGTTATGTTATTTAATTATTTCATTTCCGATAACGCCCTGAACCATTATTGACCAGTATCAAAATAACTCCTAAAACTGAAACATATTAGGTGTACTATCTATGATTGAGACTTCAGTGGATTAAGTCAGCGTCGGAACGGTACTTCGCGACAGAAACGGTACTTCATTCGTCTATGCGCCATGATAATGGCCTTATCGTTGCCACCGTTGAATACTCCCCAAATCCTGCTCACGCAGGAGCCAGCCATCGTCGACGCCCTAAACACATCCTTATGGATCCATCAGAAGTAATAACTCTTGCATTAACCGCCTTCAGCTCTAGCACTAAGAGCAAGCTTATGGACTCTGGTAACCGTATTTATCGAACTCGGCAGAGTTCAACGTGCAACCTAATCCATACATCAGCCCGTTGAGTTTGGTCGCGGTAGTAGATGCATTCGCGAAGCTGCTGCCCTTGAGCTGTTAAATCTGACGAACGCACTCGGGCAGCTGTTATCAAATCCCACCCCTCCTGGCTGAGCCTTTGTTCGCCTCCCCTGTCCTGGTAAACTGGAAAGGCCTCCTTCCTTCATAAAAAAACAACTTTAGTGAATTTTTTGCAGGAACCTGAATAGCTACGTCCAGCCCCTTTATATATTTTTTTCCAATTTTGTGAAGTTCCACAGATTCTAAGCGGTTAATTAGTCACCATTATTACACGTTCAAACCTGCAGAAACACCAAATTACTCAACAAAATATAACAATTCACAGAACTTCGCTGCTCGTGTTCCCGCAAAAANATAAAAAAACAACTTTAGTGAATTTTTTGCAGGAACCTGAATAGCTACGTCCAGCCCCTTTATATATTTTTTTCCAATTTTGTGAAGTTCCACAGATTCTAAGCGGTTAATTAGTCACCATTATTACACGTTCAAACCTGCAGAAACACCAAATTACTCAACAAAATATAACAATTCACAGAACTTCGCTGCTCGTGTTCCCGCAAAAAGTGCGTATCGTAGATTTTTTGTTTGATTCGTACTCCCGGCCGCGTGTAGCTGGAATAGCTCCTTATGTTATCAGCGAATAGGTAGAAAACGAGAACCGAAAAAAATTATTCGTCCATCAGACAAGTCAAGTTTCTTGTGAGTCAATTAAAATCTGAAAGAACATGACAAGCTATGATTTTGTTCCATTATCCCGCATTTGCGCACTTTCATAGATGCTAAATGGTAAACAATTTAAGCTATTTTATTACACCATGAACTAGAAACACTACGGTACCTACATAGACGATTAATTCATTCTGCTTCTCGCGCTCCCGTCAAAAGTTAAAACCATAGACTACATGTCAATAATTATGAATCAACAGCATAGATAATACTCTTTATCAAGTATCAACAAATTGAATGGATTTCGGAATGCCAAGTGCCAACTAACCAACCAAACAGCAAAGCGCAAACTACAATTTTAAAGTTTTATAAAAAATACAATGGTTGAAATAATATTAAACTTTTCTCAATTTCATTAATAAAAAAATGCTTAAAATCTGTAAAACTTATGCGAATATAAATGTAAGATACAATATTAATAAATAAATAATAATATAAGAAAGTTAAAAAAATTAATGAATCATGTCGGAAAGAAAAGGCACAAAAGCTCTGGAGTTGTGGTGTAAGCGTTTAATTAAAGATTGTCCGGATATACACATAGAAAATATGACAACATCTTGGAGAAATGGAATGGCATTTTGTGCTTTAGTTCATCATTTTAGGCCAGATTTGATGTAAGTAAACAACTAAATGCTTTAAAAGAAACTAATTAAACCAAATTTCTCATGTATTCTGCTTTCTCTAAATCCAGTGATATGTCGAAATTAAAACCTGAAAATATTTATGAAAACAATCAACTAGCATTTAACATAGCTGAAAAATACCTTGGAATACCTGCATTATTGGACCCTGAAGACATGGTAGATAATGACGTTCCGGACAGATTATCAATTTTGACTTATTTATCCCAATTCTACCAACGCCTCAGTCATACAGGTAAATGCTCGAAAAGAAATTCATTTATTCAATATTGAGTACATTAAACAAATACAGGAGGAAATATTTGTCATTCCCAGTTAGTTACACTACATTAGTTACATAGAATCATTTATTCTATACTTAAACTATATTTATATTTAAATTAATCCAATAATAAAATATTATTTAAACAAATACTTTACTCAATATTACATTTTTCCTTCTTGATTTTACTAAAACACTTCTTACTTTCAGTGAACACTAAGGTGTCAGAAAATGAATCGAAAGCTTTACCTACAAAAACAACAGAACCACCTGTAAGTTTAATAAAAGTAAACCAGCCCTTCTGAACACAGCTATTTGTGAATGTTTGCTTCTTTACTTTTTTCTGCACTTTGTATTTCTACTCTTTAATTTTTTGTTAATACTTCTTTCTAGACACCAGTAAGATTTGGCAAGACCGGTCTTGATAAATGCACTTCATGTGGCTTACCTGTTTATTTAGCTCAACGTCTGATGGTAGCCCATAAACTCTACCACAGAAGATGTTTCCGTTGTTCAAAATGCTCAGGACACCTGAATCCTAAGAGTTATGAAACAGTTGAAGGATCTGATTTTACCTGTGATAGTTGTAAAAATGATAAAACTCTATCTAAACTTTTGAACAACAACAATGATCAAAATCTAATGGGCATGTTGGCATTCACTGATGTTTTAGATGAGCCAAAACCAAAAGATAATTTGTGTGAAGATAAAATTAGTTTCAGGGAAAACAAACGACCACAGTCTATTCTGGGTGAGTTATTGATGAAATATTGTATTAAAAATTAGGGTGTAGTAGGATGGCTGAAAATCTAATTGCCAATCTGAGGTAAAGTAAACTGAATAACTACTGTCCTCTATGGAGTTGTTCTTTTTACATCTAAAAATATCTGGCCTCCTTTTACATTGGATAATATCAAGCCATCTCAAAAGGTCAGACGCTGCTTATGTTTACAATTCAGGATGTGGTATATGAGGAGGGAAATGCTGTAAAGATGTCTATGACTGTATGTTTAACAGTCAAGTACTAACATTGCATTTGGTGTAAATATTCACAATTCATTGCCATAATAAAATGGAAATATATTTTCCTAGTAGTCCAAGTTTTGACCTCTCTGCTAAAATTACTTTCTGTTTACGAAAAATTTCCAATCTCTACCAAAACAGAAAAGAAATCAACAGTAACATGCTTCTTTTCTATCTCTGAGCATCCACATATTTACAAATTTTAACATTACATAAACTAATAATAATCAAGATCTAGATCAAACAGAAATACAAGCAAAATTTCATGAGACATAAAATAACTTACAACTTTAGAATAATAACAGGATTGTTAACATTTATTTTAAACTCACTTTGCAGAAAGGGGACACTAGAGTTACTTCCTTATCATAGAACTTTATTAATTGATATAAATTATTCTTAAGAAATATTAAGTTACATTTTATTTTAATGATTCAATCAAATTAAATCAATGAGTAACCCCTGCCTTAAAAGATGTAGTGAAAAAACGTGTTGTCTTGAAATACCACTTCGAGCATCCCACTCCCTAATAGGCGCGCAAACACCTCCGCCGTTAACCCCATCACTCTCTTTGGCCAGCCCACACCGCGGACCTCGAAAGTCAAATACCTAGGCGTCAACCTCGACAGAGGGATGACATTCCGTCCCCATATCAAAACGTTACGCGACCGTGCCGCCTTCATATTAGGACGTCTGTACCCTATGCTTTGCAAACGAAGCAAACTGTCCCTCCGTAATAAGGTAACTCTCTACAAAACTTGCATACTCCCCGACATGACGTATGCAAGCATAGTGTTCGCTCACCCGGCCCGTACCAACTTGAAGCTCCTTCAGATTATTCAATCCCAATTCTGCAAGATAGCCGTCGGAGCACCATGGTCCCTGAGGAACGTGGATATCCACGATGACCTAGAGCTCGACTCTGTCAATAAGTATCTACAGTCGGCATCGCTGCGCCACTTTGAAAAGGCGGCACGACATGAGAACCCTCTTGTCGTGGCCGCTGGAAACTACATACTTGATCCTGTAGACCGAATGGTCGACAGGATCGAGTATCGTCGTCGACTTCGCCCAAAGCACGTCATTACGGATCCTCCTGATCCATTAACAGTGCTTTTAGGCACCACAAGCACCGGTCACTGTCCTCGTCGAACCCGTCGCTAGCGACGAAGGGCTCGACGAGCGAATTAACTCATAGACACAGAGTTTCTCGCCGGATCCTCTCAGTGGGTCGCGTTTCCGATCCGGTGGTAGATTCTGCGAAGCACTGCTCTTGCTAGGGTCAGTGTTAGCAACACTCCGGTTTGAGCCCCGTGAGCTCACCTACACACGTTAGGGTGAAGCTGAAATATCCTCTCAAGGCTAACAGCATAGGTTAAAAAAAATAAAAAACATTGTCTTGAAAAACTAAATAATTATAAAAAAGTTGAATAATTTATTAGAAAACGGAAACTTGAACATATAAGTTTGTCCCTAAGAAATTCTGGTACGCCAAAGTAGTAAAAAGAAGATGTCACTACCGGGCGATTACTTGCAAATAAAAAAAATACTTGAAAATATTTTGGTATTACTTTTAAACGTATGTGTAATGTATGTATTTTCCGTGTGTTGAATTCTTGCTCTTTCCTGTATATTTCTAGGTTTTTCTGGATTGCTTTTTGTTTTGTATTTACTGTGAAAAACGTAAGAATATCTTTTCCATTTAATTTGACAGTACTCAAAATGATAAATAATACTCATGGAGTTTCAAGAATCAACAATAAAATTGAAGAACGCAGAAATTATTAAATTGCATACAACTATTATTATAATGAAAATTTTATGTGTTTACAGACAAAATAAGTATGTTCGAAAAAAATATAGAAAAAGATGTCCCCATAGATAACAGGATGAATAATATTTTAAAAGAAAATTCCACTCAGATAAATATAGAAGTAAAAACTGAAATACTGAATGAGCATGACCCAAAAACTGTTCTTGATAGAACAGAGAGTAGTAATAAACCAATTAATAATTTACCAGACGTAGTATACAAAAGTAATGTTAAAAAATTCAATTTCTTACAAACACAACTTTCTGACGGTACCTGCAATGAATCAACTGTTGAAGAGAAAACTTTACCTAAATCTGAACACAAGTTGCAAGAAGATGTGAGTATTGATGTAAAAAGTTTCAACAAAGATGTTTTCCTAGAAAACAGTGAACCATTAATAGTCAATGATTATAACAATATAACGGATGATAGCAGACTAGCGAACAGTGTTAACGTTACACTAAGTAGCACTGAACCGATTTCTGAAGAGCCTATCGTATTAGAACCAGAAATCAAAATAAATGTACCGCCGCGACGTAAAAAGCAAATGGGTCAAGATTTTAAAAAGATATCAAAACCAAAAGGCGCACCAACTGTTACACCTCAAGAGAACGAAGAGTATCCTGATCATTTGAACCCATTTTCGGATGATGATGTTGAGGTAAATACAAATATTCCATTCAAAAATCAAAGTATCTTTATTTATAGGGAATACAGTGCCTGTGTCCTAAATATACATTACAATGACCCAACTTATCTCCTCTAAAACTATTATACGTTTTTTAAAGGTAATTTATAAAATATATGTGATTTCTCATTTTTTCTCAAGTAATTTGTGTTTTGAAATGAACTCTGTAATGTAGAATAAAAATAAATTCTAATATTTGCTAAATGTTGTATACGTTCAGGTCTCCCAAAATCCTTCCAAGACAGTGAGCACTAATCCTTTCGGCAGCAGCGACGATGAAAACGAGGAACTACCACCAATACCACCGATTTCAAAGCAACCTGAAACACTACCAGTGTAAGCACAGTCTTTTATCATCATATTTTCTAGAACACATTAATTACAAGCCCAAGTTGTTGAGACTTATCTTCGCGTTCTTAAAAACAATGCGAAACTTATATCCGTGAACAAAGTCTTTACTTTGAAAACTTGTTATAATTCATCAAATAAAAAAGAAAAGTGAATAAAAAAAACATTGAAAAAAAACTACATTAAATAAAACTACAAACTTTGAAAACTTTAAAAACGTTTCAAATTAGGAAATACAATAAATTCCCATCAACAAATAAAAATAAATTTGTCATTAAAATTAATTTTACTGATGATTGTGTGTATTATAAGCATACACCCCTCTGCTTGTTTTTGATGCGATGCAGACGTGCGTTCCGTTTTAACAGTTCTGTGTGCTTGGTGCGAGTTTTTTAACGTTCTCGATAGCGTAAAGATTAACTCAAAATTTTATGCAGTTAGAGCAGCGCCCCTAGCGGCAAACGTTCCACCTCTATACAATTTTGAATTAACTTTTACGCTATCGAGAACGTTAAAATACTCGCACTCAGCAAACGGAGAACCTTTACACATTACAAGTGTGACTTCGACCTCATGTCTCAAGATGGGTAGCATCAGTCGCTTTACTTCAGACGGGCCTTGAACACTTTCGCCCAACTATGCAAATATGTACTTTAGTACAATTATCTATATATATAAAAATGAACTGCTGTTCGTTAGTCTCGCTAAAACTCGAGAACGACTGGACCGATTTGGCTAATTTTGGTCTTGAATTATTTGTGGAAATCCAGAGAAGGTTTAAATATATATGAAATTGCTCGGAATTAAATAAAAATAACAATTTTGTTTTTCCTTTGATGTGTCTCCCGTCGGACGGGTTCCTTTTGTTTGTTTTATGTTTATTTTATACAAAAGCTTAGGTCTTTTATTTATAGATTGAGGCACTACGAAGTCTGCCGGGTCAGCTAGTAATTAATAATTTATTAAATGTCAAAATTGNGAGAAGGTTTAAATATATATGAAATTGCTCGGAATTAAATAAAAATAACAATTTTGTTTTTCCTTTGATGTGTCTCCCGTCGGACGGGTTCCTTTTGTTTGTTTTATGTTTATTTTATACAAAAGCTTAGGTCTTTTATTTATAGATTGAGGCACTACGAAGTCTGCCGGGTCAGCTAGTAATTAATAATTTATTAAATGTCAAAATTGTTTACTAACTACATGTCTTCAGAACCCAAAACCGACCGTATTATTCGCATTATACAATGACGTTGTCATGGTGCAACAGGATATGACTTCTTGTCCGTTTCACCATAACGTTTTCAGAGACACCAGGAAAAACAAATTGTTGTTCACTAATCAGCACTAACTGTCATTTGTTATTCAACTTGGATTGTGTAGACAAGGTAGTTTGTGACGCGAAAAACGCTATCATTTTTTTGCCTACCTTAATTTTATTGTATGTCTATCTCAATACATAAATAATTTCTCGTTAGTTGCATTTCATTATGGATGACCAACTTCAATTTCCCCCCATAATTTATTGAAATAATTGAACGAATAATGTATCAAAAGTATATTAAAAGAAATATAACAATTAAATCTCAAACATTTTTGAACGGTCAGGAACGGTGAACTCTCCGTGTGAATTTGCTAACATTAATTTTACAGAAAACGTCTCATAGCCGTCAATCCATTTTGGTCCGACGGAGAAGAACCTTCCACAGACGATGAAATTGACGACTTAAGGTAATCTATACTTCTATATCTATACTAATATTATAAAGAGGAAAAATTTGTTTCTTTGTTTGTATTGAATAGGCTCCGAAACTACTGAACCGAGTTGAAAAATTCTTTCACTGTTTGGAAGATACACTATTCCCGAGTGACATAGGCTATAATAATCTTTTTTGAAAGAAATTAGGGATCCTTACTAAAACTCCTATAATGTAACCCAAGCTGTAAATAAATTACCTAAAATATTCTTTTCGCGTTCCCTGCGAAAACGATTGATGATAGAATAAAATAATGTACGACTTTGTAGAACACATTATTATTTACAAAAAGTGTCTCGACGGCATATGTCTAACTATTATAGTTATGCCGCAATAAGTGTTCTTTTATCTAAAAAAAATAAAACTACGTCAAATATCGTTGAAATTTCTGTTAAAGACCCGAGCGGAGCCGGAGCTGACCGCTTGTGTGTTATAAACACAATATATTCATCTTAGCTCTTGGATCTACTGCAATAGTGAAAATCATTTTTTTGAAATCATTTTACTGGTGGTAGGACCTCTTGAGAGTCCGCGCGGGTAGGTACCACCACCCTGCTTATTTCTGCCGTGAAGCAGTAATGCGTTTCGGTTTGAAGGGTGCCGTTGTAACTATACCTGAGACCTTAGAACTAATGTCTCAAGGTGGGTGGCGCATTTACGTTGTAGATGTCTGTGGGCTCCAGTAACCACTTAACACCAGGTGGGATGTGAACTCGTCCACCCATCTAAGCAATAAAAAAAAACAAAATGACATTAAACAGCTCAAAGATGTACAACTCTTCTATGGCGACGAGCACGCCGAACCTGCCGTCGAGCGCGCCTCGACGTAAGAAACAGAAGGCCCCTCCGCCCCCTGTGGTACTGGTTTCAGAGCCGCAACAACCGGGCACGTCCATGGAAGATGTTGCCAGCCTATCATCGCACAGTTCTTACAATTCTACTGCTAACTCGAGTCACGTAAGTATTGCCAGCCCAATAAACCTGTCGAACAATCTTAAATTATTATCATTTAAATAAATAAAGAACATAAAGAAAAAAGTATGTTTTAGCAGTTTTAAAAATCACTGGTAGCGTTTATTTATAGCATTCAAAATAATCTTTATTGAAATGCACATCTTAAACTAGAATTTGAATTGAGAGTTTCTTATGAGCACTCAAATGTATTATATAAACTAAATAAAGATATTTTTCACCATCCTTTATTTATTACCCGTTTTGATTTATTAAATACAACATTCTTATGTACAACTATGTAAAAATTACGTAATTGTTCGTTTTGTTCTGCGTTTTCGCATCGTTTAGCCGACTCGGGTGAAGCTTTTTGCAGTTGTGGTTTGCACTTTAATCTCCTTTAGTACTTACTACTAACTATAATAAATGTTCACCTATGAGTGTTAAAAAATGTTTGCACAAGTCACGATGAAGCTGTTTAATTATTATTTTTTTTTTTTTTTTTATTACTTAGATGGGTGGTCGAGCTCACAACCCACCTAGTGTTAAGTGGTTACTGGAGCCCATAGACATCTACAATGTAAATGCGCCACCCACCTTGTGATATAAGTTCTAAGGTCTCAGTATAATTACAACGGCTGCCCCACCCTTCAAGCCGAAACGCATTACTGCTTCAAGGCAGAAATAGGCGGGGTGGTGGTACCTACCCGTGTGGACTCATAAGAGGTCCTACCACCAGTGAAAGAAGTTCGTTCATTAAGTCACAGTTTTCTTATCTTCGACTTACAGATGTACGGAAAAAGCACTCCAGTGCAGCTAAGGAAGAACATAACGGCACCAACTCCTCCTGACAGCATATCAACGCTGTCCGAATGTGCGGGCTCTCTTGAAAAAGGCGTCGATACATCCGGTCTCGGAAGTAACAACTCTAGTTTAGGTATTAATTTACCTTGTGTATATATTTTTTTAATATTAATAGGTGTTACAGGGTCTTTACATCCGTGTTACGTCTACAAAAAAATATTACGCTTATGAATTTGTTTAATAAAAATTAACTTAAGTCACTCAGTTCTGGCGAAAAATAATAATAATATCATAACGTCCCTTAGCCTCATAGCAAGAACAGCATAACAAGAAGCAAAAACTAATAACTCTGCCAAACTGAATGTTGTATGTTGCTGAATGAATANTGTTACAGGCTCTTTACATCCGTGTTACGTCTACAAAAAAATATTACGCTTATGAATTTGTTTAATAAAAATTAACTTAAGTCACTCAGTTCTGGCGAAAAATAATAATAATATCATAACGTCCCTTAGCCTCATAGCAAGAACAGCATAACAAGAAGCAAAAACTAATAACTCTGCCAAACTGAATGTTGTATGTTGCTGAATGAATAGGGGACCAAACTTACTTATAAAAACTAATCGTGAATATTATCTCGTACAGTTGGGCGACGAACTAAGGGCCCAGCGCCGGGCCTCCCGCTGCCGGAACGACGCGAAGTGAAACTTCAGATGTCCCCAGAAGAGTTGCAAGTGCAGCTCGATCTCCTGGAAACGCAGCAGCTCGGGCTGGAGCGGCAGGGGGTACTCATCGAGAAGATGATACGGGATAAGTGTGAGGGTACACAGTACAAATGCACATATTCATATTTCCTGATTGCACGGGTCTCTTGAGGTTGTTGTGCACACGCGGAGCTTCTCGACGGGCGGCCGAGAGTGACACGACATCTCGCCGCTTGTATTCGAAAATCTCTCCCTGTATAAATATGCACCTATACTATCTTTTCTTTGGAAAGCTATGGTTTACTTAAATTTTTTTCAATTACCTCAAACTTTAATATAATCTTCTTCAATATTTAATATCTTTGTTACTTGTAAATTCTTCAAAATATAACCTAAACTGAATTCCCGATTGATTTAAATTTTGTAAATTTCATTAAAATGTTCGATTTTGTTAATTATTTAAATATTTTCAACAAAGTATTTAATATAAACTCAAAGTAATATATTTTTTGACAGGCGACGAGCCATCCTCTGTGCCGCAAGAAGAGGTCGAAGATCTTGTGATACAACTCTGCGAACTTGTCAACGAGAAGAACGATCTGTTCAGGAAACAAACGGAACTTATGTATATGTACGTTAAAAACCTTTATCTGTTTGTACTTATGTGTGATATCAGTCTTTTATAGTAGGCAGTATTGCCAGTATCAATCGGCGACAGTCAACAAGTTCCATTAGGTAAACTGCATTTCCGTCTGCTAAATAAGGCTATTTAAAAATATATGTATACCAGGTATGTTGGAAATAATTGTGGTGGAACTATTGATTTCGATAACACTTGAGGAATGAAAAATGCATCTCGAAAATGTCCTTAGTGCGATTCAGATCTTTATAAAATATCTTTTTATTCTTAATACAATAATTAATTATTATAATTACAAAAAAATTCAACAAAATAGCATAATTTATTAATAATGATTGAACGAACAAAAGAACAGATACATTTGTATACTATAAACTTAATTTTATAAATATATATTTCTACTATTATTATTTTCCAGCCGTCGACAACAACGTCTAGAACAGGAGCAAGCAGATATCGAGCACGAGATTAGAATAATCCAATCGCGTCCAGCGGTCAACCGTATTGACGCGGATAAGGTAATTCAGTTACTGGAGTTAATTCAGCGCTAGTTTATTTTTTATTAAATAGAAGGTTGATCCAGGCCATCCGTCATTAAGTGGTTAAAGGAACCAACAATCACAATGCGAATGCTGCCAACTCTTGAGACATGAGATCGAATGACCTTTGGAATCGGAACACAAGACCCCTTCGTCGCGCAAATACACTTGCTTCGGTGTGAAATTAATGCTATTATTATTAATAACACACAGTAAATGTTGCTTAAATCGGTTAACATTTTTTTAAACATAGTTTTTAAAAGTCAATATACCAAAATTGTTTTTTTTTCTTCAAGTATTGGTATAAAATAACAGCTAAATAAACAGGCGCGGGAAGAGGAGCTGGTCACGCGGCTCGTGGAGATAGTACGTCTGCGCGACGAGCTGGTGCAGCAGCTGGACGCGGAGCGGCGCCGCGAGCAGCAGGAGGACCTCGCCATCGCAGCGTCCATCGCCAGTAAACGAGGTAACCCCCACCCCCTCCCTCCCTCCAACCTGACACTCGTGCGATAGCCTCGTGAACCCGCACCAGCTAGTATCGTAATCTGTTTGAATTCGGAACGTCAACAGTGTCAACGAGCGACGTCCGCTATGAGGACTTTTTGGCGGGAACGCGACGTGTGAAGTTGTGCGATTTGTTTTATTTTTTCTATTTAATGTTTCTTCAGGTTTAAATGTGTAATAACGGTGGTTTATTAACTGTTTAGTATCTGTGAAAGTGCACAATGTGCAAAAATGAAACAAAGCCGTTGGACGTAACTTCTCGGGATCCTCCAAAAAGTCCCCTGAAAAGATCTCAGTAAATGACCACCATTTTACTGAGATTATATTTCATCCCATATTTATTTTTTATTTTATTGCTTAGACGTGTGGACGAGCTCACAGCCCACCTGGTGTTAAGTGGTTACTGGAGCCCATAGAAATCTATTACGTAAATGCGCCACACACCTTGAGATATAAGTTCTAAGGTCTCAGTATAGTCACAACGGCTGCCCCACCCTTCAAACTGAAACGCATTACTGCTTCACGGCAGAAATAAGCGGGGCGGTGGTACCTACCCGTGCGGACTCACAAGAGGTTCTACCACCAGTAATTACGAAAATTATAAATTCATCTTATCTCATTTCATCTCATCTCATTTAATTTCATCCCAGTTGATTAATGTCTCAAATTCTTCATTTCATTTCACTCCATATTATCATTTTTCATAAAAATATCCCATATCATCTCATCTCATTTCAATTCATTTCATTTCATGCCATGCCATGTTTCATATTAATCAGCTTCAATTCATTTCATAATATCATATTTCATAAAAAAATATATAAAAGATTAGCCTGTATGGTGTGATATCTTTGCCTTTCCATTTGGAAAAATAAAACTACTACGTCCGCTGTGACACTTTTCCCTTTTCAATTCCAGCCACACATCGATTTCATATTTCATATATTCTCTTTCATTTGTCACCTATGGACTAATAAAGATATCAAACTAATAAATACAGTCCACTCACATTCACCACAACGCAACATAGTCATACACATTTCAACGCACTTTCATTAGCATGAGCTGTATCTATCTCTCTATGTAAAGGAATATTTTATACTAATTCTCACCAACTGAAACTCGATTCTTACGGATCGTTAGGAACCTGTGGGTCTGCAGAGGGACATCGCCTCTCTCTGTATTTTATACCGCATGCTCCATGGGGAGGAATTGTTTGAGATGATCCCATCATCTCGTTTTGTACCATCGCACCGCCCTCCACCGGAGTAGAGTTCATCCGTACTACGTGGAGCCACTGCGTTTATCCACAGTGCGTTTCCGGAGATATTTTTTTGCCACGTGCCATCCAGCTTTTAAATGAGCTCGCCTCCACGGTGTTTCCCGCGCGCTATGACGTATTCTTCTTTAAACGATGCCTGTGGAGAGTACTTAACGGCAGACAGAGGCTTGGCTCTGCCCCTGGCATTGCTGAAGTCCATGGGCAACGGTGACCACTCACCATCAGGTGGGCCGCATGCTCGGCTGCCTATAAGGGCAATAAAAAGGAAAAAAACTTCATACCGTCCGAATAACTAAAAAAATTGCATACATACGTATGCAATACGTATGCGTCCTTGATACCAAGGACCGACGACAATACAATACAATATAATATATGACAATAATTTTATTACTTCGGCCTATTATTCTGAACAAGATATACAATTGATTTTTTATCTTGAAAAGTGTCAATAAGACTGAAAAGCATAGTTTAAAATGCTATGTGCATCAGTGCAGTGCAAACAACTTTAGGACCATTTTTGAATGGTGATAGATGTTATTTTACAATGGAGTGCGGTTGTAGTGTGGACGAGTTTGGTAACCGTTTAACACGAGGTGGATCATAAACAACTAATAAGAACGTAACTAGGTACAGGTGAACCAAGTAAGCTATCCATAATTCAAGCCGGACATCTACTTTAAAACTTGTCTAAGTACTTTACTTTAGACACATCTATGTATGCGGTGCCCTAACAAATATTATATATACAATTGACACTCAAACAGTCCAACATTCTGTATACATTTCGGTAGGGCTTCCAATCTTTCAACATCAAATGAATCCTGAATTTGTAATTACACTTGATTTGAAGAAAGGTTATAGCAATAAACAAAGTAACGTTACTTTTACTTAGTACGTACATAACAGTAAAGTTACTGTTACTCCTGTTAAAATTCTTTATGTTGTATATTTCCAGCTCAGAGACAAAGCGAATCAAACAGTTCTTCAATCAAATCAGTTGAGGTTGCAGCTCCGAAGAAGAACAAAGTAAAGGATAAAATGAAAAAACAATTCAAAAAAGCAAAACACACTTTAATTTCTAAGAAAAAGGACGATTCGCCTGAACACAAAGAAGAAAAAGAACGTAAGAAATCTAAATAAATAGCAGTTACACGGATATTGATTGATATTAACTTTTTTTTTTTGCTTTGAAAGGTACTGAAAGTACTTGCAAGTAAGACTGAATCATTCCACTAAATATTTTTTATTATTGATAAAATGAAAAGTCAATTAGATCTTTAATATGCATGGCTCTAGTACTCCATTCAGTGTAAACAACAAAACAAACTCAGCAAACTACTTTTTTCATTACCACTATACATTATGTTTTTTTTTTAAATACTGCTTGTGTGACTGAGGAAGGAGATCGACACATTCATGCTATATCACTTAAGCACAAAAATGGAGTATAGATGATTTGACATATATTTAGGATAAATCAATATCGTTTTCGTGCCAGCGTTAGTATATAGTAAAATACATAAAATAATACATAAATTCATTTATCCGTAACACACCAGATATAATACAAAAGCAACATATAATGAGTCTTATTATATTAATGACCAAATAGTAATGTTGTTTGACAATCTTTTGTTTTGTGTTAAGTATATATTTTATATCATGTGTAAATTAACGTAATTTTTTTTATTGTTATTTTGTGTAGAACAAAAAAATGAATACCGTTATACTAATACGTATAAATTTACTTACTTTTGTACTTAACTAACATAGTATTAATAACATGTTCACAATAATTCCAGTATTATTTGTACAATAACAGTAGTATGTTGTAATACTTATGATTTCTCATTACAAATTATTGGATAAGTGAATTAATTCAAGTCGAATTTCAAAAGACCTTTAACTAACACCATAATATGTATATGTTTATAGTACTTAATCTTATAATTGCAATAATTTGAAATGGTTCCCAGAAGCTCGCAATTGTGATTCAACTTTAAAACGCATCGGTATAATGCACGTATGCTAATAGTCACGTTACTTAATGTAAGCAACTAAACACAAGCAACGGCCTTACCTCGACCTAACTTTGTGTTAATTGTTTACTAAAAAAGATAGATATTTACAGTGGTGGATTTACACTAGGGGCAATCGAGGCAAGTGCCCAGGGCGGCAAACTTTTGAAAGTAAAAATATTTTTTTAGTCTTATCAAGATTGCTCAATATAATTAATTAATTCTATTAATTAATAATTTTGTGTTTAACTGATAATTCAATTCATTTAATTTTTGTGAATTATAACTTTGGCACTTTTGGTAAAAAATAATAATCAAAATGATTAAATCAATTTATTACCTTGGACATTTAAAATAATAATCGATTTTTCCAATTTCTGGAATTAAAGAAATTTAATTAGTTCTTTTTTTATGTAATATGATATAATTATGTGTCGTCACTCTTAGTGCAAAATTTATAATTGTTCGAAAAAAAACAAATAGTTATTTATGTTTTTGGAATATATAACATATGTTAAAGTTTCTACAATAAATTAGTTATTTTAATTTTGAAAAAAATATATAAACTATATGTTTAGGTAAAATTCCAGTATTGGGGCGGATTTTTTTCCGGTGCCCAGGAGCGGCATCAAGTCTAAATCCGGCCCTGGATATTTACATAGATATTTAATATATAAGCCATCGCTGTCCCTGCGACATGAAGTTAAAGTTTCAATTGGATTGTAGTATTGTAAAAGTCGAAATTTCCTTAAACACGCTCCGAAGTATCTCATAAAAAAAAAGTTTTGCAGAAGATACTGTACTCCATTTAATCGCGACTGTGCCTTCAAAGGTAATTAGTGCATACATCAGCGAAAGAACTGCTCGCACTTGACATTAAATAAAAACAAAGATTAACTTAAAAGCATTATATGTTGAAATGATATCACATCTTTTAATATGTATATTTCTCATCAATGTCCCATGTATCCTTTAAATCCACTTAACAATTAATTTTGATAAATTAATACAAAATAACCAATTGATATTAATAAGAAACACTCAGTTGTATGAAATTCGTTACAAGATTCGTGTAGTCTATACGTTGTTTTAAGTAGTTTGATGACTGAAATATACAGGTAATTTAACTCATATACTGACAAGATAAACTCTAGATATCAGCTTCGAGATTTCATTTATTATCACATAAACAGCTAAAAATTTCCAATAAAATTATATAATTTATTTCAACAAACAAACAGTTCATTTATAGAAATACGAAAATTTGTCGACATTTCTGCAATATTTTAATAGTGAAATTTTATATTTCTGTATTTGTAAAACGAATCAGTTTGTTGTATGTAGAAACTTTAAAAATACAGTTCGCGACAACGTTTGTAAGACAGCCCGAGGGCTGTGAGTAGCCACTCTATTTATTGTTTTATTGTTTTTGTTTGTAATCTTACAGTAGAAGGGACAAAAAACAACATATCAAATATGAAACGTTAATCTGGAAAAATAGGCAATACTCGGTAGAACTTAAAGTTATCTATTATTGCTGTGTAGACTCGATAAATGACTTACTTAAACTGTGAACTGCATTATTAAAGTTATATTATAAATTATTTACATGTTATTAAATTTAAAAATATATTTTTACACTAGTCTTCTCATAATAGTATTTAGATGTCCTTACCATTCATTACCTAAAACAAAAGATATTTTCGCAGTCCACAAAATTAAACAATGGATCTTATTTAGGCGAATATTCTCTATTTACAATAATTTTATATAATATCACTTTGTTTGTACTCTACTTTAACAAATGTCAATTAATTCACAGCCTACATTTAAGTGTCAACACACAACCCAAAAAAATTCTGATGTTTAAAATGCAATAATAGGCTAATTATTGCCTATGAATAGATAGACAATTAATTTTGACTAACACGAGAAAGATTTTATTGAGGAAACAGAATCCTTTTTATTAATTTGTTGGTACTTACTGTGTGCTTTAATGCGAGCTTTTTAACTGCGTAAAAGTTAACTCCAATTTGTATGCACTTGGAACAGCTTCCCTTCGTTTGCTAGGGGACTAAGCCGCACTAAGCACACTGATGTAGGTACCGTTTAGATCCGTGAATATAGGAATTGGGTCGCATTTTTGTAATCCGCGTATAGTGAAAACGCGAATGAAGGAAGCGGGAATAAGAATCTTTTACTGTACCTAGGTATATAAACACCACTAAATTTCGGTAATTTTGTCTACTAGTTGAAATCCTGGACATCATTTATCGTTGAATTCCAGGATCCGTGGGTCCAAACTATACTCGCCTAAACATCTTTTTCGTGTTAATCGTAAGTTTCTGTATAAAAAAATGTACCTACCACCACCATCATCATATATTATATTATTATTGTTAGAAAACTGCAAAATTTATAACGTTGTTATACAGCTTGATTGTTAAAAATACAGTTAAGTTACTAGGGTAATCGCCTCTAGTATTTATTTGTATTTGCATAATTTTTATTATTTAGACAAATGTTTCTCAGCATAATATGATTCCGTATTATAATTCTACTTTTAAACGTAAATATATAACGTAGGTACGTATTTTTATGATTTTTAGTACTAAAATTGTAACAGTGTAAATTCAAAGGAACAACAAATAATATACCTACATATGATGTATTCATTTATTTTAAAATTATTCGTGCAAATAACATCAACAAATTGACACACTAACATTATTATACTCACATATTCAAGACACCAGTTAGGTACGTAGGTAATCTAAGTGCACAAAAAGCACAAAAATAAACTTCGTTAACTACCTATTTTGTTTCTTTCATTTATTAATCCCACATTTCAACTTATCCACTATTACAAACATCAATTTTTTGACTACTCATGAACAAAAGAGAATGATTAGAAAAATAGAATTTCGTCCAAAGATCGACCACTATACAAACCCATGTAACAAGATAATCCAAAAAATATGGAATAATTTATACCCGACCACAGCCAGAAACATACTGTCATTAAAAGTTAATTTTCAGGGTGGAATTCGGCTTTTTTTTCTACCTATGCTGATAGCCTTGAGACGCTATATCAGTTACTTACCCTAGCGTGTAGGTGAGCTCTCGAGGCACAAACCGAAGGTGTTGCTAACACTGGCCCGAGCTAGAGCAATGCTTCGCAGGATCTACCTTCGGAACAGAAACGCGACCCATTGAGAGGATCCGGCAAGAAACTCAGTGGGCTGTCTATGGGTTATTTTAATTTACTCGCCGAACCGGTACTTGAGGGACCTAAAAGCACCGTTAATGACGACGTCGACGATTTGGGCGACGTCGACTGTTTACCATTCAATCCACAGGATCGGGTCGGCTTCTTCGAGTAGTGCCGTTTTGGATATTCATTTTATTCACGTACATACACACTTAACATTATTAAAAAAAAAACTGACAAAACCTCACTCCTCACGTTCCCTTAAAAAACAAAGGAAAAAATTGGGTAACCGTTTTGTGCCGAAATATCTTCTAAACATAATATACAATTTCATTTTACACTTGTATTAATATCACACAATAGTAAAAGTCCAAACTAAAACTAATTTTTTTTAATTTTAAATTTGTTCAAGAGTGTAGTAATAAAAAAATTCTTAGTGTTTGGACGAGACTTTTAGAACCCTGAAATTTGACGCGCTTTGGAATGGCAGAATTAAGCACAATGAAGTCTAGTCTCACATCCGATTGGTCACACATTTCCTAACATAAATGATTTTGGTTTCCTTTTGAAGACCATCTTCTGTAGAAAAAGCATTTTTTTATAAAAATTTAAACTATTGTATTTCTATTTGAACAAAAAAGGTACATCTTTAAATAGATAATAAAAAAAAATACCAAATTTAAATGAATCATTTATTTTATTTTTTTTGCAGTCTCTCCTTCCAATGTTAACAATATGCAGGCACATGGAGATCGAATTACACATCATACCATTTTTTGGTTCTTGGTGTAAATTTGCTGGGACTGTTGAACCAAACTAAATAGTCGCCTTATAGATGCACTGTCAAGACACGAGTGAACAGAGCTGTCGCCGAACAGGGAGATTGAATGGGTCTTCGTGACCACAGCAAACATAAATTGTTACACCGATGCAGTGGATTAGGTTCATGCGTCATGCAAGTCACATAAGACTTGCATGACGCAATCTAAACCAGTATGAAGCAACTGTGGCAAATTAAGACAGCAGCTTCCACAGCCTCTTCCAGTTAACCAACAAATGGACACCAGTACCTTGGCCTATTGTTTACAATTATATTTTAGAACAGAAAAGGGGTTCATGTATTGATAAGATCACATTTTTATTAATAGACACAGGTGGTAATTCCATTCTATTTTAGTGTTTACTTGTTGGCCACTCATAGAGTATGAGCAGAGCAGTACTTCTTACCAATCTAATATGAAGATAGCAATTATTGCATACTAAATTTATTGTGTGTTAGGAAGAGTTGTCTATTTCAATACGTAAATTTTCCTTTTTTAATTTTCCTATCCTATCTCTGAGGTCATCATTTTTCTTCTTTGAAGTTATAAACTTGCGCAAGTCATTGTGCTTCTGAGGACTGTTATTTGTGTCTAATCTTGACCAAACGCTACTTGCACTTTTTGTTTGATCGTTAATTTTCTGCACTTGACTCCTAAAATTATATCCAAAATTTCCAGAAACTTCATCACTTGAATTACTATCATTAGAGTACTCTAGCCTCTCACCTAACCGTAACTGAACACTTGATTTGGGTTCTGATGTATGATACTTAAATTTATCTGATAGTTTTGATGCTTCCCTTTTTATATAATTACCCTTAGAATTTGCTACTTGTATAGATAATGGAGAAAATTCATTTATGCTTTCTAATCTACATTTGATTAGACGACGACTCTTTTCTTGTTTTTTTTCTTCATCATCAGCATGCATCCTCATCCTCGGTACCTTTGATTTAGCTTTCCATTCTGAATCTGAATTGTCATATTCAGAATCAACAGAGCTTTTTGTTTCACAGACTCTCTTTCCAAGTCTGGATGCTAATCTACTACTTTTAACTGGTCTATTTACATAATTATCCTCTTCATCACTCTTATCTGCCTTCTCATTTCTAGATTGCTGGTATTGAAAAACTTCTTGATGATCATATACACCCCACGATTTACACAAATCACCCCAAGGATTTTTTAATGCTGAATCAATTCTATTTTTAACTTGCCTGCCTTGTCTCCTATTTGTCAATTTTTTATCACTATTAGTAGCATATCTTATCAAAATCATTTCATTTTTAGGATGATGAACACCTTGCCTCCAATGATGATTTTTATCAGAAACCACAGCTGACAAATTACCATCTTTGATTTCATGAGAATGAGCTAGTAATGCTAATGCTGCTGAAATATGGTCTTGACAAACCACATTGCCTGAAAAAATATGAGTAACTTCACTGGTTATTAACATTTTTTACATTCATAACATTAACAGTGATACTTTTTATTGTCCTTATAGGCAGACAAACACATGGACCACTTAATGATGAGTAGTTACTTTTTCTCATGGACTTCAGCTATGCCAGGGAAACAGCCAAGCTACTGCCAAGCCTATAAATTTTATAAAGATGTATCCATATATGTTTGCATAAAAACCATTTTCACCAGCAGAAAAACCAGCTTATTTGGGCCTATGGCAAGCTTACTTGGTAGCCACTTGACAGTGTCAATGCTGAGGTCCATGATCATGAGTACCACTCACCATTAAGTGGATCATAGTGTCTGAAAGATGCTTTATAGAAACTGAAATACATGTATAACATTCTAAGTGATTCTTGTGTTTTTAAATTATTTTTACTTATTTAACTTTGCCTACTGATTCAGATGTTGGCCTATTGTGGTAGAATATTGGTAATATGCCCATAGTAGCCAGAACCTCTCTTGTGAAATAAATTACAATTAATCTGATTTCAACACATTTTTATACTTTAACTTAGATGTAAAAAAAAAATTGCGATTGCTTAGGCTTTGAGGAGGCATAGGCTTCCCCCAAACTGAATGTAGTCCTACAGTGACTTCTGTGGGCTGACAGAAGAACAAAAACAGATTCTTATACTTCATGTCTCAATAAAATTGTGGTTTAAGATTTTTTACTTTGTGAGATTACAGCAACCAATTACAGAAAATCACTTTTTGTTAGTAATTAATTTCCATTAATAAAATTTCATGAATTTTATGTAACAATTATACCTACATGATGTGTCATCAATCCATTCCAATGAAAGTGGTTTATAATCTTCTAAGTATTGAAATATTTCCTTTGTTGTCAGCCCATCCACTCCATTTAAATGAATGGTATCAAAACGTATGTGCCTTTCATTGCCACTTTGTATACCACAATTTTCATAAAGTTCATCTATTTGCTTCTGAGTTATTGTATGTGTTCCAGTTAGATTGAGGCCAAATCTTTTAGCTCTTTCATCTAGTTTTGCAGCATCAACTTTTTCAAGCTTCTGCACTACAAGGCCATTTTTTTCAGCTTTGAAAACCTTAAATAAAATTAAAATATAATACTTTNTGTGCCTTTCATTGCCACTTTGTATACCACAATTTTCATAAAGTTCATCTATTTGCTTCTGAGTTATTGTATGTGTTCCAGTTAGATTGAGGCCAAATCTTTTAGCTCTTTCATCTAGTTTTGCAGCATCAACTTTTTCAAGCTTCTGCACTACAAGGCCATTTTTTTCAGCTTTGAAAACCTTAAATAAAATTAAAATATAATACTTTGTGTTTATTAACTACATCAAAAAACATGTCCAAATTACAGTAGGTACATAAAGTTTGTTGCGTCACACATCATTATAAAATATGTATTCGGTGTCATATTGTGATCAGAATCGCACCAATCAATTCTAATTATGTATCTATTGACATTTCATCCTCATGTTTTAGTTAAAGAGCACATTTTCAATAAATAACAATGCAATTTATCATAAAAACAACTCACGCGTCCAGTGAGCTGCTTATAATTAAACAATTATTACCTATTTTATATTGACATTTGTAGAGATTAACTAAATTAATATCTACCATAGTACAATCATCATGCGTTGCTTGAAATGGGTCGTCGACGTCCATGTCATCTATAATCATCGAATTATCATCACTCATCTCGCCATCTTCTCGTTCCATTTTTTTCTGTCACTTCTTTAAACTTAGAAAATAAAATTCACTTGCTTTTGCTCAAATCTAAAAACTGTTTAAAATTTTACAATTTCACAGTTTTCGCTTCAAGCATAGATCATAGATAATACACATAATATTTATGATATGGGTATGGGCCATGGAATGGATGGATATTAAGTAAAAGGCTTATTACACTTGACTGAATTTAGTCGACTGAATTCGGAAGCTTAGATTCTGATTACAGTTCTAAATTCAGTTACTGAATCAATTGTCAGTTTAAGCGTGACGAAGTTGGACGTGTCGTGTGTGTACGAGGATGGCCCCAGTATTGTCTAGACAACAAAAAAAAAGTTTTTTGTTTTTGTTTTATGTTTCAATTTCTCAAAATAAAAAAAATAAAAACAAGAATATCGGTGAACAAATATTTATTGCTGCGCGGAATGTTAGCAAATATGAACATTATGAGTAATTTAGAACCAGCAGACTTCAGAAATTATCTACGAATGGATTCGAGATCGTTAAACCTAATATTAAACCTTGTGACATAGTTTCTTCAAAAGCAGTATACTATCCTACGATACTACGATAGTCTATTATATATCTAAATTATATAACTATTACACATCTAATCCTACGATAGTATAAGTCCAAAATAAATATTGGTTGTAACATTAAGATTTCTTGCAACAGGAAATTCGTATCAAGATTTAAAATTTAGTTCTTTAAAATCCCAACCCCTGCTGACAAAAATTATCCCTGAAACATGTCGAACTATTTTTAAATGTTTGGCATATTAAATAAAAGTGACCGAAATTAATACTTCTTATTCGGAAGTAAAAAACAAATTAAAACGTCCTTACGGACGGAGAGCTATGGGACAACTGAAATCATTAAGTAACTAAATGCGATTACACCTTCCTAAATGCGTTTCTAATTAGGTTTCTAAATGATTTAGTCAGTCAGAAACCATCCTTGCTGCTAAATTCAGTAGACTAACTTACTTAATGCTATTACACTTCACTTAATTCAGTAGCGACTGAATTCAGTCGACTACATTCAGACAAGTGTAATAAGCCTTTAATAAGGGGGACATAGCATTTGTTGTGGTAGTAGTCATAGACAATACACTTAGTAGTTCCATTTTCCAACAAAAAAGGCGAAGGTATCACTCTATATAGCCTAATATTTCATACACTCGTGGTAGGACCTCATGTGAGTCCGCACGGGTAGGTAACACCACCCCGCCTATTTCTGCCGTGTAGCAGTAATGCGTTTCGGTTTGAAGGGTGCGGTAGCCGTTGTAACTATACTGAGACCTTAGAACTTATATCTCAAGGTGGGTGGCGCATTTACATTGCAGATGTCTATGGGCTCCAGTAACCACTTAACACCAGGTAGGCTGTGAGCTCGTCCACCCACTTAAGCAATAAAAAAATAAAAAAATAATCTATTTTAAATGAAAAAAATATGGAGTGAAAAATGATATTATGGATGAAATGAGGTGAAGTTGATTTATTCGAATTTATGATAAATTAGGATTAAATCAAATGAATCCAGATGAGATGGGATTTAATAGTCTCCGTAAAACGGTGGTTATTTACACAGACTTTAGTGGACTTTTTGGCAGAAGTCGTCTTCGCTGCATTCGTATCTACCCATGTATCAGTGTTCGAATCCCGCAACCAAGTACCAATTTTCCTAATGAAATACGTAATTTAACAAATGTTCACGATTGACTTCCACGGTGAAGGAAGTGGGCCACGAGTTTGTCCATCTGTTTAAGCGGATGCTCGCAAAAGGGAAAAAATACCCCGATTTTGAAACATTATTTATTGGTGCTCCGCTTGTATTGGTCTTAGCGTGATGTTATATACCCTATAGCTTTCCTCAATAAATGAGCTATCTGACACTGAAAGCATTTTTCAAATCGGACCTGAGATTAGCGCGTTCAATCAAACAAACAAACAAACTCTTCAGCTTTATAATATTAATATAGATGTATATAGATTATACTCCCAGACAAAGAGCAAACCTACTGCGCAAGTCTGATGATAATCTGGCCAACAGCGCGAAAGAGAAGGCTGACCTTTTGGTCAAACTCTTCGCCTCGAACTTGCGTATGGATGACGGGGGAGTCACGCCACCGAACATCCCTGAGTGTGGTAGCTCTCTACCGGAGATCTGCATCACACAGTGTGCAGTCAGGCGGGAGCTCCGGCTCCTGGATGTCCATAAGTCGAGTGGGCCAGATTGCATCCCCGCAGAGGTTCTGAAAACGTGCGCCTCTGAGCTGACACCTGCCCTAACGCGTTTGTATCACTTCTCTTAAGGTGTTAACAGGGTTCCGTCTTCATAGAAGACTACCCATGTCAACCCTACCCTATGAACGGACTCATCGAGCTATAGGCCTATCGTGATAACTTTGCTTTCCAAAGTGATGGAGCGAATAACAAATACGCAACTCCTAAAGTATTTTGAGGATCGCCAGCTGATCAGTGACCGACATTACGGTTGCCGTCACGGTCGCTCAGCTGGCGATCTTCCTGTATACCTTACTCAGGTGGGCTGAAGCCTTGGAGAGCAAGGGCGAGGCTATCGCTGTAAATCTTGATATCGCGAAGGCCTTCGACAGGGTCTGGTATACTGCACTTCTGTCGAAGCTACCATCTTACGAAATCCCATAGCGACTCTGCAAGTGGATCGCTAGCTTTTGACGGGCGGAGCGTCACAGTCGTTCTAGACGATTGTTACTCCGATACCATTACTATTAACGCTGGCGTTCCACAAGGCTCGGTGCTCTCCCCCACGCTTTTCATCCTGTATATCAATGACTTGCTGTCTATTGATGGCATGCATTGCTATGCGGATGACAGCAAGGGGGATGCGCGATATATCGGCCACCAGTCTTTCTCGGAGCGTGGTGCAGGGGAGGTGATCAACACTTTTGTCTGAAGTGGAGAAGCTCTCTGGGGCGAGTCTCCGAGTGGGGTAAATTAAATTTAATCCAATTCAACCCGTCGAAGACACAAGTTTGCGCGTTCTCTGCGAAGAAGGACCCCTTTGTTATGGTGCCACAATTCCAACGAGTATCCCTACAATGTTCCAAGAGTATTGGGATACTTGGGGTCGATATTTCGAGCGATGTCCAATTTCGGAGTCATTTGGAGGACAAAGCCAAGTTGGCATCAAAAATGCTGGAAGTCCTCAACAGAGCGAAGCGGTACTTCACACCTGGACAAAGACTTTTGCTTCATAAAGTACAGGTCTAGCGTGGAGTACTGTTACCACCTCTGAGCCGGGGCTCCCAAATAGCAACTACTTCCATTTGACTCCATATAGAAGAGGGCCGTTCGGATTGTTGATAATCCCCATAATCCCATTCTCACGGATCGTTTGGAATCTCTGGGTCTGCGGAGGGACTTCGGTTCCCTCTGTATTTTGTACCGTATGTTCGACATGGGGAGTGCTCTGAGGAATTGTTTGAGATGATACCATCATCTCGTTTTTACCATCGCACCGCCCAACACCAGAGTAGAGAATTCGTCCACAGTGCATTTTCAGATATTTTTTTTGCTACGTACCATCCGGCTTTGGAATGAGTTGAATGGAATGAATTCTTCAACCGTGCAATATTTATTATTTATTGAACTATTTGTTTGGACGAAGTCATGTCGGCCATAATTTGAGTTTTCTTTACAGTAAGGGGCAATAAGGGGCAGTAAGGGCAAGAGCATAGAATATACTCTCGAATATATTAAGTGTATAATCTAGGGAATATACACTTGTGCCGCGCCATTATAGAAACGAAACGAAAATGGCGTTTAAGTACCTGCACTGACAGATGGTAGGGTCAACAAATAAAAAGAAAAATAGAAAGAAAAATTTGTTTATTGTAAAAAAATATAAAAAACCAATTGAGAATGTACTTTACTTTATGCGCTGGCAGAGGGGAGGTGTCTCATTTGGGATGCAACTTACGTAGACACTTTTGCTGCCAGTAATCTATGTCGCACAACTCGAAAGTGGAAAAACTCGAAGTCAACAACAAAGTCAGAACTGATATTTTTTTGCATGCAGTACGCGCCATGTGCGACTAAAGACAGCAATAGTTTAAAGTAAGAGCGCATGATCGCCGCCGCCATTTTAAATTAGTTTCTTTATTGGCGCGGCTTTTAGGGTCCGTAACGGGTCTGAAGTAAAAATATGCAAAATATTTCATGTTATATTGGAAATGTATTCAGTGGTATTGTTTTTATTTTTTTATTATTGCTTTGATGTGTGGACGAGCTCACAGCCCACCTGGTGTTAAGTGGTTACTGGAGCCCATAGACATCTACAACGTAAATGCGCCACACACCTTGAGATTTAGTTCTAAGGTCTCAGTATAGTCACAACGGCTGCCCCACCCTTCAAACCGAAACGCATTACTGCTTCACGGCAGAAATAGGCGGGACGGTGGTACCTACCCGTGCGGACTTACAAGAGGTCCTACCACCAGTAATTTATACTATTAGTTCAAACACTTATTTATTCAAGGTTTATTGAAATAAAAATTAACATTTAGTGAACAATAAGTACCTTGTAATAATAATAAGACTAAACAAAATATGACTTTTCCCTGCAAGTAAAACATAGTGCCCAACGGTTATTTATTAGAGGCAGAGATTTATCGATATCATACCTATGACTGTATTGATTGAAACCATGTGTGTTATACCACTCCTATATATCTACAACACCCACACCCTCGAGTACTAATGGAACAAGGTAAAACTTAAGGTATGCTTACTCAACAGCTTAACTGGATAGATTAAGCTAAAATTTGTATATTTACAAATCAGTTATGACATCCATTACAAAATGAAAACAACATAGTGTATCCTAATGCCATTTACTTACATGCATTTTACAGTATTCAATTTCTTAAATGCTGATTAATACTTTTAAATACANACCCTCGAGTACTAATGGAACAAGGTAAAACTTAAGGTATGCTTACTCAACAGCTTAACTGGATAGATTAAGCTAAAATTTGTATATTTACAAATCAGTTATGACATCCATTACAAAATGAAAACAACATAGTGTATCCTAATGCCATTTACTTACATGCATTTTACAGTATTCAATTTCTTAAATGCTGATTAATACTTTTAAATACAAATTGAAAAATCTATTTCATTGTTGTCGTTTTTTGTTTGTTTGTTAATAGGCACACATTTCTAATAAACCACTATCAGTTGAGGAATTTTACTTAACACTTTAATTATATCCAAACACTAAATTTACAAGAATCTAAGAATAAATCCGTACATCCTTAAAAAATTGATTGCAAGGGTTTTTTAACAGTATAAGCTGCAAAGCTTGCTATTTTCACAAAATAGTATCTTTTAGTGTTATTTACTGTTATTACTACTTTTTTAGTGTGAATACATTTTAATAAACATAATCAAACATGGGAAACTGCCTTTTCAACAAACCCAAATCTAGCCATAATATCCGTTCATAGAGATGTATTGATTGAGTAATCTGTTACTTTTCCTTTTCTTTAGATAGAAGCGTAAAACCTTCTACAAATTACAATAACACTGTATAAAATATATTATTACTGGTGTCGTTTTTGTAAATTATAAATTACTAAATAATACTTTGTGGAACGTTGATAAGTCAGGTTCTACGTTAGAGTTAGTGCTGTATAATGCTGGTTTACTGTTGTTTCTGAAAATAATAAAAGGTGACGTCAAAATTATTATATATGTATATACCAAGTGCAAGTCAGCCGTTTTAGATTTTTATTAAAAGACTTCCGTTCAACAGTAATACCTCGAAGAAGAATTCAGTGTTCTAGGCACGACAAGTAAGCAATTCATAGGCTGTCCGTCTAGCTGTCGATTGTGATATAAATCTACAGCCCTCTGTGCATCTTCTTGAGTTTTATAAATTACTTCTGCAGTACCGGGACGAACCAAACGCGATTCGACCATGCCACCTACATCTCCAAATAATTCCTGAAATTAAAATTGTTTTTGTTCATTAATTTTTGTACTGCGGCAATATATATCCATTATTAAATCAGATTTAAATAGCTAAAAAGTCGCAACAACATGTTTTTGAGTTTGAAGTTTAGGCTTTGACCCAATATTTCGTAGGGGCGACATTCAAGTTGTAATTAATGTATATGACTTCTGCTAACCAATTAATATCAGATGTGATCATCTTTCCATCCATTTACATTAATAGAAATTATATAATTTAATTAGTTAATAAGAAATTAATTACCTCTATATCTCCAGCTGTTACTGTGCTTTTCAAACTACTAACAATGATTCTAAATTCTGGAGCCGTCTTGTCAGAGTTGTAAGCTTTATTGTTAGATTTGAAAGCAGCCATTGGACGTTTCTTGAGAATCGAAGGTGGTCTTGGTGGGCTATACTCCCTTTCGCTTATGGCAGTTCTGAAGGTTTTTTAGATTATTAGGTTTATTTCAAGTATTCATGCTCTGTACATTACTTCAAAATAAATATTTAATAATTAAAGTGTGATTGCCTTACTTATTATTTTAGTTAATTTTACAATAAAGTATTACCGATTAGTGGTACTGGGTGGTTTATCTCTTGCACCATTGTTGTGAGTAATTATTTTAAGTTGTAGACTAGCTTTGCGGTTCAACAATTTTGTTGGAATATATTCTTCCCCCATTGGATCATCATCATCATCATCTATAATTTCTATATCATTTTCCACTGTTCTGAGAATTTTTTGGGGTTGTGGATTTTTATCTGAAATTGTACACAATATGTAATAAACCAATAATTCAGCTGAATACATGTGATATCGTGTATTCTTAAATTGATTGATTGATTAATTTGAAAATACATTACTATCTCAAATAAAAAGAATTGGATATTAGGGAAATCCCCATACTTATTTTTTATTTGAAATTATTTAGTTTTTATTACTTAACAGGCGTCCAGATAGAATGGTGATTAGGCTAGCTGGACCAGAAGGGCAATCTCAGATGATGAAGTGGGATGAAAGGTCTAAATTATATCCTGGTGTTTAAGCTCCTATACCGATTTTTATCAATATCGATTCGGTGATTTAAGCGTGAAAACGTAACAGACAGTTACTTTCGTATTAATAATATTATTTGTTATATAGCTTTTAAACAGCATAAAAGTAAATTCCGAAAAAGTATATTTTTATTATTTTTCATAACATTCGATTTTATTGAAAAATTAACTTTTCTGCTCTATTTTGTATATGTATATTATATTCTGCTCCAATCTCCGTGACCCTGTGTAAACTTAGTGAAAATCCGTTCAGTCGTTCCGAACATGTGCGCAAACATAGAGACACAGAAAAATGTACAAATCGCTGATTCTTCTTTGGTTATCCCCTACCTACTTTTGTTACTTTTCTTCAGTGTATGGATAGGTACTAAAGATTATATTGTTTTATTATATATTATGATTCATAATGTTTGTATTGTTATGATTTAGTAATACCATGCTCATTACTCTCCATTACATCTTGATTTTTAGTTAATTGTTAGGCACATCCCCAAAAAAGAGCTATTTGGTAATTAATTAAGATTAATTTTATTAACATTTTTATTAGTAATAAACAATATTATTAGTAAACAATAATATGTAATCAATTTACAAATAAATGGTGTGTGAAAAATCAAACTTACGTATTTTTTGTGTACCAACTGCCTTATTTCCTACAAATCTACGTTTATTGTTGATTTGACGTCTAAGATTAGGTGTGTTCAGAGGCTGTGAGACAACTTGCCTGGATGTATCTGTGAACACTAGTAAAAAATATACGGATATTAACATTCATCTTTTTTCGGTAGGAAAACAGTTGAATATTAATATTTGTTATTCTTTAATTCAAACCGGAACGAGCGATCGGTTCGTAAAATAAATAGCTTTTTTTATTTATTGCTTATATAGAAAGGTGGACGAGCTCACAGCCCAGCTGGTATTAAGAAGTTACTGGAGCCCATAGACATTTACAACGCAAATGCGCCACCCACCTTGAGATAATAATATAAGTTCTAAGGTCTCAGTATAGTTACAACGGCTGCCCCATCCTTCAAGCCGAAACGCATTAGTGGTTCACGGCAGAAATAGGCGGGGTGGTAGTACCTACCCGTGCAGACTCACATGAGGTCCTATCACCAGTAATTACGCAAATTATAATTTTGCCGGTTTGATTTTTATTACACGATGTTATTCCTTCACCGTGGAAGCCGATCGTGAACATTTGTTAAGTATATATTTCATTAGAAAAATTGGTACCCGCCTGCGGGATCCGAACACCGGTGCATCGCTAGATACGAATGGACCGGACGTCTTATCCTTTAGGCCACGTCGACTTCGAAACTCAGCATGACGGTCTCATCAATTCCCGTAGTTTACGAGGCATAGAAATATATATTTTTTTAACATTATGGTCAGGCTAGAAAATATACACTATAAAAGTATAAAAAAATATCTGAAAGTTAAACAAAAAAATTTTTAAGCAACTTATTCCAATCAGTTAATTCATTTATTAAATGATTGTATTTGCTACCTGTCCTTGAGACATAAAATTTTTGAAAATAATCAGTAATAAGAAAACTGTAGTGAACAAACAATATTTTTGGCTTGGTTCATGTCCCTTTTTCTCCGTCTACTAAGTCAGCCTTGCAATTTAGTGATTCAAATAATGAAATACACACATTCGCCTTTCACCAAAATGTTTTTTTTAAATACAGAAGTTGGAGTTTTATGTCTACACTTAATATTTAATGTTGTCATATTTATAGATTTTTAGACAGATGCACATCACTTTGATTCTTGGAATATTCAATCCTTCCCATGTCCACTACTATATGCTTAAATCCTACGATGTCTATTAGAGATACATCTTCACCCCAGCAGTCCTTGCCCAAGATCTCCTTTGTTCCATGCCAGACCATCCCATGCATTGCACAGATAGATGGTTAGATATTATCCACCATCAATGAGACATAAAGAAGACCATTCAAGTTCTATATATTAAGATATTTGACAGAAATTGAGAAGTCGAACTGAAATGAATGTAAATTTGTATTTTAATATATTATTACTCTATACCTCTATCTTTGTTGACAACAGTTCGAGTAAATTTGGTGGCCTTTGGAAAAACATTTACAGGTGTCATTTGTCCTCTCTGTAAAATAACATTTAGAAATTATAACTATCCATAATATAGGAGTGATTTTTTACAACAGTGTATAGCACTGAAATGGGTCAATAATAAAGTACTACAAGAACAAAAACAGAAACCAATTTTTACTTTACCAAGCTAAGCAAAGACTTGTTGTAGAATGTTGCAAATTGTTGTGGAATGCATATATGGCTTATAATTTTAAGAACACAATTGATTTATTATTTTCTTGGTAGGAATTTTACTTTATCCTTGGGAACAGATTCTATACATAATTTAGGTCTTTTAGGCTATCCAATTCATTCTCTTATTAGGAGATTCAGGTATGTGACCTTTAACTCCTTTTTTATAGTCTATTTGTCTATTATATAAATATTTAATAGTCTATTTAGCAAACAAACTCACAGTTCACCTACAGAAACCACCGTGAAATACAAAGAAAAAACTCAGTTGGGTTACAATAATGGCTATCACTATTTTAGACAGGAGGTGCAAGTGCTTCATGGCAGAATAAAGAGAGGATCAAAGCGTCCATTCCAAAAAAACTTAGAAAAGGCAAGGAGAACATAGTGTCTGTTCTTTCAGTCACCTGGCTGTAATGTACTACTACTCTGCAGGCACACTTTTTATTTATTAAATGGATAGATAGACAAAGTAGCTCTTGGCTCATCTGATGTGAAATGGTTACTAGAATCCTTAGACACTATAATATGAATGCCTCCATCTTGACATTTGAGATTATGATGTCTTAATTGTATTATATAGCAGACTTTACACCAGGCATCTAAGCAATAAAAAAAATGGCTTCAGGCCCTAGAATAATGAGGTATCTCCTTAAGGCAATCAGCTACATAAAGAGATCAGATTACTTCTTGAAGGATCTTAGTTGGTGTTCATAAGAACTCTTCAATCACTAAGCAAACTGGGTACAATTTAGGGAAGTCTATTTCCTCAGAATTGTCTTTTTATTGTAATGTATTATATAACTGGCTGTTCCACATTTCAGACTAAAAAGCATGACTTCTTCACAATAGAAATATGCATGATTGTGTTACCTACCTGCCCAGACTTACAATACTCTCTACGACCAGATACTTTGCAAACTAATTCATTTTGAGGGTTTTATTTCTATTACTTTATCATGATTATTATTCCTTCAAGAAGGGGCTACTTTCTGAACCTTCTTAATAAAATTAGTACCTGCCTATGAAATCTCAAGCATAGCTTAACATCACATAATACAAGTACATACACTTGGCGTTTTAGGTAGTCTTTAGGCCACGGCAACTACAATATTCAAATATCATATTATTATGCTATTTAAATTTCTAAGTATAATGTTTATTATATTTTGCAAATATAGTTTTAACTTAGACATATGATATGAAGAATAGGTATAGGTATTTATTTTAGAAAATAACTAGCTTACTCTTTGCATTTTGAGATGTTCTAGCTTCAGTCTAGCATCCCTCTGCTTTGCAAGTTCGGCCAATTTGTCTCGAGCATCTGTTATCTGAATTCTCTTCTTTGATATTATTTTATTTCTAGCATCCATAACTTGTGGTTTAGCTTTGAGAGCTCCTTGCTGAACACCTTGCTTTCCATGTTTATTTTGTCGTTTAGACCTATAGAAAATTTAATTTTTGACAAATAGCAAAATAGCAAAACAAAACATTTTTTGTGGCTGGAGTTACACACCTGATATTTATTTTCTTTTTCTTTATGATTTCCTCTAAGCTCATTTCGATCAAGGACGACATGATTAATGTTCGAGTTTGGGATATGGAAAAGTCTTCTAAAGAAAATAGGTAGGTACGGTACAGTTTATTTTCTGGGGTTGTACAAACTTATTTGGAAATAGACTTTAAATCTGAGCTGCCATATTAAAAAACACAGCAAGCATACCATAGCAAAAAAAATTCAATGAAAAAAGTTGAAATTTGTTGAATTAATGCTACATAAACATTTTATTGAATTATTATTGAATATTAAGGTGACGAGAAAATGTTACATACGTTTACTTTTTTTAAATGATTTGCCGCAAATCATCTGTTTCCTTGTCACTTCCTTAATTAGAGTTTTAGTTTGAAATAATCTATGGTAGTTATTTCAGAAATTATATAGAATAGACAAGGCTTTATGGGCTTAGATCCCCTTGCCTTTCCTAATAAGGTAAAGTTGTAGCAAAAAATAAATCTATGGTAGTGTATAATAAATGAAATGGAGGACTTTTTGGCGGGAACGCGATGAATGAACTTGTGTGATTTGTTTTATTTAGTATATTTAGTATTTCTTCAGGTTTAAATGTGTAGTAACGGTGGTTTATTATCTTTTTAATATATGTGAAAGTGCACAAATCTGGGAAAATGGAACAAAGCCGCTGGAAGTAACTTCTCGGGATCCTCCAAAAAGTCCACTGAAAAAATCTCAGTAAATGACCACCATTTTACTGAGATTATATTTCATCCCATATCATCTCATTTCATTTAATTTCATCTTAGTAGATTAATGTCCTAAATTAATAATTTTCATTTCATTTCACTCCATAGTATCATTTTTCATAAAATTAAGAATATAAATTAAAATAAGACATTACTTAAAAATCTTAGTAACCAGGTCATAAAATTCCTTAAAAAAAAGGAATGGATGCACTTAATAAAGTTATAGAATTCTACCGTATTTTACTATTTTACTATTATAAGGTTATTACACTTGGCTGAATTCAGACGACCGAATTCATTCGCTACTGAATTCAGTCAAGTGTAATAGCATTAAGTAAGTTAGTCTACTGAATTCAGTAGCAAGGATGGTTTCTGACTGACTGAATCATTTAGAAGCCTAATTAGAAACGCATTTAGGAAGGTGTAATCGCATTTACTTACTGAATGGCTACAGTCGGCCCATAGCTCTCCGTGCGTGAGGACGTTTTAGTTTGTTTTTTGCTTCCGAATGAAAAGTATTAATTTCGGTCGCCTTTATTTAATGTGCCAGACATTTATAAATAGCCAGATATGTTTCAGGGACAGTTTTTGTCATCAGGGGTTGGGATAGTGAAGAACTAAATTTTAAATCTTGATACGAATTTCCTGTTGCAAGAAATCTTAATGTTACAACCAATCTTGCTTTTGTACTATTATACTATCGGAGAATGAAATATGTAATAGTTATATAATAGACTATCGTAGGATAGTATCCTGCTTTTGAATAAACGGTGTCACAAGGTTTTTAATATTAGGTCAAACGAGATCGAATCCATTTATAGATAATTTCTGAAGTCTGCTGGTTCTAAATTACTCATAATATTCATATTTGCTAACATTCCGCGCAGCAATAAATATTTCTTCTGATTCTTGTTTTTTTTTTTTTTTGAGAAATTGAAAGAGAACACAAAAACAAACAAAAAAAATGTTGTTGTTTAACAATACTGGGGTCATCCTCTTACGCACACGACACGTCTTACTTCGTCGCGTTTAAACTGATAATTGATTCAGTAACTGAATTTAGAACAGTGTAATCAGAAGCTTCTGAATTCAGACGACTAAATTCAGCCAAATGTCAGCCTTCTAAAGAGGATAGAAAATAGAGTAAGGAGGACAATCTTGTAGGTAGGTAGGTATAATGGATAAGTTGAAAAAGGGGTCTACCTGTAGATAACAAGCTATTGTTGGAAGTTACACCGAAATAGCGCTAGTGTAGGAAATGGAAATGATCTGAATATTTTAAGCAGAGTGAAGAGTGCTGGGCTGAGTAGAATATTTTATATTTTTCGTGACTTATGCAGTATAATGCAAAAATGTGTTTAAAAAATATGCAGTATTTCAAATCTCAACTGTTTGTTTTTATTACTATTTGGAAGTATTTCTTCCCTTTTTAATTTAATATCCTACTCTAATAGCTTACGGCGTTCTTTTTAAAATCTTTCCACTTGCTTCTATGGCATCACCTTAACTGGCTCCCTTTCAGCGGATACTTATGAATACACTGAGGTGGTTCTCCTTACTTCTACCTTCCTAAATGGTCAATAGGATTTTTTTTATTATTATTACGATCTGTTCCATGCAATGTCGTGGCTGCCCATATAGAATTTCATATAAATTATCAAATCTGTAATTTTTATATGACTTATTCTATTTCAATTTATTTGGTATTCCATTTATTTAATATAATTCAAGTATAATTTTACTTTCAAATAAATCAATTAGAACGAGATTAATTTAATGAAATAAAACGACGTCCCAGTAATGGTAGGAATTTACTGAGACTTTGGATTTTTGGTAAAATCACCAGAAGCTGTTAGCAATTCCGTTTATTTTTTATTGTTTAGATGGGTGGACGTGCTCACAGCCCATCTGGTGTGAAATGGTTACTGGAGTCCATAAACATCTACGACGTAAATGCGCCACCCACCTTGAGATATAAGTTCTAAGGTCTCAAGTATTGTTATAGCGGCTGCCCCACTCTTCAAACTGAAACGCATTACTGCTTCACGGCAGAAATAGGCGGGGTGGTGGTACCTACTCGCGCGAACTCACAAGAGGTCCTACCACCACTAAAAACTTCATTATATTTGTGCAATTTCACTGACTGAGCTTTAATTGTCTTTAATCTAAATTTTTCATTCTTTCCCTTTGCACATATCGATGAATAGCCCCGATCAATTTAAGGTCTATGGTTTCTACTTCCTTTTGTCGATGGTGTGCGTGGCGTTACTTTTCTATTAATTTCGCGATAATAATTATTGCGACAGTATACACGAGAATCATAGTAATTAGTGCTTAATCCGGCAAGAATATGGGTGATCGTTCGTATAACATTAATACTGTCTTAAGTTTTGAAGATCCGCAATATAATCAAAATTAATTTATTAAATTACATCGTAGGTGAATATAGTGGCGGTGGATACGCGTCGCAGTATTCGGTGCCTCCACCGGCATCAGCCGATAACAATAGTTATGGCGGTGGGCAAGGTGGCTATAACCAAGGCGGATACTCTGGGCAATCTCAAAATCAAGAATGGAACCAACAAAGTTCAGGTGAGGTTATAATGCTAAATTTCACATTTCCATGTAAAGGACGTATTTGATTTAGGCGTACGACTAATACGAAAATACAAATTTTAGGTGGTAATTCCTATGGAGGAAGTAATCAACAAAGTAGTAACTATGGTCAGAGCTATGGAAGTGGTTATGATAGTGGCGGTGGCTATGAAAGAAGTAATGATGGGTATAATTCGAGTGGAGGAGAGCGTGGCGGGAGCAATTATGGAGGCAGTGATCGTGGTGGTTCTGGCTATGGCGGTGACAGAGGCGGCAGCGGCTATTCTGGAGGTGGAGACCGTGGCGGGTATGGTGGAGGTGATCGTTCAAACAACTTCAGTAGAGATGGGGGAAATAGAGACGGTGGATATGGGTGAGTTTCTTTTCTTTCTTATTTTCTAAGATAATCATTAACGAAATGGTGTATACTTTATTTGAAAATTTTGTAATCTCGGTCAGGGAAATGGAATTTTAGAGCTGAAAAGGAAATTATTAACACTTAAAAAAAAACCAAATAGATGAAGAGCTTACTATCCAAATCTGCAGTTTTTTTTTGTTTTTGATATTCTCTCTAATAATAATTAAGAAGATTTGGATATGTGGATAAAAATGTTTTTAATGTAAACCATTGACCTTCTAACTATACCTTAATTTGCACATCAGCTAACTCCACTGGTCTGTTTTGCCTTCATTGGCCAAAAAAGACCTACCTGGTGGATTGATTACTGTTGTTCATCTATGTCAATATTAGCAGGAGCACTGCCAAGCCATTGCTACTTTGCACTATACTTTCTGTATGAAATTGTCACTGTGTGATTTATAAAATAAATAAAAAAGACTGAACTGCAACTGATTACTTGCATCAACAATGAACAGAAATTAATTAATATGCTGGATTTGTGTATTTGATATTGCAACATTATTATTAACAAAGATGACATCTCAAAGTTGGTTCACAACATCTACATATGTTGTGTTTTTAGATACATAGCATAGGAGAAACTTATCCAACAATTAACCTAACTTATAAAACAACAGTTCCAGTCTGCTGGTTAATGTAACCTGATAACTGTGATTTTGCATAAAAGTTGGATAATTTGAGTGTTTTCTTTATTTATTTTTTATTGCCCTGTAGGCAGATAAGCATACGGCCCACCTGATGGTGAGTGGTTACCGTCGCCCATGGACTTCAGCAATGCCAGGGGCAGAGCCAAGCCGCTGCCTACCGCTTAATACTCTCCACAAGCCTTGTTTGAAGAAGGACATGTCATAGCGCTCGGGAAACACCGTGGAGGGGAGCTCATTCCATAGCCGGATGATACGTGGCAAAAAAGACTTCTGGAAACGCACTGTGGATGACCGCAGTGGCTCCAGGTAGTATGGATGAAGTCTACTCCGGTGGCGGGCGGTGCGATGTTAAAAACGAGATGCCGGTGTCATCTCGAACAATTCCTCAGAGCACTCCCATGGAACATACGGTACAAAATACAGAGGGAACCGAAGTCCCTCTGCAGATCCAGAAGTTCCAAACGATCCGTGAGAATGGGATTATCGACAATCCGAACTTAATATTGTATGGGGGGGGGGGGGCAATATCTGGGATATGTCATCATCTTTCAGGGGCCTAAGACAAGCCTGACCACCCAGGATGTTTGAAATCTTAGCTCCCTATGGCTGAAATATGTTAAAATTTATCATAGATGATGCAGTATTTTGAACAACTAACAATGTCACCAAACACTCATTACCAATTTGAACATAGCCAAAGGCTCCACCTGCATGACCGCTAAGGAGGTTACAAACTAAGTTTAGATTAACACATCCATTTTGCTCTGATGGAACTGATTAAGATGCAATGTTTAATCAAAAATATGTTATTTTTGCCAATTGCTGAAGAAGCTTCTTATTTAAACCATGTTTTTTTATTGCTTAGATGGGTGAACGAGCTCACANATTACCAATTTGAACATAGCCAAAGGCTCCACCTGCATGACCGCTAAGGAGGTTACAAACTAAGTTTAGATTAACACATCCATTTTGCTCTGATGGAACTGATTAAGATGCAATGTTTAATCAAAAATATGTTATTTTTGCCAATTGCTGAAGAAGCTTCTTATTTAAACCATGTTTTTTTATTGCTTAGATGGGTGAACGAGCTCACAGCCCATCTGGTGTTAAGTGGTTACTGGAGCCCATACACATCCACAACGTAAATGCGCCACCCACCTTGAGATATAAGTTCTAAGGTCTCAAGTATTGTTATAGCGGCTGCCCCACTCTTCAAACTGAAACGCATTACTGCTTCACGGCAGAAATAGGCAGGGTGGTGGTACCCACCCGCGCGGACTTACAAGAGGTCCTACCACCAGTAATTACACAAATTATAATTTTGCGAGTTTGGTTTTTATTAGTTTGATGTTATTTCTTCATGGTGGAAGTCAATCGTGAACATTTGTCGAGTACGTATTTCATTACAAAAATTGCACTGGACGTCTTATCCGTTAGGCCACGACGACTTGTATGAAGAATGAAATACCATAGCACTTAGATAACCATGCAGAAAAAAAGTTGTGTTAACATTGCAAAAACTACAATAAAAATACAAAGAATTACCTATCCACTGGTCAGGAAACACCACTACTTTGATATGAACAGAAAACAACGATAAATTTTTTATTACAGTCCTCTCGATCCATTAACAGTGCCTTTAGGTACCTCAAGCACCGGTCACCGTCCTCGCCCAATCCGTCGCTTGTGACGAAGAGCTCGACGAGTAAATTAACCCATAGACACAGCCCACTGAGTTTCTCGCTGTATCTTCTCAGTGGGTCGTGTTTCCGATCCAGTGGTAGGTTCTGCGAAGCACTGCCCTTGCTAAGGCCAGTATTAGCAGCACTCTGGTTTGAGCCCCGTGAGCTCACCTAAACGTCAAGGAGAAGCTGAAATAGCCTCTCAAGGCTATCAGCGTAGGGAAGGGAAAAAAAGATAAATTACTTAAGCCTATACTTTCCTTCTTAGTAACAGCCGGCACCTGCCTTCACTTACCATGTGTTTAAAAGGCTATTGATTCTCTGTGTTAGCAGATTTTTACTATGTTATTCATAAAGTTCATAATGTAGTTTTTTTAAATCACAGCTTTATGGTATTGGGTCAGCAAACAAAAGTACTACAACCTGTCTTCATCTGAAGTTTTTGAGTATTCTCCTGTAATTAATCAAAAAGTTTGCCAATTAGCTGGTTTGCCAATTAAGGTATTAATGTTGCATAAATTAAGAATGATTAAATTTATTTCTAAAATGGAAAAATTTCAAGTGCCTATTTTTATAGGCGAAAAATTATTGGAGTTATTTTGATAAGAATTCTTGTGCTTGTGATGGAAAATTAATGTACTCAGAAGTTAGACCATATAACATACACCTTTTATTAAAAATATACTGAGAAATTGATGTTATAAGTATGGTTTCTGAGAAGCACACATTAAACACCAAGTTTATAAAAATCAAATTTACGTTCAAGTAACTAGTATTTTTACTGTTTATGCATTTAAATGAGAATGCCCAATCCAATGACTACAAGATTTCAGATGCCTTTATAGAAATATAACAGTAAAGTAACATATGGGATTGTTACTAGTAAACATACTAAACCAAACAGAATATCGTCTTACAATTCAGTCATACTTCTTAGCAGTCCAACTTCTGAAATGAAAACTGGAAAAATAGCTGAGCAAAAATATATCTTTTAAATATTGTCTCAATGAACTTGGTGAATAATGTTTTATTTCATAATTTGAGTGTTTAAAAATGAAGTAATTAGAACATGTATCTGTATATTGTATCCATAATACTGGTCTGCATGTCTCAAGAAATTGCTGCAATAATTTTGTCTTCAAGCATTGTTCTAAGATTTTCAAGGTATCAAGGTTAAAACATTATGGTAAAGAAAAGGACGCAACTCTTGGACTGAGGTCACTTATAAGTGAACCTAGGTGTGAAACAATCTACGTGCGACATACAGTGTGTCCCTTGCCTGCCTGTGTACTAAATGCTGTCCTTATTGTTTTAGTGGCGGAGGCAGGGGGGGTGGTTTTAACAAAGGTAAAGCACCTCGCATTATGCGAGCGATGCTGTTGTCATATTATTAATTTGTATTTATCTAAGGGGCTGCCAAACATGGTATTCTACTGGTTAACTGGCTCTATAATATAAGTAGGTTTTATCTTATTATATGGTTCAATAAAGAAAAGTTGATCAGGTGTGAAAAACGTCAGCATGGAAATGTGTATTACGAATTACTAAATAGATTGTAAGGTAAATAATATTTTAGGTAAAATGTGCTATGTGTGTTTCACAATAATATCAAGAGTTTATTGAGGATTGTGCTTATATAAGGGAACTTACAGTATATGACAACCTCAAATATGAATATGTAGTGACATATGCTAGCAAGTAATAAAATGAATGATAACTACACAAAACATTTATTTTATCTCTAAGGAGACACCACTATTTATTGTAAGAGGCATAATCTTCAACAGAGTTATAATATTGTGACTGATGATAATTAGGTAGTATGGTTATTTGATTAAAGTGTATTTGACCAGTAATAATGCATATTGTTTTGGCAGCCCTAAAGTTATGGTATAAAGTCATGCAAAGGTTTTGTCATCGACAAAGAAAAATCATATTTTTTAATATTTGTCTATGTTAAGAAGGTATTTAGGACACGTAATTCTAGTGTGTCCAAAGGTAATATTACAAGCGCGAATCCAAATATCATCTATTTTAAGAGGTGAATTGTACATTTTAGAATGACAAGCTAAATAACTTATTCAATTAGATACTTTTAGACTTCATTATTTAAAATTAAATAAATTATGTTGTTTATTTATACAGCAACTAGAATTGTTTATTTACAAGCTATTTATTCCCCCATAATTGAATAAAATTTTCCTTCAGGAGGCGGCGGAAGCGGTGGATATGCCGACCGTGGTGGCGGTGGTGGTGGTGGTGGTGATATGGTAACTCAAGAAGATACTGTCTTCGTTCAGGGAATGAATCCATCTACTACTGAAGAGGAGCTGTGCCAACATTTTGGAGCTATTGGTATAATCAAGGTAATTGAATGGTAAAATATAAATTTGGAAAAATGTTTCATTTTCCTTCTTTTTTGGATGTATGTAAACTNATATGCCGACCGTGGTGGCGGTGGTGGTGGTGGTGGTGATATGGTAACTCAAGAAGATACTGTCTTCGTTCAGGGAATGAATCCATCTACTACTGAAGAGGAGCTGTGCCAACATTTTGGAGCTATTGGTATAATCAAGGTAATTGAATGGTAAAATATAAATTTGGAAAAATGTTTCATTTTCCTTCTTTTTTGGATGTATGTAAACTGTGCTAAATCAAGCATAACATAATTTTGCCGCAAAACGCCCCAATATTGAAAAGAGAAATAATATTTAGAATTTCATATGTACTGAGTTTTTTTCAATTTTAATGAACTGGTATTAGCAACCTGCCATTAGTAGATGATACATTAAATATATGTTATACATAGTACATCTTCCTTATCTCTCTTACCGCTTTCTTTTCCTGCAAACCAAATGTTATGGCTTGTTTAGTAGTAATACAATTAGCCTTGGCTCGATTCCTCAAAATAGGAATTTGGGAGTTATGGAAAAATATATAATTATTCTGCTACTGTGGATAACGTAGAAACGCCGATTTTTTTCCCTTGCCTAATCGTTGATAGCCTAAGCCGCTATTCCAACTTTGCGCGGACCAGTAGATGAGCTCACGGATTGAACCTAAGAAATTTTGCTTAAACCAGCTCTAGCAAAAGCAGTGCTTCGCCGGATCGACATCGCGACCCACCGAGAAGATCATGGTACCAGGACGACCGAGTAAGGACGCGGCTCGGTCGTGTACTTAAACGTTGAATTGGTGGCTGTAACTTAAGAAAAACTGTTTCGAATATCTGAACTATGAAATGATATCTTCGACTATGTATTGACTACACGCAGCTTAAAATTTAGCCTCAGAAACTAATAATTAATTAATATTTGTCAATTTTCGCTACTCTTAATGTCTCTAGGAAACCTAAGAGCGACTTTATAGTTTTAGACCAAAATTAATTAAGTAAAATCAATTTTAATTTTAGACTGATAAAAAAACACAACGGCCGAAAGTATGGATGTACAAAGACAAATCTACTGGCCAACCTAAAGGAGAAGCGACTGTAACTTACGAAGATTCCAATGCAGCTTCTTCTGCAATTCAATGGTTCGACGGCAAAGACTTTAATGGAGCAACTATTAAAGTTTCACTTGCCCAACGACAAAATACTTGGGGAGGTGGCAAAGGAGGCGGTGGTGGCTTCAGAGGAGGACGAGGTGGAGGCGGCGGGGGAGGAGGTCGCGGTGGTGGTGGAGGCAGAGGGGGTGGATCTCAAGGTTCTAACAACCGTGATGGAGACTGGAGATGTCCAAACCCCAATTGTGGAAACACCAACTTTTCTTGGAGGAAGAATTGTAATAGATGTAATGAAGAGAAACCCGGCGGCGGTGGCGGTGGAGGTGCTCCAGGCGGAGGGCGAGGCGGCGGTCCTCCAAGCCGTGGAGGCCGTGGCGGCGGTGGCGGGAGAGGTGGAGGAGGAGGAGGAGGTGGCTGGGGTGGCCGCGGGAGTGATCGAGGAGGTGGTGGACGCGGCGGTAGCAGAGACGGTGATCGTCGCAGTTATGGAAGCAGTGGCGGTGGTGGAGGAAGGGACGGTGACCGCGGTAATGGTGGGGGCGCTATGAGAGGAGACGGCGGGTAAGTTTTACAGTATCATCATCATCTAATTTTTATGCGTTTTTCAATCACCAACCCCTAGTTTTTTATGATTTTTAAATAAAAATATGCTCAAATTAAGGTTTAGGTTTTAAATAGGAAGAAGTTGCTAAGACTATCAAAATAGAAGAGATAAGAATTTATTGAGAAATACCCACCTAAATAGTACATTGTGTGCTAAACAAAACTTATTTACTAGACACTACATAAACAGTCTGAAATTTAAATAAAGACATTAATAATTAAAATTTGGCAACTGGACATACTATGTCCACACACTAATTATCAAGTGAGATATATATAGATAGATTGCCTTAGAAACAAAAAAATGTGAATGACATCATAAAATAAACATATACAAATTGATAAATGATTTCAAATATATTGTTTCAGCAGCAGAGACCGACAACGACCTTACTAAATATAATTTTAAGACTTAATCATAATGTTAATACTTCCTTCTGACTGAGATCTAAGTTTGTAAAAACATTCAATCTAAACTTTCCATCATATTACAGTGTATATAAGATATCTTGAACACTTTAGATGCATTTCAGACATGTATGCTTCTTACTGAATTAGAATTTACTTGAATTAAAAATGTAATCTTTCATTAATAACTAGAAATACTAACAATTGATGCTTTTCACCCATTTTTCAAATTAACTATTGTACAATAGATTTTTTTTTAGTTTTTAGTGTGCTAAATATAAAATCTATATATTTATAGAGATCGAGATTTATTTCTAATGTTGTCAATAACATGTCTCGCTTATCAAAGCAAAGCGAATCAAAGTGATAGCCTCGTTATGATTGGTTAAAATATTGTACACGTGTGTAGAGAATTAAAATTAAAAAAATTAGAATGGAGATTTCTTAATATTCATTTATTAATAGGTGTAAAAACAAAATTATAAAATTTTTAGGTTTTTTGTTTTTTTTTTTTATTAATTGCAGAAACAGTAGTTTTATGTGTAAGTGAAATGTACTTTTAGTAGTATTCCTGCTGCAAGTTAATGTTTTTTCAGTTACATATTATTTTGGTCAGATATCTAGGATTTTTAATAAATAAACTTATTATATATATAGTACATGGACTCATTAACAACCCTGTCTCGGTCTCTATTTTAATAGAATTATAAACGTGTTGTATTTCTAATAACTGAAATGTAAATAGGATTAAGTTATGCATTTTACTACAACCCTTGGTATAGAAAAACCTCTCAATAAAAACATTTTGTAACTATCTCAAGTTTTTTATTAAATGCAGAAAGGCACTTTATGTGAGTATGGAGAATGACAATGAATATAACAAGTGTATTAGGTGTTATAAATAAAATGCAATTAAAAGTTAAGAAATTTATTTAAAAAAATATACTTAATATTAAAAATGATGTGTCGCCGTCGTTATTATCATTTTCTAATAGTGCTACCCCTTGGATTAAATTTATGGTAGCATCTGAGCTGGTGGAAGGAGTTGGCTCCTCATCGTTGACATAACGAAGAGTCGCTGTCGTCACTGGCGTAAATAATAAAACGCTCAGTGACTGAATCGACTATATGGTCATTGGTATAATTTGGTCCTGGCATTGCAAACAAGTTTAAAAGAATAACACTCGTAACAAAAACTAAATTTAAAACAATATATTTTTTTTATTGCCTAGATGTGTGGACGAGCTCACAGCCCACCTGGTGTTGAGTGGTTACTGGAACCCATAGACATCTACAACGTAAATGCGCCACACACCTTGAGATAGTTCTAAGGTCTCAGTATAGTTACAACGGCTGCCCCATCCTTCAACCGAAACGCATTACTGCTTCACGGCAGAAATAGGCGGGGCGGTGGTACCTACCCGTGCGGACTCACAAGAGGTCCTACCACCAGTAATTACGCAAATTATAATTTTGCGGGTTTGATTTTTATTACACGATGTTATTCCTTCACCGTGGAAGTCAATCGTGAACAATTATGAAGTACGTATTTCATTAGAAAAATTGNGTGTTAAGTGGTTACTGGAACCCATAGACATCTACAACGTAAATGCGCCACACACCTTGAGATAGAAGTTCTAAGGTCTCAGTATAGTTACAACGGCTGCCCCATCCTTCAAACCGAAACGCATTACTGCTTCACGGCAGAAATAGGCGGGGCGGTGGTACCTACCCGTGCGGACTCACAAGAGGTCCTACCACCAGTAATTACGCAAACTATAATTTTGCGGGTTTGATTTTTATTACACGATGTTATTCCTTCACCGTGGAAGTCAATCGTGAACAATTATGAAGTACGTATTTCATTAGAAAAATTGGTACCCGCCTGCGGGATTCGAACACCGTTGCATCGCTACGAATGCACCGGACGTCTTATCCCTTAGGCTACGACGACTTCAACAATTCAAAAATAATAACAACTCGTAACAAAAACTCAATATAAACAAAGGGTTCGTACAATTTAGTAGGCGCATGTGTAATCAGGAGCGAACGGAACGTGGACCCGGTGCGGGAGGGGAGGGTCGACTGACTCACCAATCGCGCGCTTGGAACGGTGCTACGTCTTTCCCCGCGTCCCGCTTGACAACCAAAGAGACCTAAAAAACGACTTCTGCGCATCTGACGATTCTTGCCAAGTTACGTGCCGGGTACTATATCTCTTGTAACTTATTATTTCCGATTGCGTTTTGACAACGCCTGCGATGTTGATAATCCAATTTGTCATATTCTGATCACAAAGTTCTGAGATTAAGTGTTCACATGTGGACAAAGCGATGGAGAATTGTTAAATCTAAATCGGAAGGCCTCATCATTAGGTGATAAGAAGACTGCATTGATATTCATAGTTATTTCCTGACATTGGCGAAGTTTATACGAATGAAATATAGGAAGAAAACTTTAATAATACTTTTAATTTAATACTTTTCTTTACATGCCATAATTTATTGATAAGTTTTTAGTCAATTGAAAGGTTGAGCAAGAGCGAACCGGTGACAGTGAAAATGCAGACAGTTCGCCGGTCTAGCTGGCTATTTAATGACTTAATGTCTGACTACCCTCGGACAGGGCCTGCGCCCATTGCGTCTCATTTCTGAATCTAAATCCGGGACGACAAAATTTATCGCCGATCGATAGGATATTTTCCCAAGGTGAAGCTAACGCGTTTGAGGTCTAAGCGGAGGATGGTGACGGAATCAGTGTCACTAAAAAAACAGCGTTTTTTTCGATTTGTGGAAAGAAATCCCTACGCCGAGACGCGCGCTTGGTATGTGGGACTACCGAAGCCACGCACTAAACGATACCCTTGAACTTTCGCCCGAATGTATAAACCCTGCCCAAGATTACACGGGACAACCGCGATTAATTCTGCAATCAGACACCATGCCATCCTGAGGAGGCCTAATAGACAGTATTCGGCGAAAACGAATTTTGCAGAGTTATATACGGCCGCACTTATCTTTAACCCGTTACGCTCAATGAAGTTGCCAGCAGTTCATCAAAAACAGAGTTCGGGATAGGATGTCCACCTGTGACGCGGGACGGTTGTGAACACCTGAAACCATTGCTTTTACCTAGTGTATTATCAAGGTATCATTTTTTCGTAAGCATGTACCATCTGGTCCTGGAATGAACTAGTCTTCAAGATATTTCCCTAGCGCTATGAAAAATCTCTTCAAACAAGGTTTATAAAAAGCCCTCAATGGAAAACAGCAGTTTGACTGTGTCCCAGTATTGTAGTCGTTCATNTGACGGTTGTGAACACCTGAAACCATTGCTTTTACCTAGTGTATTATCAAGGTATCATTTTTTCGTAAGCATGTACCATCTGGTCCTGGAATGAACTAGTCTTCAAGATATTTCCCTAGCGCTATGAAAAATCTCTTCAAACAAGGTTTATAAAAAGCCCTCAATGGAAAACAGCAGTTTGACTGTGTCCCAGTATTGTAGTCGTTCATAAGCAATGAGAATTACCATATACTATCAGATCGAATTTGTGTCCTAAAGACGTCCGGTGTACTCGTATTGAACAATGCAACTATGCAAATGTTCACATACTACACAGACTGGTTCCAATATTTTTTTTAAATACAGAGAACATTGCTGCCCATTTTCCAGAGAATGCCTTATGATATTTTACGTCAACCACCAGAAGAGATTTAGTTATGCCTTTCCATGGCTCCCAGCCCACGTCTTTACGGATCCATCAGATACAATAACCGTTGCATTAGACACCCTTAACACTAGGAGCAGGCTCAGGGACTCCGGTAATCGTACTCGTCGATCTCGGCAAAGAGTTCGTCGTGCAGCCTAACCTATCAGCCCGCTGAGTTTCTCGTCGCACCTTTTCAGCGGGTCACGATTCCGATTCGGTAGTAGATGCATTCGCGAAGCAGTTGTGCTTGAGTTGTTAGGTTTCTTTCAGAAGCGCCCGGGCAGCTGTTAGCAAATCCCATCCCTCCTGGGTGAGCTCTTGCTCGCCCACCTATCCTGGCGAAAGAAAGGCCTCCGGGCCACCAGTAATCCCCCAAACATTAAAAATGCCCCAGCCGATATATACACGGAATTGAGTAATAAAATCGCAAAATGTACAGCTCCTTAGATTTATTTGCTAATATCTTGACTAAAATTTGATTTAATATATTGTTTTATACCGAATAACAATGATTAATTTTTTCTAATAATAATTATTATATTACATTGTGTATTAATTGTATGTATATTTACGAATATAATATGTATGTACCTATGTTTGTATGTGTATATATATATGTGTGTGTTGTGTATATATAATATATATTTCACTGGATTGGTACACCGCGCGTTATTCGTTTCCAAATGATTCTTGTCCACCTGATGGTTGTCTGGAAGAGATCGCTCTTAGCGATAAGACCGCCAATTGTACTTTTTTGTATTTAATGTATCGCACTGTTTATTTGTTTTTTGGTGTACAATAAAGAATACTCTCTCTCTCTCTCTCTCTCTCTCTAAAATAATAGTTTTCGATTGAATGGCGTGGTCGAGATGATAGCACACCGTATTAAGATCACACGTCTTTGTCACTTCTATTGTCTTATCTAGATTGTTGTGTTTTACTCAAAGGCGCCTCTAGCCCATGTAGTGCCCGTGTGCAATCATTACCCTATCGCCCTCTTAGTAATCGTGTGGTCAGAACGGAATAAGTACAAATGTAACAAGGACATTAAGAGCGGAAGCCGGCGCCCCCTAGCACCTCTGCAACGTGTGCAACGTGCACCCTGCACCATAGATAAAGCCGCCTGTAGCTTTATTTAATCACGATATTATTACTATATGGTGCCGTGAGAATAACCGATGAAAAGAGTTGAATTAAACATCTCTAACCGTAATTTATTACATTAAGGTTCTATAAAGATGTTGCCGATTTAAATTATTTACATAATATGTATATCAATTTTGATGCATCGCTAGATACAAATGCACAGGACGTCTTGTCCTTTAAATCACGACGACTTAATTGTAATGTACGTGTTCGTTTGTTCTAGGGCCTTTACGACATTTTTTTGTGAAGTTTAATAAATTTTATCTTCTATACAAAAAAGGAAAGTTATCAATGAAGACAAATTTAATTTAACTTATGTTTTTATTCTCAACAAAAAACTGCAAACAAATTCTTTGGTAAGTATCTACATATCAAAGATAATGCATTTCAATATTACTCCATTTATATACATTAAATAATTTTTAAGGTCAACAGTGGCAGTAAACTAAATCTATCGTTTCTGGAAGCTAAATATCTTGATAAGAACGAAGCCCACAACAGTTGCAGCTGCAACTCCAATACCAGCTTTCCACCAAGATGAGTTCTCTCCAGAAAGACTTGCGAAATGCTTCAAATGTCTAAAAATAATAATACAAATTAAAGATTTATTTGCCGCGATCGGGGGTGATGCAATGATAAAATCAGATGTAATGTAATGAAATAATCTAAACATCTGAAATAGTTTCTCAGACATGGACTTGTATGAAGCAAATTTTCAATCGGTAATGCTTTGTAGGAATAATGTGCTCGGTTAGTTACGATGGAGAGAGTACTTAACGGTAGACAGCGACTTGGCTCTACCCCAGGCATTGCTAAGGTCCATGGGCGACGGCAACCACTTAATACCCGGTGAGCGGTCGCACGTCCATCATCTAGAAAATTAAAAAATAAATCCCTAAATATAAATTAGTATAAAGTAACCGTACTGACCTGCGTTTGCTGAATAAAATCCAAGCAGCTTGAAAGTGACTGACGAATACAATATTAAAATAACAGTTAACAATAACTACATGGTTACATACATACAAACGTATATTTCAATAATTTTCCGGGTATAACTTTATTATATTACAATTAAAAATTTTTAAAGCGACTTCCTTTTTCAAATTTTAATTTTTAAACAGTTGTGCTTCGGTTTAAGTTTTGGGATAATAGTTTTAAACGGCACCATTCGGATTGCAATATACATGGTCTCCGACAACCACTTAAAACCGGGTCGGCATGCTAATTCACGATAATCTTTATTGAGTTGTTTGTTCTCAAGTCTGGAAATCTTTTCGGTGCCTGTAGTAGTTACTAAAAAAACACAGACATTCAATTTGAGAAATGAAACAAAGACTACTTACGGAAATGCGGCCATTGTTGCTAATTTAACGAAGACATCGTTTTTATTTTCTTTGATGAAAAAAAAATGAGGCGATAGCAGCTGGTACTTATTGCAAAACATTTCAGGTTGTAGTATATATTCCTGTCTGGCGATTAGTGCGTCTCCTCTTGTACCAACAATAAGGACAGGAATATGACTTTCCGCGAAATATTTCTGGATCGAAAAACATCGTTTTATTTCAACTTAGAAATAAATATGTTACAGATTAGAATCGTTTAAAAATTGAATAATAAGGCGAAGGAGAACACAGGCTGGTTATAAGCTCTATGGTTGTTTTAATGTATTTTTTTATGATTGATGGATTACTGGTGGCCCGGCCAGGAGGGGTGGGATTTGCTAACAGCTGCACCAGCGCCTCCAAAAGAGACCTAACAAGTCAAGAGCAGCTGGTTCGCGAATGAATCTACTACCGGATCGGAATCGTATAAGTGAGAGCTCTAAGAATCCGATGACCTATTCTATTTTCAAATATTGGTATTAGTAAATATATATATTGTTGGTACATACCTATATCTGTACTCTATACTAATATATAAATCTAAAGTGGTTTTTACGGATGTTCCGTTATAACTACTGAACCATGCATCCGATTGACTTAAAACTTGGTGTCCATGTATAAAATACATGTACTTAATGGATAGGCTAATATTTATATGAGTGTTGGACTCCCTACACCAGTTGCGAGGGCGTTAATGATGAGAATCTTTGTAGAGGTGAGAAATAATAATGTTAATTTTAAAAGCCCGGCGAAGCGGCCGGGTACAGCTATTATTTTCATATAACGGGAATGCATCTAGTAATGCCTTTGTACGTGCATAAGATCATGATTGTGATATGTGACAAGGTACTTTGTAGATATTCCAGAGATGGGAGTTTTTTTTTTAAATAAATGAAGCGTTAATGATCAATATTTTATATTCTATATGAAATAATAAAAAATTAGAATTGGCATGCAATCGAAAAAATGTAATATTTATCAAATAGTTAAAATTTCCTTGAAGAACTTAAAGTTTAAATTAGAAAACGGAATAACATAATAATATGCCATAAAGTGAAAAACGGTTACAACATATTATGTGTATATGTTATTATAAATGTATTTAGCCGTTGATTGTTTTTTAAAATTCCCTGGGAAATGTTAAACAGTGAAATTGATGTTCTAATGTGAATGCAAAAAAAAGTGTACAACTTACAATATAAATCCTAGCAATGTATTCGAACGAACGACTGGCTCCAACGTCGTACACGAGGCACGCCACGTCGCAGTTCACTTCATGCGGCTGTAAAGGATCCGACACTCGAGTTATGGGTATTTCCTTCAATACCAGATATTTCTCTTGTCCGTAAACTAATACTGTGTTAATGCAACAATTATCTGTATTGTTGCCATCTCCCCGTTCATTTGCGTGTGCTTTTATTTTCTGTAAATTATATAATCAATTTATTACACACATTTACAATGATATAATTCTACAAAAAAAAAAACGGTGACTGTGCGCGTGCAACTTGGTGCACGTGAATAAAGTGAAACTTCTTTTTCGATGTTATTGTGGTTTTCTTTATTTTTCATCCTTAAATCAAATTACTCTTGCAATAGGGAATTGTGTATAAGAGTCGCGACATCTTCACATTCATATTATATCTTTTAAAATTATAGATAGAAAAAACAGGTATACTACGCGCACGCATTCACTCTCGCTCAATCTCTTTCTAACATGGTAGCGTTAAAAATTTAACGCAACCTTGTTGGAAGTCGCATTAGAAGTTTCACTTCAATAATTCTACAAAAATAGATCACGAAATACTGAATGTATTGACTAAAATCTACCTTATGTCCTATTCCGAGAAAGCTTCTACAAATCGACGTCTTCCCACATGACCGGGGACCTATAACGTGACACTGATAGACATTACGACTAGACTGTTTCTTCGCTATGTCGATTTTCTTCTCGCGTGTTACTGGAAAAAAACTTAAGCTTTAGAAAGTTTTTTTTATTATTCATTTTATTTTATCACTGTTTAATTTTTTTATTATTATCATCGTTTATTTATTATGTTTTTCAAAAACCATTATACCGTTTTGTCGGGTCGTCGCGTCCCCTTACAGAGGTGCGGGACGGGCCTCGGGGATCCCCCTCTGCTTGGGCTTTTTAATCTCCCTGCCTATCGGGGCAGGGGTGATGCACTGCGGGTTTGAGATGTGCAGGTTTGGATTTGTTGGGTGGGATGTTGCTGCATTTACTTCTTCTCTTCTCTTCTTCGGGGGGCTGGTTCTCTCCTCCCTTTTTTTTTCTTTCTTTTTTCCTTTTTACAATTTTTCTTATATTAACCTAACTTATCCTAACTTACTAACTTAATTCCGCTCCTGCACTCCTTGGAATACCGGGGCAGCGCGCACCGTCACAAACCATTACACAGATTTGAATATGTTTTTATTGTTTTATATGGGCAGACGCTCAGCTGGGATTAAGAGGTTGCCGGAGCACAGGGTGCGATACAACATGTATGTATGTGCAATACGACATTGAGAAAAGAAACTTACTATGTATTGCTAATTTTTGTGACTCGTTCTCAAGAAAATTAAATCCAAGATACGCTAAATATGCACTAGTGTTCTGTAAGTCCAGTAACGTCATGAGTGTCCATCGGCACATCCAACCTTGAAGTGTTAAGTAGCCCTGAAATTTATTAACATATATATTCTTCTTGTCACTAACAAATGGCCAGAGTCGCGCTTGTTCATAATAAATATTGTATGTTTTTGCAGCAAATTCGTAATTCGCGAGTTCCAGTTTGAAGGGAGGATCAACACACTGAAAGTTTATGGTCGGATTTTGTCAGTGGGTCGCGATTTCGATCCGGTAGTAATCCGCGAAGCAACGCTCTTTCTAGGGCTAGTGTTAGCAAATTCTCTCAGGTTGAGCCCGTCAGCTCGCCTACCCATCCGCGCGTAGCTGGAAGTCCCTTAGGCTACCAATAAATAGGTAGGAAGTCATTTCAAATTAAACTTCTAAGCTGTGCAGATTTCAATGTTTGCATTATTGTGTTTAGAATGACCGTTCAATAGGCCGCGTTAGTTATGAAAGCAATTTCAAAAATCAAATGCTGCCTTAAAATTTTACAATTCGTACACAAAATTATCGAAACATACGACAGTCGTTTGTTATTTAAATAATTATACATGAAATTATATTTTATGTAGTAAAGTATGAATTTCCGTTGAATATCTCGTAGGTACGAATAATCAAATACTACTAATCGTTTATTTAAGGTAAGAACAAGAATATTGAAGACCTAGTAACTGGGTGAGTTTCATTACCCTGTCTTTATCTGCCGTGAAGCAGTAACAGGTCCGAGTATGAAGGGTAAAAGAGCCGTTAAATCCAATACATTTGAGAATTCGAACTCACGTCTCAAGGTGAGGGGCGACATTTACGTCATAATTTTATTTATGAGCCATGAGCTAGTTCATCCAAGTAATAAAAATAAAGATAAACATAGTAAATTTAACTAATTACCTTTTCATTCGTCGGTACAGTGTACCTCAAATTGTGCCAGGGTATTCTCGGACAACATGAAAATACATTTTTTAATTCTGTCGGATTTAGCATGCCGTCTTTATCTTTGTCGTACTTTTCAAATAATTGCGTCAAAAACTGTTGTCCTTTGTACGATAATTCGGTGGTACATCCGACAGGTACTTTTATACTGTAATATTTGTGTAGTTCATTTTAATTTGTAATTATCAACATGTCGTACGAAATCTCTAAGGTTGAACATAGTAATCTAATTTAATTCCATTGTAACCATAGTTCGCGTAATGAAGAAGATTCCTATTATTGATATTATTAAGATTCCTCGGTATTACTCATTGTTTGCTCGCCTATTTGGCAAGTAGAAGAAGTACAGCGTCAACGATGATGGCACTATTCGGGGTCACCCGCCACGACTAGACTCGCTTCGGAATTTTGTCGGTTTTTTTGGACTAATCAAAGGCGCTCACACGCAAACGGTATATTGCGCAGAAAGCCATAAAATGCGTTTAATTGACAAATGACATTGTCTTCCGAAATTTATTTCTTTATTAAACTTTACGCACAAGGATCTAGTGGCGGACTTAATGTCGAAGACATTGTCTACTAGACAACCAAAGGTGGAGTCGTATTGTGGACTAACTGTGATATTGACCAATGAATACAGTATGAAACTCCATTTAAAAAACATAAGACCTAAGAACAACATGTCAGGTCTTTAATAATAAGAAAAAATGGCTTATATAAGTCGTCTATTATCAAAGGTGGCAATCTGTGCATTTGGACAAAAAAATGTTATTGATATGTCAATACAGATTGATTTGAATATAATCGTCTCCTTCAAAGAATACGGTTCAAAACCTGCATTAAATAAAGGTTAATACTTAACCTGTTATTTATCTAAGATGTCATTCAGAAGGGTTTTGTGACTGCCAATGGAATACAAAGTCAATAATTCGTTTTTCTGATTTACCAATAATTGTCCAAAAGTCACATTGCCGGCTTTGATAATAGTCGACTCATATAAAGAAAATATTTCACATGGAAGGCCAATTCAGAGATGTCAGAGTTTAAAATATTAAGGACAATAATTTATAAGCTAGGGTGTATCTTATAAACCATTTAGAAATCTGTTCCTTGACGATAATAAGTAACCATTAAGAACTAATTTCATTGTAAAGTTTGTGTTCATCTTCATTTATTATCAGAATCTAGAGACTAAGAGAGATCAAGAGGAACCAGATTAAATTGTATGTTGGTCAGTTTGCGAGCTACATAATAATGTAGTAATAATGTAGTTAGCATATCTCAATAACTCAATTCCAGATTATATTCACCCATTTGAAATTTGTTGCCATTTTACCGATACATTAATGACAAAAATAACCGATAAAAGTAAAAACAAGAGAATATCTAAAAAACATAAAATACAGTAATTTTACTGCATCATATTATGTCACTTTAACATAATTACATAAAATTGCATATAAATTTGTAATTTAAAGATTAAGCAGAATGCGCAATTTTTTACTTCCTAATTATTTAATAATAATGAAAACATGTTTTTGAATTGAGGCATGAATATGTTTTATTATAATTTTTCATTTCATGTTGATCTCAATTAATAAAGTGTATTTTAGTGTATTTGATTTTAATAATGTATGTCACATTACAATGGAATTCAGCTGGGTAATTACTGAATAGTATTTAAAAAGGTTAGATTGTTTTACCTTGCATACAAATAGCTGGGTGTCAATTCTAGACTTTCATCATAACCAAATTTCCTTAAAACTGTCCAAGTTGTCTCATTTCTTCCCCTTTGTATGAATAAACAATGTAAAAAAATAAAGCCCTTTATTGTTATACAATCATTTTCAATTCCACCAGCGACATTTTGAGCAATCACTGACTTTACTTCATCTAAAACCTAAAATAAGAAATAATTTTTTCACTAAAATACATACTATCGACAATAAATATGCAAAAATAGTTGAATTTATCATTTATAAAAATAATCTTATTTTCATAGTACTTAAGTGTAAAAACGTAATTACCTGTAATTGCAAAGGCGAATCGAAACACTTTTTTTGAAATATTGTCACTTCATAATCATCAAGTAAGCCATCACCATCCAAATCACATATTTTAAATATCCTAGATAATGCTTTTTTGCACTTTTCCGTTAACTGTAAAGCAAAATATGAATTATAATTGAATTAAGTATAGTAAAATTTGTTTCTTTTTTACCTACTTAAAAAAATCTTTGCTTTTTTGTTTAGCGTTCAATATTTTGGCACTGATCACGGCACTAGTACTTTTGTAACCAGAGACCGTAAATACAATTTTACTACTATTATATTATATATTACTGCTTTGAATTTAGTACATAACTCAATAATAATTGATGCTGCTAACAATATTAATTGTCTAATTGCCCATTAGTTCTCTGTTATAGTATTACATTCATCATAACTTACTTCTTGTTCTTCTATGGAATAAATAGGATTGATGGGATGCAGAACTGCCTTTTGTGCATTGTAAAACATTTCAGATACATTTATTAGAGATTTCGCAGAACATTCTATACATCTGTCCACCTCTGGATATTCTTCTGCTATATCCCATATATTCTGAAATTATTTTAATAACACAATTATTATTAAATATTGAAAAAAACAAATGTAGAATAATGTAGTGTAATTGTATTGTAATAATACATAGAAAAAATATTCACATACATCAATCACTGAGTAATCAATCAAATCAATCTTATTTCCGACGAGAATAACAGGCTTTCTATAATCTTCTGGGCAATTATCTCTTACAAATGGTAACCAGTAGGTGGCTATTTTATTTAAAGTCTCTTGTCTATCCACTGAAAATACTATGCATATTACATGTGCCCTTTCTATCTCTTCAGCAACTTGTTCCAAAGATTGTTCAGGAACTGTAAACAGTAAAAATTCATTTTTATTTAATTGCTATTAAGTTTTTCCTTTAGTTGGGGTTTAATCTATCCAAAATTTTTTATAGATTTTAAAGTCTATTATTTCATATGATAGTCAGACAGCCCCTATCTTCTTGATCGCAACACTTCTAAAAAAATACTCTAACAAAATCATTTAATTTAAAATCCTATCTAAAAAAAATTTGTTTAAGTACATAATATACATATTTAGTAGTCACATAATTAAACATAGAACATTAGGTACTCTAAAACTACACTTAACTTTGGAAATTATCTAAATTTTTTTATGGTAATAAAATTGGACAATGTTTTCTATAGAACTAAATTTAAATTATCAGATAAAAGTTACAAATAATTAAAATACATTTTTGTGAAATACTTTTATCTTATTTTTTACTGGTGGATCGTGTTTATGATTTGTCTGGGCGATTACATTGGCTAAAATCACAGCCACAAACCCAAAAAACAAACAAACTGAAGTGTTAGCATAACAAACAGATAACAAAATTGTAGCTATAAAATTTATTCTGACTTACTACAAATATCAATAATATTGGTTGGAACTTGTTCTGGCGTTACATCAGCAGGTATAGTTATTTCTTCAGCTTTTGGAGGCACATGTTCTGTAAATTCTTCAGTCACTAACGATAAAATAAGTGATGTTTTACCAACTCCTGGCTCGCCTAGAAGAAGTATACGTACGGTTCGAGGTACAGTTTCATAAACCATTTTGTAGTTTTATACTTGAGACATCTTATGTCTATTATTTATTTAGTTAAGCTGTTGTGAAGACAATCATTTTAGCAAGAAAACGTATTTAAATTATTAAAATCCAGATTAGGTGCTATGAAAAAATAAAAAACGTTGAAAACTATGTACACAACCCTATCGCTCCGATTTAGATTCTTACATAGATAATAAATAATAATGGCATAGATTATACAAAATTAAACTAGTTTTACTTAATTTATCGGGATTCAGTCATGCACTCTTCTTTTAATCTTCATTAAAGGTAATAGGAATTTTATCTGTAGGAAAGATTGAAGTCACTTGAAATAGAGGAAAATATATTTTTGATGACATCTAAGCCATATGAACTTATGGACTATATGAAGCGAAATTTTTACCGTTAAAGAAATCAACAATGCCAGAAGCATAGACATGATGTAATAATCTCAAAACTTCCTCATTCTTTATGAACTATACAGTCAAAAAAACCCAGAATCTAAATTTCTCCGTATATATTTAGAAATATATAAATCATCCGTGAAGAATAACGATGATCGGAACAATTCTCTTGTATAAAAATTCTAATGGGAGAATACGGTCAAGCCGCGTGCCAGAAATAGTAGTAGACTCATCATAGGCACAAACTGTTCTCAACAAGTCTTAATCAGGCGTAAAAAGACGGTTTTCCGAAATCCCAGTATTTTCAGAATATATTAATAAATTCACTTAACAAATAACTTTATCTTAATAAGTTCATGAAGATTCCACTAACTTTTCCAACAGTAACAGTTTTAATCAACGATTCCCTGTATCATCAGATTGATCTCAAATATTAAGTATATTATCTATGGAATAGACAAGGCTGGATGGGCTTAGATCCCCTTGCCTTTCCTAATAAGGAAAAATTTTACAAAAAAAATCTATGGATTAAAAAAAAATGATGAGAGTGAAATTTTACGATGCGCGCGCACCGTGATACAAAATTAACAGAATGAAGTTGCCCACTAAATCGCTCATTACAATATGACCGACGTAACTTGGCGAGTCTGAATATAGCCGCAGGTGAACTTTCGGAAATGTCTTTTTTTCTTCTTTTTTTTTCCTACCTAAGCTGGTAGCCTTGAGAGGCTATTCCAGCGTAACCTTAACTAGTAGGTGAGCTCACGGGGCTCAAACCTGACAACGATGATAACACGAACCCTAGCAAGAGCCGTGCTTCGCGGAATCTACCACCGGATCGGAAACGCGACCCACTGAGAAGATCCGGCGAGAGTGGGCTGTGTTTGAGAGTTAAGTCCGAATCGTTTTTTTTTTTTTTATGATTGAGAGATTACTGGTGGCCCGAAGGCCTTTCCAGTTTCACCAGGACAGGTGGGCGAGCAAAGGCTCAGCCAGGAGGGGTGGGATTTGCTAACAGCTGCCCGAGCGCCTCCGAAGGAGACCTAACAACTCAAGAGCAATTGCTTCGCGAATGAATCTACTACCGGATCGGAATCGCGACCNTTTTTTTTATAATTGAGAGATTACTGGTGGCCCGAAGGCCTTTCCAGTTTCACCAGGACAGGTGGGCGAGCAAAGGCTCAGCCAGGAGGGGTGGGATTTGCTAACAGCTGCCCGAGCGCCTCCGAAGGAGACCTAACAACTCAAGAGCAATTGCTTCGCGAATGAATCTACTACCGGATCGGAATCGCGACCCGCTGAGAAGATCCGGTGAGAAGCTCAGCGGGCTGATGCATGGGCTAGGTTGCACGTCGACCTCTTTGTCGAGTTCGACGAGTACGGTTACTGGGGTCCCTAAGCCTGCTCCTAGTATTAGAGCTGACGGCATCTAATGCAAAGGTTATTGGATCTGATGGATCCGTAAGGACGTGTCTAGGGCGTCGACGGTGACTGGCTCCTGCATGATCAGGATTCGGTGAGTAGTCAGCGGCGGCAACGATAAGGCGATTATCATGACGCATATCCTTATCGAAGTACCGTTCCGACGCTGACTTCATGTATTTCTGGATTGATTCAAGGCCCAGGTCGTCGTGTATTGTCCGAACCGTACCGAGAATTACCGAATTTATACGATGTCAAGAAAAGGGATGTCCAATATGCGTGTTTGAGGATGTTCTTTAATAAAAATAAAGTTTAACTTCTTACGCGCGTACATAAGTACACGCACCCTTTTTTTTTTGTTTATTTAGAGTTTCTTCAGGTTTAAGCGCCTTATTCACGATCCATCACGACTGTACGTCAGCTCAAGGCCGCAATTAATAATAATTATCGACGTACGTCAAGCCTATTCATGATCCTTTTGCATCGTGCATCGTGCATGGCCTTGGCGGGACGTACAGCAAGATGGATCGTGAATAAGGCGCTTTAAATAGGTAATCGGTGGTTTATTAACTGTCTATTATCTGTGAAAGTGCATAAATGTGGGAAAATGAAACAAAGCTGCTGAACGTAACTTCTCGGGATCCTCGAAAATCCACTGAAAAAGTCTCAGTAAATGACCACCGTTTTACTGAGATTATATTTCATCCCATATCACCTCATCTCATTTTATTTCGTTTTAATTTCATTTCATTTCATGCCATGTTTTATATTAATCGACTTTATTTCATTTCATAATATTATTTTTCATTTACCTAAAAAAACTTTTCATTAAAATTAAAATAAGACTTGACCTTGACTTGGTTTTAGTTACCAGGTCATAAAATCCCTTAAAAAAAGTATAGATGGATTTAAAAATTATTTATGGGCACGCTGTATGGGCTTAGATCCCCTTGCCTTTCTTAAAGGAAAAATTGTACCAAAAAAATATCTATGAGTTTAAAGTTTGTAATTAAATGTGCAGAATTGTGCTCGTGTTTGTTCGTTGTTAAAAATTGCACTTATTGTTTACATATGTACTCATCTGATTTGTTCCATTCTATAAAACAATTCCAAGATTCCATCGCTTGGTAAATACGGACAATATGATTTACTGCCGAAGATAGTTCAATATTACAATAGCTTATTTAATTTACATGATGGGCGAACTTAATAAAAAACAAAATGAGTGGGATACCAAAGGATTACGGGACCCTGTCAAAACCCTTGAGGTACTAGCTTTATTACTTTTCTGAATTACTACTATTGTTTTGATACACAATTGAAAAAAAAATACACGAACTATAATATTACTACTAACCAAACAACAAAATCATATAACTGTCTTTAAGATTTTGTTCATTCATTGATATTTAATCACTCCAAAGTTCAATTGTATAGTAACAAAAGTTGTAAGTGACAATATACAGTTGAGTTCAAAACCCTACCAAAGTATGATCATAATTATTTGAATAATAAAATGTATGAATTTTATAGAATAACATCATAAAAATCTTAGAAAAAAATAGTACAATTTACTGACGTCCTGATTTTATCTTAAATTTCTAATATTTCAGCTTAACACTGTTCATATGAATGTTTTCTTTCAGGATAAATGGAAATTAGTGCCTTCATTTCTTCAAGTTAAAGGTTTGGTGAAACAGCACATAGATTCATTTAATTACTTCATAAATGTGGAGATAAAGAAGATAGTACAGGCTAATGAAAAAGTATTTTGTGAATCTGATCCACTGTTCTATATTAAATATTTAAATGCCTATGTTGGTACACCTGACTTGGAAGAAGGGTTCAATATCACTAAGCCAACGACACCTCATGAATGTCGTCTTAGAGATATAACATACTCAGCTCCTATAACTGTTGATATAGAATATATTAGAGGAAACCAGAGGGTGATCAAAAATAAACAACTGATTGGAAGGTAACATCTTAAATAAATGAAGAAATGCATATTCTAATACTAGCAGATGTAATGTTGCTTGATCTATTACTATATCTTGATCTTACTCACTAAAAAGCAGAACATTCCAGGCTTTAAAAAATTCTGTATTATACATATCAAATGAATTTAACATTCTGTACTCCCAATTGAAAATATCCTATCTTAAAAACAATTCAATGAAAAGCTCGACAGAGAAATTATGTTTTATTGTTTGTCCACCCCACCCAATGTAACTCAGTTAAAAATTGATTGACTTATGGGCTGCAACTATTGATGATGTAGGAATTTAAGTAGTTCATCATCTGCCTTTTACCTATCTTCACGACACATGTCTGTCAAAGTATTAATAAAGTAGTCAAAGTAAAAACAGTTTTTGTGTCAATATCAAAGTAATAGTATCACAAATTTTTAACATGTTAATGATTCCTTTAATTACTTTAACATTAGGTCTTTGCTTATGAAGTTTAACAATACTGGCCATTTGAAATGTAATTAAATTATATACCTATTATTAACATCACTCTCATATATCATTTTGAAATCTGTATTTTGATTCTTTACAGAATGCCCCTCATGCTTAGGTCTTCAAACTGCGTTCTTACTAATAAATCGGATTTTGAGCTTGCACAGTTAAATGAGTGTCCCCATGATCCTGGAGGCTATTTTATTATAAGAGGTAAGAAACCAATTTAATTTTATACAACTAATATTAAAAAAAAACTCCAATGTATATAAATGTAAAATGTACATAAAATATTTAAATGTGTAATAATTGTAATCATAAAGTTAAATTTTATTAATTTGTTAATCTGGAGTAAAGTACATTGGGAGCCTTATATTTAGTCAGAATAAAAATAAACGAAAATTTAAATAAATATAATATAAAGAAATATAATAAATAAATATAAAGAAAAACTTTAAGTTAAAAATACATAGAATAAAAAATTTGGCAAGACTTAAAGCATAATAACCTAACATTGACCACATTAAGGTTGCATTTCACACTACATTTGGGTTTTTTTTTGTGGTCTAAATGAATGAAATACTGAGTTCTCTGTGAATATACAGTTATGAGCTAGGTTTCTAGACAAAATAATATGGTTTTAATGAAACACATTTATTAACAGTGCTCTAAAACAAAGTTAAAGACAATCAAATTCAAATTATCATTTTAACGATACTGTAAAAATAACTGCGTTTGAACGTTCAAAGAGATGATCTGATTGAGTAGCATAGCCAAAAAATATGCTAAAATTTATCTAAATTTCTAAAAAAAAAAGAAAACAGTTTTGGGATCCGAACACTATTGGTTTTGATTTCAAGAGTGACAATATTTTATTATTCGATCACTATTGCATACAGTTACATGGAGTGAATTCAGTTAGTTTTATATTGGCTTCATGTACGCTTTTTCATTTATGCAGCCCCTTTAATAGAAGTTCAATGGATGTATGGTTTTTAAAATGAAATGTATTTTTGTTTTTATTTTTCCCTGCACGAGTAGTACCTAGCCCCGTACCCGCTTGACCTTGAGTTTCAGGACACCTGTATAAGTACATATATATGTAGTTTACTTGAGTAATGAAAAACAATTTTTATTGTCTGTAGGTCAAGAAAAGGTGATTTTAATTCAAGAGCAACTCTCTAGAAATCGAATGATTGTTGATGAATTCAAAGGAGCAGTACAATGTCAGGTTACAAGTTCCACACATGAGAAGAAAACTAGAACGAATGTGATTCTTAAACATGGAAAATATGTGCTCAGACATAATGCATTGTCTGATGTATGTTACTACTTAAATCAATTTCATTTAACAAACAATAATCAAAGCTATATATGTATTTTTTACTGGTGGTAGGACCTCTTGTGAGTCCGCACGGGTAGGTACCACCACCCTGCCTATTTCTGCCGTGAAGCAGTAATGCGTTTCGGTTTGAAGGGTTGGGCAGCCGTTGTGACTATACTGAGATCTTAGAACTATATCTCAAGGTGTGTGGAGCATTTACCTTGTAGATGTCTATGGGCTCCAGTAACCACTTAACACCAGGTGGGCTGTGAGCTCGTCCACACATCTAAGCAATAAAAAATAAAAATAAAACCATAATATGTTTTGAATTGGACTTCTTCCCTTCAAAATTACAAAAGCTATTTCAAAAGCTAAAATAAATAATTTCCAATTATGTAGTTTCCACTAATTTGTATTTTTTTATATTCAGGATATTCCAATAGCTGTCGCCTTTAAAGCCATGGGCATATGTAGTGATCAAGAAATAATGCAGCTTGTAGGTACTGACGATAATACAATAAAAAAAATGGCACCTTGTATTCTAGATTGCCATAATTTGAAAATATTTACTCAAAATCAAGCTCTGACTTATATAGGAAGTAAACTAAAAGTAAAAAGGTAAGGTTTCATTTTACATCTAATTTATCACTGTTTAGTGCATATATAAATAAAAATATTTTACTACCCCGCTGTTTCTGTAAGCTTTTTTTGTAATCAAATTACTTAATAGTTACTAATTGTTTTAAATGTTCGCGACTAATAATATATTGAACGCGTTCATAATTTAATTTCGTTAAAAATCTATGCTAAATTGTGATAAAGTACGCTCTTTGTGCTGAGGAGATAGAGAAAATATGTCCAAGGAAAGTAGTCCAGTATATGACAAATTGGGCCTGGAAAAAGATATCTATATAGAACGCGGGAGAAGTTGAAATAAATCCAATTCAGCAGTGAAAGTGTACTTACAGTCTTCCATCCCTTGCGAGCATTCATATAAAAATACCGTTTGATAGATCTAATATGCTTATAGTTAAAAAATAAACGTACATTTAAACCTTAACCATTGCCATTACATATATTTAAATGCTTCCACATTTTCCATACAGTACCTATTAAAATCTATTTTTGTTTTAAATGTAAAGGTATCAAGGTGGAAACACAAAAGTACGCTCACCAATTGATGACGCTCGTGAACTATTAGCTACGACTATATTAGCTCACGTATCGGTTGAGAATTACAATTTCTACGTAAAGGCCATTTACCTTGCGATAATGGTGAAAAGGGTAATTGAAGCCGAAACAAATAAAACTGCAATAGACGATCCAGATTACTATGGGAACAAAAGGCTTGAATTGGCGGGGTCTTTATTGGCACTTATGTTTGAAGATTTATTCAAAAGATTCAACTGGGAATTGAAGAGTATAGCCGATAAAATAATACCTAAAGTTAAAGCTGCCCCCTTTGATGTTGTGAAGCATATGAGACCGGATTTGATTGCTAATGGACTGTTTACAGCCATCTCTAGTGTTAGTACAGTTTATCGATTTCTTATGGGCATTAATTACTCATTATACCATGCTAATAAGATATAATATTTTAGGGCAATTGGACAATTAAGCGCTTTAAAATGGAAAGGCACGGGGTCACACAAGTATTAAGTCGCCTCAGTTATATATCAGCACTTGGTATGATGACAAGAGTAAATTCCCAATTCGAGAAGACCAGAAAAGTGTCTGGACCACGGTCATTACAGGCCTCACAGTGGGGTATGCTGTGTCCTTCCGACACTCCTGAAGGAGAAGCATGCGGTCTTGTTAAGAATTTAGCACTTATGACGCATATTACAACAGAGTGTTCTGAAGAGCCTATTGCTAAGTTGGCCTGTAATGCTGGAGTTGAAGACGTAAGGCTGCTAGGCGGAGAAGAAATAAATCATCCTGCTGTTTACATTGTCTTTCTTAATGGTATTTGAAAAACATTTAAAAAAAAAACTCATTAAAATGTTATCTGTACTTATAGTTTGTTTCCGTTACAGGTAACATACTGGGCGTTTCTCGACAGTATAAGCGGCTGATTAAAGTTTTTAGAATGTTCAGGAGAAGAGGATTGATTTCAGCTTTTGTCTCCATATATCCCAATCATAACCAAAGAACCGTTTATATCTGCAGTGACGGCGGCAGGCTCTGTCGACCGTACATAATCGTAGAAAGAGGAAATACCTTAGTGCAGCAATCTCATTTAAATGAATTAAATAGAGGTATAAGAAAATTCCAAGATTTCTTAAATGATGGTCTTATAGAATATTTGGATGTAAATGAAGAAAATGACAGTCATATAGCAACACGTGAAGTAGATATTGATCCGTACGTCACTACTCATCTAGAAATAGAACCTTTTACGATATTAGGTGTGTGCGCAGGCTTAGTACCATATCCACATCACAACCAGAGCCCTAGGAACACATATCAATGTGCTATGGGTAAACAAGCAATGGGTAAGTCTGAAATATTTTGGAAATTACATCATTTATAATTAAAGTTTATTCACAGAATTAATTATTTAATCTTTTAGGAACCATAGGGTACAATCAAAAAAACAGAATCGATACTCTAATGTATAACCTTGTTTATCCTCAATGTCCAATGGTGAAGTCTAAAACTATTGAGTTGATAAATTTTGATAAACTGCCAGCTGGTCAGAACGCTACTGTCGCTGTAATGAGCTACAGTGGATATGATATAGAAGACGCTTTGATTCTAAACAAAGCTTCGATTGACAGAGGATATGGACGTTGTCTAGTTTATAAAAGTGCGAAAACAACAATGAAGCGGTACAGCAATCAAACATCGGACCGAATTTTGGGACCTTCGAGAGATGCAGTTACAGGAAAAGTAATTAGAACTCATGATGTTTTGGATTCTGACGGCATTGCAGCTCCAGGTGAAATGGTTGAAAATAGGCAAGTTTTAATAAACAAACAGATGCCGCCGGCTACGATAAATCCCGTCACTCAAGGACAACCGCAACAAATTGAATACAAAGATGTACCAGTTACATACAAAGGGCCAGTTGAGTCATACATCGAAAAGGTTATGGTATCTTCAAACTCCGAAGATGCTTTCTTGATAAAAATCTTATTAAGGCAAACCAGAGTTCCAGAGATCGGTGACAAGTTTAGTTCTAGACACGGTCAGAAAGGTGTAACTGGCTTGATTGTGCAACAAGAAGATATGCCTTTTAATGACAGAGGAATATGTCCTGACATGATCATGAATCCCCACGGCTTCCCATCTAGAATGACAGTGGGAAAAACCATTGAGCTCTTAGCTGGAAAAGCGGGATTATTAGAAGGAAAATTCCATTATGGTATGTATATAGGTTACAAGGATATATTATTATTTATGTATCTTAACGTATCGTTTGAATTACGGAAATTTATAAATTTGATAGCATAGATTCTTATTATACGATATTATGGGATGAAGAAATTCATTCGTGAAGCTGTTATGTACCGCCACCCTACCTATTTCTGCTGTGAAGCAGTACCTACTGCGTTTCGGTTTGAAAGGTGGGAAAGCCGTCGTAATGTTAAAACTGCGATCTTACAACATATATCTCGAGGTGGGTGGCGGCATTTACGTTGTAGATGTATATGGGCTCCGGTTACCACTTAACACCAGGCCGTGAGCTCGTCCAACCATCTAAGCTAAAAAATACCTGAAAAGGTGTCCGTATTTATTAAAGAAAAAAAGGTGACACTCGAGTCATTTCAATTAGTCTGTGTATTTCGTCTATTTAACATTAGTCACAGCGAAGCGTGGTGTCTTAGTTTTAAATGAAAAATAAGTAAAATGTCCATTTTAGGTACTGCGTTCGGAGGTTCCAAAGTACAGGACGTTTGCAAAGAATTAGAAAAACATGGTTACAATTATCACGGAAAAGATATATTTTATTCGGGATTAACTGGAGAGCCTTTAGAAGCTTATATTTATTCTGGTCCTGTGAGTATTTCTAATCTCAGTTATTTAAGGAACAAGACAACAACTGCAGACATTTAATTTTCAAACAGGTATACTACCAGAAGTTAAAGCATATGGTTCAAGACAAAATGCACGCCCGAGCACGCGGACCTAGGGCGGTTCTGACTCGTCAACCGACTGAAGGACGCTCTCGCGACGGAGGACTTCGGCTGGGCGAGATGGAACGAGATTGTCTTATTGGATATGGCGCCAGGTAAACACTAATATTTGTATATGTAAGTATAAGTAATGACGAATTTGAACTCCATATGTCCCCTGAGTTTCTCGCCGGATCTTCTCAGTGGGTCGCGTTTCCGATCCGGTGGTAGATTCTGCGAAGCACTGCTCTTGCCAGGGTCAGTGTTAACAACACTTCCGGTTTGAGCCCCGTGAGCTCACCTACACGTCAGGGTAAACCTGAAGTAGCCTCTGCTATCAGCATAGGTGGGAAAAAAAGAAAGTAAAAAAAAAAGAAAAAAAAAAGCCATACAGATTTATGTAATATGAATAACCTAGTTAGTTTGTACCGCGATTTAATTATATGGCACCTTTAGAATTGAAATGGTTTAATCCAAAATTCTTGTTTTTTTGGTAAACGACAAAAATGTAATTGAAGAATTATAGTTTTTTAGTTTCGATTTTAATACTTTACGCCTTAAAGCACATACCGTAAAGTTTAAGGTACCTATTCGCGTGATTCAAAAGAGACAGAAAGCGTACCTTGTCCTTTTCTACACTAAAAGAGATTGTTTAATTTTATAAACTGACTAGCTGTACCTGTCCGCGTCGCTGGGCATTTAAATTTAACATTATTTTTTCTCACCCCCATAAAGATTCTCACCATTAACGCCCCCGCAACTGGTGTAGGGAGTCCAACACTCATATAAATATTAGCCTATTCATCAAGTACATGTATTTTCTACATGGATACCAAGTTTCAAGTCAATCGGATGCATGGTTCAGTAGTTATAACGGAACATCCGTAAAAACCACTGTAGATTTATATATTAATATAGAAGTATAGATAAGGATACATGTTTAAAAGTCATTCAAAATATCTTAAAATTTTTAGTAAAACCACTTCAATTCTAAAGTTGTGATATGTTATGAAACTTTTACAAATTATTAACTTGAAATGTATTCCGCCAGCATGTTGATCATGGAGCGGCTAATGCTGGCCTCGGACGCGTTCACCGCGGACATATGCGGCGCGTGCGGGCGGCTCGCGAACCGCGCCTGGTGTCACACTTGCCGGTCATCGGCTGCGGTTTCCAGTGTCGAAATGCCGTACGCTTGCAAATTGTTATTTCAAGAACTAGCTTCAATGAATATCGTACCTAAGCTTACCCTAAAGAAATATTCCTAACAGACAATAAATAGGTAATGATTCTGAAAATAGTTTTAATTTTATCGACGATTTTTCTACCCGCTACGGTTGAAATAGGTACCAGTAAGTGTTGGTATGATTAGTGTTAATGGTCATTCTGTATGTAAAAAAAAACCCTTGCATACTTCTGCCGCGAAGTAGTCATTTTAATTTCGTTATTCAAAACGTCGGGGATAACGAAATTGCAATAGCATAAGTAATCTAGAGAACAATTATACATAGATTATAAAATTATAAGTTCATAACATGATAGAAGTGAGCTCCTCATATATCAACTACTTATATGATCTATAGTGAACTCGTTCACCAATCTAGGGCATTTTTTTTTGCAAAGTCTAAATAAATTACTGTGATCCATTATTGTTACGGTTTAAATAAATAAAGAGCAGGTTCAAAAAGGTTTTTAATATAAAAAATATTAATCTTAATTTATTCGTATTACTTTTAACATCTTGAAACTTCCCTTGATAAATACATACGACAACCATAAAGAAAACAATATTAATATGTAACTAAGGCCACTGAAAGAAAACAATCTCATAATTAAATAGCCAACAGTTATCCAGAAAATGAACGCCTGTGAGCCAAGTCGTCTTAACAGTAACCTTGGGGGTAGATCTTGCCGAATAACACGATAGTGGTTTGTTATGTCTTTAACATACGTTTGGATCGTACATGGCTTCTGTAGTACTTCCCGAGCCGCGTAACCCCAAATGTCTTGTCGATTCCACAGGTTTGTGAACGTTGGTTCATACTAAAATATAAATCATTAAATAAATAAAGGTTTGTTTATTTAACTGTGTGGATAAGCGAGCAAGCCCATTTTAAGACCCACGTGAAGCGAAGTCCATCAAGAACACAATTTGCATGCCTCACATATTAATGTATTAAATCAAGACTGAATTTCTATGAATCACATTTCTTCTAATGAATACTTTTATATAGAGACATGGGTACGTAACAGTAAAAAGCTTAAAACGATTAGTGGTAAAAAGCTCCAAACAGTTACTAACACAAACAAATCAGCAAACAAACAGAAGAAAGGTGATAAACTGTTTTGTCTTTGCTAATTTATGCTTAACTAGAATGTTAATCTATTGACATAACTCACCAATTCATTTATTTTAGTTGAAATTTGATGCAGTATTCTGACTAAAATTGTACTTTCATAGGATGCTATAGGCATGAGGTCTGGATTACCCATATAATGTACATTTGTTGATTTACTTCTCAGCTGTAAAATAGTATATATACTTTAGTATACTCTTCTTTTATTTTTTTAATTGGATATCATTTCTGTCAATATTTACCTTGTTTGTTATAGAAAATGGAAAAGCAGTTGAATTTACAAATGATGAGTTTTCTAAACTGTCATCCGCAATTGGTTCTGAAGGGAGTAGTAGTGCTTCACTTAACTGAAAAATTAAAATAGCTAGGTATACACACACGCTCATAAAACTTCCTTCTTATATATATACAAGCAGCCCGCTCCGGCTTCGCTCGGGTCTTTTTGACGCTGTTTTTTTTTTTTAAATAAATAACTATAATAGTTAGACATCTGCTGTCGCGACACTTTTTGTAAATATTATAAAAAAATATTATAGGCTATGTCACTCGGAAATAGTGTAGCTTCCAAACAGTGAAAGAATTTTTCAAATCGGTTCAGTAGTTTCGGAGCCTATTCAATACAAACAAACAAACAAATCTTTCCTTTTTTTAATATTAAGTATAGATTAAAAATTATGACTCTGGCAAAGATTACTGAGCTGCAGTTCGGTGCGGTATTGTTAGCTAAATGACAATATATAAATGCTTACACCAAATATAACTGCAAAATTGTGTATAGATGTATTTAAATAAGTTGGCACTTTTTTTACTTCTTCTAGATGTCCATCACTTTCATCCTGAGTGGCTATCATTAGCCAGTGCATTAAAGATGACCAAAATCCTAAAACATAGTTGAAACTGTGTAATAATTAACTATTTATTATCTGCTCATCTATAGCATAATATCATTGAATCGTTCACATGATCAAGTGTAATAGAAAATATAATTTGCATAATTACTAGTGGCAGCACGACTTGGGAGCCTGCTAGGGTAGTTACCACCGCCTATAGTAGGCATATTTCCTACCACGAAGCAGTCATGCGTTCCGGCGTAAATGGGATAGCCGTTGCTGTAAAATTGTGATTTGTACCTCATGTTTCTAAGTGGATTTACATTTCCGATATCCGATAAGATTCATTAACCGCTTAAAACTAGGTGGCCGTAAGCTTTTTCAAACGTTTACGTAATAAATAACTAAATACATACGTTTATTTACCTTGATTGCTCATGTCGATTTTTTTACTAAATTCTTCAACGTTCTTTTCCGCTATAGTTTTAGCAGAAATAATTTTCTTTACAAATTCTAAAGCAAAAGATCGCATGTTATCATTCCATATAGGTTTATATTCGAAATTTTCAGGCATATTGAATTCTGATATTGCTTGTTTCGCTATCGCTACCCATTTTTGCAACGACACTCCGTTGTATGTATAACTGTAAAAGATGTTGTTGAATATTTATAATTAAGAAACAGCGAGTTGCGAGAATTTGCTGCATTCAAAATACGTAATCACTGGACGTTATCGGCTTTTAATGTACTCTTTACTTGTCTAGTGCACGGTCTATTTCTTTGATGATATGGCCTTTTTCGTATATATTTAAATATGTATGTCTATATCTTATTATTTCGTATAGTATAACTGCTTAATAAAGTATAAGTCATTAATTTATCAAAAAAAAAAAAAGAATCAAAGTGGTTATTCAAACATTGGATAAGCATTTCGTTGGGCTGACATTATAAATAAATAAATATAATTATTTTACTAACAATCACGCCACGTTAACTGGTCCCGTGATAAGTTCGTAAAGAACTTGTGTTACAGGTACCAGATATCGGAAATAAATGTAAGATTTTTATTATACACATATATTTAATATACATCCATAACCCTGGAAAAGACATTTATATTTATCATACAAATATCTTCCCTTGGCGGGATTCGAACCCGCGACCCCCTAGTGTAGTGACCATGTCACTTACCACTACACCATACGGACGTATTCAAATTGAAGATTTCGACCTCATTTCTCAAGGGAGGTGGCGTCAATCATATTATGATGTCTATGTTTTAACACTAGATATTATTACTATATTAACACTCGACGGACCGTGAGCTCGTTCATCTATCTAGGCACTAAAACAAACTGTTTAAAAACAATAGTTCACCTTTGATCAGTCATTGAATTGCTAAAATTTAAGTCTGAACTGTGTGTCACTCCAGATCCACTATCCAGAATTGCATGTTCTAAGTTCCACAGAATTGGTACTAAATGCGGTTGGGAAAACACCTGCACAAAAAAAAATCATCATACTTTATGATGCAAACGAAAGATACGTAAGTAAAACAGAATATTACCTTTCCCAATCTAAAAAGCATCACAGCATTTTTGTACGTCGTGAGATCCAATCTCATAAATCTTGGCAGAATCAACTGGAAAATGCAAGTGTATGATGGAAAATTCTCAGCAATAAACTGAGTAAAGCTGGCATCGAGGGTGTGTGTTGGATTTTCATCTTGATGGTTGTTTGATGGAAACCTGAAATAAACAACATATTTACAACCAGCTGCAAGTTGAAGAAGAGTATACGGTTATGCAGTTGAGATGAAAATTCAAGGTTAAAATAATTATTATTATCAATTTACTACTATCAATTTTATCTCAATATCTGAATATTGTTCAATATTATATATCTTTTGATTGCACTATATGTACAGACAATTTCACTGCCGCCCCAGATTCAAATTGTTAGAATAGAAACAACACTTTTTAATTGCCTTCTTGGCCAAATGAGCATATGGTCCACCGGTGATTAGTCATTGTCACCCATGGACATTTGAAATAGCAAAAGTTGAGTCACCCTGCTGCCTACCTCAGTCACCACCACCATCAAGGGCATTCATTGTATAAAAGCTCTCTACCCTTAAACCAAAACATATAACTGCTTCGGGGTAGGAAAAAGCAGGTCATGTAAGATTGTGATGAACAAGTCGTTGTCACTGTACAGAATATTAGTGTATTAAACTGGCAAAACAATTTATCTTCCTGTGTAAAAATATGTAAGAATTAACATTATATTATCTATACACTCCATCATCTTATATAACAACTGAACATCGAGTGGACAGTGAGTCCTCCTATTGGGAGTAATAAAAATGAGTTTGTTGTTTGCGACCTATTTATTCCTTTCCAAAAATGTGTTATATGTTTAATTTACTGCAATATTACCTATCTTGATTAATGTTGTTATTAACGTATCGCCAAGGTTGAATAAGGCTTAACCATAATTCCATAACAAGCCGGAATGAAGCATCTAGAGGCCATGTTGTAACCAAATGTTTGACATAATGATATGCACGTACACACAATATCTGGCGTGCGTACTTTCGTAATGCAGACGAACGCACAGCTGGATCAGAAACGTATTTTGCTGAAAACGAATGCAAATGCTTTATAAGCACTCTAACAATTCGTACTCTTTCTGGACTTGCTGTATTGATTTGATACGACCTTTGATACATCTGGAAACAGGTAAATAAATCTTTAGTAGTATTACTTATAACCTTTTAAATATGTTAAAAAAACTTCATTAAAAAATTTGGATGATTGAAAATAAAAGAAATATTGCAATACATGAATTAAAATAAATTTCAGCAACAAACCTCAATAGATCTTGCATTTAATTGTTCAACACTCATCCAGATATCAATAAAAACTTGCAGTACTGTTTCAGATCTCCATACTTCGTTTCTAGATTGTGTTTGTGATGTATGCTGATTGTTTATAACAGAACCAGTTAAGTCTGATATTAATAACAGTGATGGTGAGTACAGAGGCCTGAAATGTAATTAAATTTTTATTTTTTTTGAATCATTTTACTAGCTAGTTCAATTCTCGAATCGATCGAATTCTGACAAAATCGAATGCATTGATTTTAAGTAAGTACTAGAGGACTAAACATAACTCTAATACATGAGGCTGTAAATCCGCTCACAGGACTTTTTTTTAAGTAGATACCTATGTAATGCTGTAAGTGTTTAATATTAAATGCATTTTATAATGTTAAACCTATTTTTTACAAAATACTATAATATTACAAAAAGAATCCTTAAAAACAAAGCAATACTTTCAACTTTATAGTACTTAACATCTCTTTTAATGTCTGTTTTCTAAGAATTATCTATCTGTCAGTTTGCTACTATGATTGCTGAAGTCACAATCTTTCTATTATTTCCTTAATATATTATTTACAAGCCTTTTAATAAACTGAACTCTCAGTCTACTCCCTGGTGAAAAGGTTATTAATAATTATTGATGCTGCCCTTATAGAGGCTATGTAGCTTTATTCTAAAGTTATCAAAATAATAAAGAAAAATCTTGCAGTAAATGAGAATATCTATTACCTGTTAGCAGTTTTCAATGGAGCTGCTATAGGTACTTTTCCAGTGTAATTTGATATGTGTGGAAGCACAGGCATGTTGGGATCCAAAGGCAGAAAATGCATCAAATAATCACACGCTAATGCAAAGTACACACTATTCCAATTCTCCCATGTGTTCTTATTTTGATTATTATTAATCAAGTATAAGGCAAAATTGAAAATGTAATAATCGAAAGGATCTGATGATAAACTTTAAGGACCTTATTGGAGTGAAAAATTAGGTACTTAAGTAACAAGATCAAATTCTATTCTATCACTATTTTTTCACGTGATCTTATAAAATAAATGTTTGATTGTGTTATCTATGGGCTTCAATAACCACTTAACACAAGGTAGGCAGTGAGGTAGCTTACTAGTTCATGCAATAAAATAAAAATTAGATTTATTAACAATTTTAAATATTATTAGCAAAAATGTTTTGCTGAAATGAAAATCTCTAAGTACATACTGCAGACATTTTTAAAGGATACTGAGTGCCAAAGAAATCATATTCATTGTTTGTGCATCTGCAGTTAACATGTCAGCATAAAATTGTGGGCATCTCCCTCTTTCTAATGTCACCTGTAGATCAAGCTGGAACATTTGTTAAATAGTTTCAGTGAGTGGTATCATGGAACATAATTCATACGATTTTTGTGAGATTTATTTAGTATATGCTTTTAATATGTTTGAGATAAAAATAAAACTTCTAAAACAGTACAGTTCTATATGCTTAATTGAAAAAATATATGATACGGGAGCCAAAGATCTATCCAATCAATTTTAGCCAAAATGCTACAAATAATAATGTAATGTAGAATAATACTTACAGGTAATACATTTAATGGCAATTCGTACTTCAACTGAGTGTCAGATAATAACCTATAGCACAGTCGAAACATTGGCCCTTGAGGCTCCAAAAAACTTATCAGAGCTTCGAATTCATATCGATTAACATCGCATGTAATACTCTTTAAATCCCATCCGGTGCTGAATGAAGAGGAAAAAATGTTATTTATCAATTGAGGGAATATTGTTTGTAGATCTTTGGTCGAGCTGGACTGGTCGATTATTCTAGTTAATTCAATGACTTTCTCTTGTAAAGGCAAACTCAAACTTGTATAAAACTGACTCTGAAATCATATAAAAAAAATGATTATTGTAAACATAGATTTTGAATGAATATATGGTAGCAGAGAGAAATGAGTTCATTTACCATCAAATCGTGAGCCATTATTCTATTTATTTAATTTAGTTTGATGGTTAAATATATATTCCAGTGATTTATTTTCGTACAGTACTTATTTTCATAGAATTAAAAGTACATAAGTACGTAATTTGGTTCCTTTCCAATCTTATTTCTAACCTCAACTCAACGAACAACAGAAAATACACTTATTTTTTATAGCAAACAAACTTTCAAAACGAAGATTTCGCTCACTCAAATATATTGGCTTTTTTTTTAAGGGATTTTATGACCTGGTAACTAAGATCTTTAGGTCAAGTCTTATTTTAATGATACGTAACTTTTTTATATGAAAATAATATTATGAAATGAAATGAAGTTTATTATTATGAAACGTAGCATGAAATGAAATGAAAACGAAATGAAATGAGATGATATGGGATGAAATTTAATCTCAGTAAAATGATGATGGTCATTTACTGAAACTTTTTCAGTGTACATTTTAGAGGATCCTGAGAAGTTACGTTCAGCGGCTTTTTTTCATTTTCTCACATTTGTGCACTTTTACAGATACTAAACAGTTAATAAACCACCGTTTAATTTTTCAACAAAGCCGAAGCCTGGTTTTATATGATATATATTAATATATCCTGAAATAAAAATGTTATTAAGGCCGAAGCCAAGTCCTTTATAATTTCTTCCTGAAATAAAAAATTCAATAAGGCCGAAGCCAAGTCCTATATATTTTCCAATCCTTGTAAAATGGCAAATTCGACAATAAATTTATTTGAGCTCTTTTTTTTTACGACCTGGTGACAGAGACCTTTAAGTCATGTCTTATTTTAATTTATATTATTCATATTTTTATGAAAAATGATATTATGGAGTGAAATGAAATGAAGATGATTAATTTGAGACACTAATCAACTGGGATGAAATGAAATAAAATGAATTGAGATTATATGGGCTGAAATATAATCTCAGTAAAATGGTGGTCATTTACTAAGATTTTTTCAATGGACCTTTAGGAGGATCCCGAGAAGCTACGTCCAGCGGCTTTGTTTCATTTTCCCACATTTGTGCACTTTCACAGATATTAAACAGTTAATAAACCACCATTATTACACATTTAAACCCGAAGAAACACTAAATAGACAAAATAAAACAAATCACACAACTTCACTCCTCGCGTTCCCGCCAAAAAGTCATATTTGAGCTTGAGCTCTTTTTTTTTTTTTAAGAGATTNCTTATTTTACTTTATTTTCTTAATTTTATGAAAAATGATAATATGGAGTGAAATGAAATGAAGATGATTAATTTGAGACATTAATCAACTGGGATGAAATTTAATGAAATGAGATGATATGGGATGAAATATAATCGCAGTAAAATGGTGGTCATTTACTGAGATTTTTTTAGTGGACTTTTTGGAGGAACCCGAGAAGTTACGTCCAGCAGCTTTGTTTCATTTTCCCACATTTGTGCACTTTCACAGATATTAAACAGTTAATAAACCACCATTATTACACATTTAAACCTGAAGAAACACTAAATCGACAAAATAAAACAAATCACACAACTTCACTCCTCGCGTTCCCGCCAAAAAGTCCTCCGAGCTTGAGCTCCGATTGACTACGAGCATAGATTAAACACTTAGGTATCAATCAGTCAGAAAATAAGTCATAAAAAGACAGTAGCTGTAATAAGAGAAAACCTTTACTGAATATAAGGTTTTAATAAGCTAAAATTAACAATAAAATTTTCTTTGATTACATTAGATACATTGACAAATAACGAATAAAACAGATTGACAATGACGTCAACTTATGGCTGATAATTTCAACTAAGAAGTTTACATCATTCTCCCGCACTATTTTAAATTATAATCTTTTAAAAATCCTGGCGTTTTATGGACGCGACCAGATCTACGAAGTGTTGGCTCCGGCGGTGGTGATGATGGTGATTCTGTCTCTAGCTCTCTGCTATTATCAAGTACCACAGGTCCCGTTTCATTAGATGAAGGAATCTCCAAGTTTTGGTCTTCTGTTTCCGGAAGTGGTTCTGCGACGTTATGATAATCAAGTGTGTTCATTATCTATTCGCAGATCTACCCTTTCTGAACCCAATGGTGCTAGATGACGATTCGACACTGTTGTTTCTCGGCTATCTGGAAGCCGAATGTATGAAAAAGTCAGGATGTAAAACCAAAAAATCTGGTTTTTGCTAGACATATGTTAGCAACAAGGAAACAACGACCAGAAGAAAGTATTGACACATATTTACAAGCTTTGAAACTACTTTCCAAAGATTGTGATTTTGTGGCTGTTGATGCAGAAACAAACAAAAACGATAGCGTACGTGATGCTTTCATATCCGGTATATCATCGCATAAAATCAGACAAAGGCTTTTAGAAAACTTAACTCTAACACTTGATCAAGCTTACAACCAAGCACTCTCTCTAGAAACTGCAGAGATCAACTCTTAAAACTTCAATACTGTCTCTTTAAATGCTGTTGCTCTAAAAGAACCAACATTAGTCTCTTCGAAATCACAAACTCTGCACAACGAGACCTGCTCTTCTGTTAATAATCCTCGACGACAAAAATGTTTCTTTTGTGGGGGTCAAATACATCCTCGTAAGAACTGCCCTGCCTTTGAAAAGACTTGTCAGCTCTGCAACAAGAAGGGGCACTTTGCCACTGTTTGTAGAAGCTCTTCTAAATCTACAAATTCTGTGGTAGTAGGTACTGAAGATCTTTCCGCTTGTATCACAGCAGCGTCACCTTCTTCATTACGTAAAGCTACTGTACCCGCTTATATTCGAGGAATAAGAGCAGAAGCACTTCTCGACA